CTATATGTTCAGGGTTTCTGCAAGACGCAAGTGCCTCGCAAATGGTTTGCTTTGATAACAGTGCTGTTGGGTGGCTTGCCTTAATGGTCAGTCATCATGTTCGGGATATCTTAATGATGTGAGCTGGATGGGGGTGGAGGAAGTGAAGTTGAGGTACTCGCATTCACAGTGGGAAAGAAAGAAATCAGGCCTGAAATAATGTTTCTCCATTTAGTTAAAATGGGTCTGCTCCTGAGGCCTGGAACAGGCAAAGCTCCCAATACAAATGCTACAAGTCCTAAAGCCTGCCTCTCTCCTGCTTCTAGTTCTCATGATTCTTAATGGCGTGCCTGTCATGTTTGATTTATCATCCTTTAGTCAATAAATGCTTTAATCGAGCGTCTTGAGTCAGCTTGAGTCATCTGTTTGCAGGCCTAGCCCAGCATATGTCATTTGACTAACTGTTGATACTCTAGCCATTGACTTTCATCCCCCCGCCTCAAGACTCTCATTTGAGATGTGACAAGAAATCTTTTTCCACAATGGTCTTGTCTGCTGAGCACCTCCTACATGGATTGGCGCCCCCTCCCTTAAGGTTTGTGGGGGGCTCTGCCTCAGGGCAGAGCTGTGGACTATATTATTTTCTAATAGAAGGAGCCATAAATCACTTCAGAGGAAGCCTCCTGATGGCAGCCATTTTGTTTTTCCTACAATGCACTGGGCATTGTGTTGGGCCCAATGCATTGGCGGGCAAACAAAATGGCGGCTGATAGCTGAACTGCAGCCACAGAGCCTCTTGAAACCCAATATTTTCAAATGTGGCTCTCGTCTCCCACTCACTGGCTCCAGTGTGAACAAGGACAGAGGTTTTTTTGAGCGAGTCCTCCATGACTACATCTAGCCAGGGTTGCCAAGCGGCGGCGGAGGAAGTCTGCGCACACCCAAGCCACCGCGTCTCTCCCACCCCCACTGCACCCCCCTTCTTCTGCCGCTGTTGCCAAGGTGGCACCCTTAGGTGCAGTGATGCTCTTGAGTTCTTCCCCTAGTGCCCACAAGACCTTGGGATCCCCCTGCTCACTATCTGCTTGATCATGAGGGGGGTGAGAGTGGTTACCTTCTTAAAAGGACACAGAGCTAAAGGGAGGAAGTCGGGGAAATTCCTTTCTCCCACTTCTTTTGGGTTTTTTTTTCCAAAATTCAGAGTAATTGTACTGGATCTGACTTTTGTCCAGGTCAAGTGAAAAAGGGAAGTGTGTGTGCACACATACTTATTCTTTCTGTGTTGGGAGGCAGGGACTGATTTGGGGAGAACCAAAGAAGTGAAAAGAGGGTGACACTCATGGCATTCACTCACAAATCCAAATGTGCCCACTTATGAATTGGAAAGAAATTTGACCCCTTTTGCATATAAAGGTAAACCTACCTAATTCACACATTCCAAAGGAATACCCAAAACACAGCAGTCCTTCAAAAGTCACACTTAACTGAATTTTGCAATGCAGTTCTCTGATGCAATGATGCTTGCAAAAAATGCTATCTATATCTATATCTATATATTGGGACACAGGTGGCGCTGTGGATTAAACCACAGAGCCTAGGACTTGCCGATCAGAAGGTCGGCGGCTCGAATCCCCGTGAAAGGGTGAGCTCCCGTTGCTCGGTCACTGCTCCTGCCCACCTAGCAGTTCGAAAGCACATCAAAGTGCAAGTAGATAAATAGGTACCACTCCAGTGGGAAGGTAAACGGTGTTTCCGTGCACTGCTCTGGTTTGCCAGAAGCGGCTTAGTCATGCTGGCCACATGACCCGGAAGCTGTACACTGACTTCCTCGGCCAATAAAGCGAGATGAGCGCCGCAACCCCATAGTCGTCCACGACTGGACCTAATGGTCAGGGGTCCCTTTACCTTTTTATATCTATATCTATATCTATATCTATATCTATACCTATATCATCTATCTCTATCTCTATCTCTATCTCTATCTCTATCTTCTTCTTTTTTTTCTTTCCTTTTAAAAACCACTTAGTATTTGTTGTATTTAAATTTAATCACACAATAAAAACTATTCGGGGGATGTGCATAAAATTAATATATAAATGAAAATAACATACAAAATGCATTATATTAGAGGAAAATCTGTGTAGTCCAAACTACATACAAACATGCTTATTAGGATAAATTCGCACTGGATGAGTAAAATTCACAAATTGCCTCAGGAATGTTGATAGCTGAATTTAAGATTGGATAAATCAGCGATGGAGAGAATCAAAACTGGCATATCTTTCCATCACTAGTGCCAGTGTGACTAAAATGGTTTGCAGCCCCTGACTCATTGGGAGAAAGTTGCTACAGGGAATAAGGTATTGGTTTTCTTGGGCTGAGGACTAATGCTGGAGGCCAGGCAGAAAGCTCATAGGGGCCGGCCTGTCTCATAGCAAATGACAATGGTCACTGATTTAAAGGCACGGTCTTGCCACCGCCACAGAATCCAGCAGCTGTTTGAAAGCGAACCGTTCTTAAAAGACAGGAAGGCAGTATAAACAAATGCCCTCCTTCTCCGGCAAAGGGAAAGTCACCTTTGACAAATATTGATGTTGTAGGAGTGGATCTTTCGACAGAGAATGTGGTAGCACCGGTCAACCTGCAAAACAGATCTTGGAGAGCGAGAAAGCAGATGGTTTAATAAATGACTCAGGCAGCACCGCCTAGATTCACTGGTGCTTTTTAACCAAGCGGAAGAGCATGTCTGCATATACTATTTGAATATACCTGAATATACTATTTGAAATATTTCCTGACCACTTTGGGGCACAAAGACATATCCTCCAGTTCAGTCTTATGTTCTCCTTAGGAGTCATTCCATTCATCTGGGTGCCTTTCCTCTGCTCCTATTGTCGTCCATATGATATTGGGTGTGCCTCACAATTGCCTGGTGTGTGTGTGTTGAAGATATAAAGCAGGTGTGGGGAACTTCTGGCCCGGAGGGTCCCAATTGGGCCCGTGAGGCTGTTTTCCCCAAAGCACGCTCATCCACTCCGACATGTGACATTATACGTGACATCATCGGGTGTGGAGCAGGTACAAGTGGCTACAAAGGAACAACCGGGAGCTTAAAGTGAGCTCCCAGTTATTCCTTTGTTGGAGCAAGGCACATGCCTGGTGACTGGAAGTGGCCGCCGAGACCATATAACACCAGTCCTGAAAGATCTTCATTGGATCCCAGTACGTTTCCGAGCACAATTCAGAGTGTTGGTGCTGACCTTTAAAGCCCTAAATGGCCTCAGTCCTGTATACCTGAAGGAGCATCTCCACCCCCATTATTCAGCCCAGACACTGAGGTCCAGCTCTGAGGGCCTTCTGGTGGTTCCCTCACTGCGAGAAATAAGGGAACCAGGCAGAGGGCCTTCTCAGTAGTCATGCCTGCCCTGTGGAACGCCCTCCCATCAGATGTCTTGGAAATAAACAACTATCTGACTTTTAGAAGACATCTGAAGGCAGCCATGTTGAGGGAAGTTTTTTATGTGTGATGTTTTATTCTGTTTTTAATATTCTGCTGGGAGCCGCCATAGTGCCTGGGAAAACCCAGTCAGATGGGCAGGCTATAAATATTATTATTATTATTATTATTATTATTATTATTAACCCCACCAGCTGATGAATGGGGGCATCAGACAAAGATGTTTGCATTGAAACTGCTGCTACAATAGAAGGGAAATGTGCCAGGTTAGCTGAAGCGTTGATGCAAACCACTTTGTGCTACTGATCCCTGGAGGAGACAGGTATGAACTCAGCGCCCAGAAGCCGATGGGGGGGGGGAGTTCAAGCCCACCGGATCCACCGAGTGACCAAGTTCCCTATGGAGAACTCAACTGTGCACCCAACTCCTGCAGAAAGGAAGTTCGAACTCGCCACCCACAAACCAGAAACTATCAAAACCTTTAATAATCAAACAGCGGGAGAAGTTCCGGCTGCACAGTAGCAGCTTGCAAAAAAATAAAAATAAAAAAATGACTTGACTGGAAAAGAACAGGATGTAGACTCCACTATTCTAAAGCAATGAGATAAGAACGAAAATAACAAAACAGACCATATTTGACAAGCCTCCCAGGAGTTGATTAGTTTAAATTTGCTTTCGTTTTGATGGCTTTAATTGGCGGTTGTTTCATTCGCATTCGTAATGCTTGTGGATTTGAGGCGGTGAGACACAAAAATTAAAAATTAAATTTATGAAGGCAAGCATCAGGGTTTGTGTGAGGGTCAGGCTATTCTCATGAGTATAGCAGTAAGAAGAAGAAAAAATGGTAACAAGCCTCTGTTACGGTTTTTAGTGTTGAGCCATGACCAGAGAGACCTGGGTTCAAACCCTCCCACAGCTATGAATTTGGAGGGTTACTTGGGACAGCTACCATCTCTCAACATCACCCAACCTTGCCGGTTTGTTGTGTTGATAAAATGGAGGTTTGGGGGCCGGGAAAGAGCTTGGAGAAAGGGTATGCATTTATGCATTTATATGATTTTTTATGTTGTGCACAGCCCTGAGATCTACAGACGAAGTGTGGCATGCACATTAAACAAACAAACAAATGACAAACAGATAAAAACCATTCAATTTAAACCAGTTTAGTTCTTAGGTCTTTTAATCCCCGCCGGTCATTTCGTAAGTGTTTCACAGCAGAACAAGTCAGAATAAGGCCAGGAATAACAGGCAGGTGACTAAGAGGCTGGCGTCCTGTAACAGGCAAACGCAGCCCTACAAAATGCTGTTTATTATTTCTTAAAATCTTTATCACAACGCTGATTTCTAAGGCTTTCCCCCTGTCCTTTGCGCTGCCTTGAATGTTTGCCTTTTCCACGTGGAGGTTCCTCAATGAAGCACAAGAGGGAGATGTTTCCCCATTTATTAATTTTTTTACAACAAAAAAATTGCCAAGGACTTTTCTCTGAATGAAAAAAGGAGGAGGAAACAATTAATCAATGGGGAGGTCTGTGGGCGGCCATACTGATGCGGTTACCGTGGTGACCGGGAGAGTTTATGTCTGGAACCAACCAGGAGGCAGCAGCCGGTAATAGACTCTGCCTACCAGCCCCCAGGAGAAAAATAGGGTAAGGATTCTGCCCTGGGCGGGGGTGGGGGGGTGGGAAGCTCCCCCAGGGACACCCCTGAAGGGAATGACGCAATCCTGATGTTGAGACACCTGTGCCTTGGGGCATCCCCTGCAACTGAGCTATAGGTACCAATTGATAGTCTTGCTCTCACCTGTGCAAAGTTTTTGTTCTATTGCGCATCTGGTTTCAAATCCTAGGCTGAGTTGGGAACGGCTGTCTTACTCACCTTATCAATGAGCCCTTTGGGTTGCTTTTAAACCCGTGGCTTCATGGTTGGGCCACGCCCCCCCCCCCAAAAAAACCCACCACTTTTCTTTTCTTTTACTCAAGCCTTTGAACTCAGATGTCTTGGAGGAACTGCGAAAAAGACTCGCAGAATCGAAAGTGGAGACTCTGTGTACTTTCCCTTTTCTGTTTATTTTGCAACACAGGAAAATCTTCAATTAAAAACTTTTTTAAAATGTCTTGGAAGAGCGGCAGTTTCCTATATATATATATATATATATATATATATATATATATATATAAATATAACATTATTTTTCTGTGATCTAAAACAAACAAGGAAGGAAGGAAAAGGACATATAGAGTCAGCAATTCCAATTCAGAGAGTCTTTTTCAGAGTTTACATTCGGTGTGAGACTCTGTTGCCATAGACATTGGGGGGGGGGGAGAGGGAGGGGAGAGGGTTGGGGGCTGGAATAATGGTCTTTTCATTCTATTGCATAGTGTTTGTGCAGGGTTTTTGTGTCGGCGTCTCATAGGTGAGAGATTGGAGGGTCCAGAGCATTCTATGACATTTGCTTCGAGGCTTGCTCGGGGAAAGCAATGAATAAATATAACAAACAATAGCAATCGATAATAGCCTTCGTTTTAAATTTTTGTGTTTTGTGTTTTCCATATTTGTAAGACTTCTTTTTGTTTTGCGGAAAGCGGCGAATAAATATCTTTTTTGAAATGATAATAATAATATTTATTTGGTTTTTCAAATTGCAGTTTTACAATAACATGCCCTACATACAACATAAAGAATCTCCTGGACTTTTCTCCTCCCTTTTGTGGGTCCTACAGTTAATCATTTCCTCCGGCATCTTTTATAATAATCCAAATCTTTTACATCTCCATTATATCCAAAATTCACCATTAAACTACAAGTGTTATTCCAATCCTACTAACAATTTTAACTGTTTACAGTGGTTTATATATAATTTTTTTCCCATTCTTTATTAAAATTTTGGTTTTCCTGATTTCTGATTCTTCCAGACATTTTTTCCATTTTAGCATAATCCATCAACTTAATCTGTTGTTCTTTTCTGGTCAGGACTTTATCTCTGGGTCAATATGTAAATGTAATAAGTATCAATCCAAAGGACGATAAGGGATAATCACCTCAATTTTTGCCTCTGTTTTTAAACTTGCATGGGCAACGGACAGCAAAGCCTAATTAAATCCAGGGAGATTATTTGAAGAGACAACCCATTTTTTAAATAGACAGGCAGAATTCCTTACAAGAGTTGTGTTTTTAAAACTAGTTGGGGGGTTGCTTTTTGCCGTAACTGTTACAATTATTAAAAGCACAGGAGTCTTGTATTACTTTTGGGGTCTCTGAGCTCATGTTGTATAAATGTTAGCAGGTTGCAGGACCTGCAGTTGCTCTGTTGTGTATGGTAATTTTGACCCAATACTTTAAATTGTGTATTCAGATACGTTATAATGCACAAAACATTAATTATGTCCAAGGCCTTCAGCACTTCACACACGGTGCCGTGCAGTGCTTTTTTTCTAAAAAATGTTTAGGGGTACAGTGGTACCTTGGTCCTCAAACGCCTTGGTACTCAAACAACTTAGAACCCAAACACTGCAAACCCAGAAGTAAGTGCTCCAGTTTGCGAACATTTTTCAGAAGCCAAACGTGCTCCGTTTTGAGTGTTACGCTTCTGATTTGAGTGCCACACTTCTGTTTTGAGTGTTACACTGAGTGCTGTCTGTTTTTGCTATTTTGCATTTTTGTGGCTCTTTTTCTTTCTTTTTTTGTGACTGTGTGGAACCCAGTTCAGCTACTGACTGACTGACTGACTGATTGATTGATTGATTGACTGTGTGACTGAAGTACAGTGGTACCTTGGGTTAAGTACTTAATTCATTCCAGAGGTCCGTTCTTAACCTGAAACTGTTCTTAACCTGAAGCACCACTTTAGCTAATGGGGCCTCCCACTGCTGCCGCGCCACCGGAGCACGATTTCTGTTCTCATCCTGAAGCAAAGTTCTTAACCTGAAGCACTATTTCTGGGTTAGCGGAGTCTGTAACCTGAAGCGTATGTAACCTGAAGCGTATGTAACCCGAGGTACCACTGTACATTGTTTACTGCTTTCATTTTATGAATCAGTGGTCTCGTTAGATAGTAAAATTCATGTTAAATTGCTGTTTCAGGGTTTGTTTTTAAAAGTCTGGAACGGATTAATCTGTTTTGCATTACTTTCTATGGGAAAGCGTGCCTTGGTTTTGGAACGCTTTGGTTTTGGAACAAACTTCCGGAACGGATTAAGTCTGCAAACCAAGGTACCACTGTACTCTCATTTTCCCACTCATATTGAAATACTGCCCCTCAATGAGGCCAAACTTAGATTCACAAAATGTGTACCCCTGTGCCCCCCCCCAAAAAAGCACTGGTGCTGTGACTGCAGAATGCATGCAGAACAAAATAAGAACAGGGAAAACAAGAGAAAACCTTTCTATGCTGTCCTGATCTGTTTTCTTTGCTTCCCCAAGGTCTCGTTCAGTCTCTGAAGACTTAAACCATGGCGAAAGACAAGAAAAAGAAGGAGAAGAAGGAGAAGAAGGGGAAGAGGAAACAGCCCTTAGGACACATGTCCAAAGAGCCTCGAGTTTATTTTCCAGAAGCTCTGCTAGAGTATCAGTAGGTATTGTCGTTGCTTGTTGGCACCAACTGTCTTGAGAAGCAAAGGAGTATGCCCCTTGGGCTGAAGTCGAACCACTATTGTTAACAGCACCAAAGTGACCTCCCTGGGGCGCAAGCAGTGCCGGATTTACGTATAAGCTAAACAAGCTATAGCTTAGGGCCCCACTCTCTTGGGGCCCCAAAAAATTTAAAGGAAAAAAAAACCAGGACGTACATTTTCAAAATATAAGATATAAAATAAAACCTACATACAGTGTCAGATGGCAGTGGTGGTTGCTCGTGAGTAACCAGTCAGGACTCAGACCTGTCTTTTACAGATTTTATTTGGGTGCAAAACTATTTACAGTGCAGAGCCACAAGTTCATGTCTGCCTCAGTCACTAGCAGAATCCAGGAGTGGTTGTTTCCAGGTCCTCCCCCAACATAAGAGCTTCGTCGCCCCCAGCCTTTTCCTTTCTTCTTTGCGTTTTACACCTCTGCGCAGGGTGGGCGACGGAAGAGGCTTGGCCAGGAGTGGTGCTGAGGCTCCTAGCAGCATCCTCTGGTCCTTTCCCTTCTTCCCCACTGGAGGTGTGGCTTTCCTCACCACAGGAAGAGGAACTGCTTCGCAAGATTTTCAGAGGTTCCCTGTAACCCAACTGCTCCTCTGTTTCCCCACCCTGTTCCGATGGCAGTACCCTGACATCAAGCAACAGTGTTTTTTGTTGTGTAGGCTCCTATGATGTAAGCAATGGGCCCCGCCTGCTAGCCTGCTCCCTAAAATATCACTGGTTTGCTCATTTCTATATATAGGGTGCCTACATTCTGCATGGACTGGTGCATGGCAACATGTGCAAATGGCTTTAGATACCTATGACGTCCATAAATTACCATATAGCATATATTCAACACAAAAAACAGTGACAATTTGTTGTTGACAAAGGACAGCTGGACATCTAAAGGGCCCCATTACCTTCAGTAGCTTAGGGCCTCACCAAACCTAAATCCGGCCCTGGGCACAAGCCTGGGCGGTGTGTATGGAGATTGTGGGCTGGCCAGATGACAAGCCCTCTCTTGATGTGGTCCAAAGGAAAGCAGAGCAAGACGTTTGGCACCAGCCGGGCTGCAGGAGTTGCTGGAAGAAGGCATGCAAGGTGCCATCCAACTGTCTTAGGGATTCCACTCTGGATTTGTGTAGGGTTTCCTCCTTAGCAGGGTGGGTTTGATTTAAATAAAATCGATTTAAATCACGATTTAAATCACTAGTCGGTAACACTTGATTTAAATCAATTTATTTTTTTTAATAGAAAGACTCATTCTTGCTGGTCTAATCTTAATATTTACATCCAGATGAAGGTTTCATTTCTGGAATAATAAATTTTCAGAGTAGTTTTTACAGTTATATTGAAAATTGCTGATTTGTTTGTTTTACTATTATACTGTCTATGTGACAGATAATTATGAAATTATGGTGAGGTTTAATAAGTTAACTGTTGATATTTGGACAACTTTTCTGCTGTACTTTACTGGAAGGAGAAAAACAACCATTTCCTTAAGAATTTATTTAACTAAAATAATAACATTATAGCATGTGTATCCATGTTTGTTAACTGATGTGGTTAAACAATTTTTAAAAACCCTTTGAGTTTTAGCCCACATGAAAAACTTAAAACAAATCCTTCTTTCCTGATGAATAGCCTTTGGACCATAATGTAACTTAAATAGAAAACTACCTTTAGAAAGATTTCCTCCCTGAAAGCATTTTATTTTAAAAATCCAATTTAAATAAAAAAAAACCCAATTTAAATAAAAAAATTATATATTATATATTACACACACACACACACACACACGTAGGCATCTCTTTGACCCTCATCTCGACCCTTCTAGAGTAGTAGAAGCTGTTTACCTACTTACGCTATTTATTCATAACCTGTCCTTTGAGAGGTTCAAGGCTGGCTTGCACGTCACTAAAATCACAAGAAAACAAATTAAAAGAAAAACATGAAAACAAAGACACTGGAGTAGAACCCTGAGATGGAAGAGCAGCATAAAAGGTGCTAGAAGCTTGAGCACACCAGTTGTTGTTGTTGTTGTTGTTGTTGTTGTCGTCTCTTACACTCACTCACCTTCTTTTGCTCCTATTGACACTCTTACCCATGGGTAGGGAAACTAAGGCCCGGGGGCCGGATCCGGCCCAATCGCCTTCTAAATCTGGCCCGCAGGCGGTCCGGGAATCAGCGTGTTTTTACATGAGTAGAATGTGTCCTTTTATTTAAAATGCATCTCTGGGTTATTTGTGGGACATAGAAATTCGTTTATTATTTATTTTTTCAAAATATAGTCCGGTCCCCCACAAGATCTGAGGGACAGTGGACCGGTCCCCTGCTGAAAAAGGTTGCTGACCCCTGCTCCACAGCATGTACAGAAACCACTTTCTTGACCGTTGAACCAACCCACTATTAGTCTCCTCCCTGCATGCGATCAGTATGTATAGTAAATTAAGAACCTCACTTTGGGAACACCTGGGGGGCTACTGGCTCTTCTGCCTTATTGTACATTTGTGGGTAGTAGGACTTTCCCTCCCACCCCATCATAAGAAGAGTCTGCTGGATCAATCATTGGCCTATCTAGTCCAACATCCTTTTCTCCCTGGGGCCAACCAGATGTCTGTGCTCCTGCGATTCTCAGCAACTGATATTCAGAGGAATGCTCAGGGGCAGACTTTGGTCTTTCACGTTTCAGCAGTGCCCTGTGCGAGGCCAGAATTCTGTGTGTCATCTCCCCAACCAGCCCCTTGCCTTCCATTCTGCTCAATTCGCTATGTCCTAGTTGTGACACCCTAGGCTTGGCGCCCGGTGCCCTGCCTATCGCCGCACTGCCCTAAATCTGCCTCTGGCACGATGCCTCTCACACCGGAAGTAGAACACAGCTGCCACAGTAAATTTGGCATGGGGAATCTGAATTAATAATAATAATAATAATAATAATATATTTATACCCCACCCATCTGGCTGGTTTTCCCCAGCCACTCTGGGCGGCTCCCAACAGAATATTAAAAACACAATAAAACATCAAACATTAAAAGCTTCCCTAAACAAGGCTGCCTTCAGATGTCTTCTAAAAGTCAGATAGTTGTTTATTTCCTTGACAACTGGTGGGAGGGCATTCCACAGGGCAGGCGCCACCACCGAGAAGGCCCTCCGCCTGGGTCCCTTACTTCTCGCAGGGAGGGAACCTCCAGAAGGCCCTCGGAGCTGGACCTCAGTGTGAAAGGTATAATGTCATCACATTTCAGGAACAAAAACCTATGATGAATGTAAGTGCAAGAGCAGTCTGGCTTCCTGCGGTGTCTAGAAACTTACATATTCCATGCTTTTGGATACATGAATTTGTGCCTTAACACTTCTTTTAAACTGAAGGGTATTTAAAAAGAAAAGAAAATATAGTGCACAAATATTTGAATGTTTAATTTATTTGTATCCTGCTTTTCCTCGAAGAGGTTCAGGTAGAGTATTTTCTTGGTAGCACCGTCACTTATCCTCTGCATTTTAATTTTCTTCAGAATTCAAATAAAGGAAGAGATCATCGATGAGCTTCTGTTTGAAATAAAAAACTTGGAAGCACAAAATGACCGAAACAAAGAAAGGGTATGTAAACATATGCTTCTGTTTTGATTTGGGGGAGTGAGCACAGCTCAGCTTTGCATGCAAGCGGAAGATTCTAGGTTCAACTCCAGTTGGTTTATTCACATGCGTAGAGAATTTTATTTGTATGCTGCCTCTCCACAATTCAAACCATGCCCAAGATGGCTTACAACATGAAAAAAATACACAACTGCAGCAAAAGTAGTAATAAAATTTCAAAAGATTTAAAAAACACATAACTGAACTGAACAACTTCCGCATGAGGAGATTTCACCCCTCCCATATCCAAGAATCCGCTGATGTTCTCTGCTGATTCTCCAGAGAGGAGGGGCGGTTTTCTGCTCTCTACTTATTCCACTCCAGCCTCACATCAAAGAGAGAGAGAGAGACTGAGTGTTAGAGAGAGATCGTGTGTTGCTGCTAAGAGCAGCTGCAGACACTCAGTGCAGTTCAGCAATTTTCATTTAGACCTCATTTAGCTCTGTATATAGTTGTGTATTATAGTTGTAGATAGAATAAAAGAAGATATTTTACAGAGCTGCTCTCCGAGTCGTTTATGCTCTGCTATACTCTGCTGTACTCTGCTGTGCGATGACTTTCTTCTTGTTGGAGTGAATCCGGTGCTCACAACTCTAAGCTGTGAGTCCACAGCACTTTGACCTGTTCCTGTGCAGAAGGTGGTCTCTGGAAGTGCTACCCAGCTCGCCTAGCCCAGTCGGGGCTGAAGTGTATGAGTCCAGTTGGTGGCACTGGCTCAAGGGCGATGCTGACACCGCATACAACAAGGTCTAAAATAAAGATTCAAAAAACCAACATCAGCAACTCCCCCAAACAACACCCCAGCCAGAGTGTCTGCTCAGCAGCCTCCGCATTTGTAGCTGGAGTCAGTCCAGGCCAGTTGGAAGAAGGCCTGCAAAGCAGGGAGCTGGTCTTCCAGGAATCATAGGCAAAACAGCATCTGCAGTTCAAAGGATCAGGTAGATTAGGAGATGGGAAACAGTGCTATTCCAGGATTAGGAGGAAGAGGGGCTCTGCCCATACGGTTTGGGGGGCTTCTTCTCCTCGCTGTTGCCTGTTCACTTGCTTTCTCTCTTTGGAAGATATGAAGCTGCCTTATACCAAATCACATCATTGGTCCATCTAGCTCAGGCACCCCCAAACTCAGCCCTCCAGATGTTTTGGGACTACAATTCCCATTATCCCTGATCACTGGTCCTGTTAGCTAGGGATGATGGGAGTTGTAGTCCAAAAACATCTGGAGGGCTGAGTTTGGGGGTGCCTGATCTAGCTCAATACTGTCTAAAGGGAAGGGGGCTGGAGAGGTCTAAGTAGGTGCTGTATATTATTATTATTATGTAGCTCAGGTGTGGGGAAACTTTGGTCCCCCTGATGTTGCAGAACTACAATTCCCATCATCGCTGGCCATTAGCCATGCTTGCTGTGGCTGATGGGAGACGCAGTTCAGCAACATATGGAGAGAAATAGGTTCCCTATGCCTGGTGTAGTTACTAGCAAGCTTGGAAGCTACTTGTGAACCAAAATAGGGGATAAAAATTCCTACTCTAATTTATTTGGTAATGATGTTAGACAGGCGATGGACTCAGGAAAATGCATGTATATAAGTAGATCTGTCGTATGCAATAGAATGATAGAGATCCGTCGATATATTTCCACTGGATTATTCTGACAATTGTCACCATTGCAGGGGGCGGGCGGGGGGGAGGGGTATGTTGGTTTATTGTGAATTGCTTTTTTGGATATTCGATTTTGCAATTTTTTGCTTCCGTTTGCAATTTATACCCCACCTTCCCATAATGTATTCCGATATACAGTGGTGCCTTGGTTTAAGAACAGTCCGGTTTAAGAACGCTTTGGTTTACAAACTCCGCAAAACCAGAAATAGTGTCCCGGTTTGAGAACTTTACCTCAGTCTGAGAACAGAAGTCAAACGGTGGAAGGGCACCGGCGGCCGGAAGCCTCATTAGGTAAAGCACGCCTCAGTTTAAAAATGGTTTTGGTTTAAGAATGGACTTCTGGAACGGATTAAGTTCGTAAACTGAGGTAGCACTGTATGTTGCTTTGCTTGCCAACTTGACCATCCCAAAGAAAAGGCACGATTAAAGTGAAAGAAGTAACATTTTGTCAAAAAACTTTCCCCCTCAGAATCAGCAGCTAAAGAACGAGCAGACTTCGCACATCCGAGCACTCCTAGCTGCCCTGAAGGAGCAGGAAGAGGCGTTGGCGAAAGTTGAAGTTGTTACCAGAGACGATGTAGAAAAAGCCATGAAGGAAAAGTGGCAGTATGTTAGGGATCAGGAAAAACTTATTAAAGGTGAGCTGGCGCTGAAATCCCTCAGTTGCTAGCTCAAATCCCAGGTGGAGTGGAGGACGCGATCTGGGACCCAGATCAGTTAAACAAGGACCTATAGATACAGTTTGGCCAAGAGTAGCCCGAGTGGTGCCTGGGCCCAGCACAATTTGAGATCTCTGGTGCCTTATACAATGTAGGCTATAGTGAGTGTTTTCTCAAAAGAGCATTCCACAGGGCCTTCTCTGTGGTGCCCCCCCATCCCCAGCTGCCAGTCACCTAACCTCCAAAGTCTTCTAATGCAGCTTTTAAGGTATGGGCAGATTCTTATGCGAGTCCTGTTAATTAGAAAGGAGGAGAACATTTGGACTTCCTCAGGTTTGTAATATCTTCAGACAGCTCTGATCTCTCTGTGTGCTTCTAAGCAAGCACTATCTGAAAACCCCAAGGGGGGCAGAGAACAATGCACCATGGGGGGTGGAGAGATAGGATTTGAATCCAATTCTGCAACAGTCTTTGCCCAGCCATGTCTAAGTGTCGTATCTTTGGGGAGCAAACATTGGCAATGCTCGTAGAGCGGCAAAGCACCAAGTTATGTCTATTCCTTTCCTCCCTCCTCCCCTTTTATCAAACGCCATGCTGAGACTCCATCGCTCCACACACATCAAATTGTTAGAACTTGGCATGAAAGCAAGCAAGGAGCTCAAGAGCTGGTGCTGTCTGATAAATATTAATGATCTGAAACGGGGAATACAGGAAAATGAAAAAAAAAATATCCCAGGTGGAGATGATCATTTCTCATTAGCAGTTTGGGAAAGCAAAGGCTATCACTCCTAACACAGCCTTTTTTTCTTCCAACCAGACATGCGGTGCCAGATACATTACCTCGAACAAAAACTCGTGCAAAAGCAAGCCGAAGTGGATTACTGGCAGGCGTACAAAAACGTCGGGAGCGCCGAACACGCCAAGCAGATCGAGTGCCTGGAACAGGACATCCAGAAGCTGAAGGAAGACCTTGAGGAAATGACTGGTGAGTTGCCCTGGGCTTGTACCAGAGACTGAAGACCAGAGATGTCGGCCCAGACGCCAAGAACTAGAAATAATTATCATTTCCAGCGTGTGCTGGAATCTCTTCTAAAACGTATTCCCCCGTTTTCTGCTTTACCTTTCTCTTTTCTGATGGCTGGGGTTGTGTTCTTGTTTTCACCCCTAAAGAGTTTTTTAGGATTTCCCTGGAAGAGACGAAGGAAAGAACCGACAGATACATGCTGAAGCAAATGGAGCTGAAGAAAGAATGGGCGCTTGAGGTACTGATACGGCTTTGCAGTTCTAGTCTTTTAATCATTATGGGCATGATCTGAGCACTTTCTTTTTTCTTTCTTTTTAAAAAATATTTTTATTAAGCAATTTCAACATAACAAATTATCAAACCATATAATCACATACATTATTTCCCCCCTTTTTCCTGTTGTTGTTGTTGTTGTTGTTTAGTCATGTCCGACTCTTCGTGACCCCTGGACCAGAGCACACCAGGCACTCTTGTCTTCCACTGCCTCCCGCAGTTTGGTCAAACTCATGCTGGTAGCCTCAAGAACACTGTCCAACCATTTCGTCCTCCGTCGTCCCCTTCTCCTTGTGCCTCCATCTTTCCCAACATCAGGGTCTTTTCCAGGGAGTCTTCTCTTCTCATGAGGTGGCCAAAGCATTGGAGCCTCAGCTTCAGGATCTGTCCTTCCAGTGAGCACTCAGGGCTGATTTCCTTCAGAATGGATAGGTTTGATCTTCTTGCAGTCCACGGGACTCTCAAGAGTCTCCTCCAGCACCATAATTCAAAAGCATCAATTCTTTGGTGGTCAGCCTTCTTTATGGTCCAGCTCTCACCTTTTTTCCTACCCCCCCTTAATCCCTCCCTCCCTCCAAGGACTTCCCTCAGCTCCTCTCTCTGATTTCTCTACACATATTAGTCTCTGCATGTTATAAAGTTATACATATCCTCATCTTATCTATCTATCATGTTACCAACCAATAAATTTGTGTATGTTTATTCAAAACCTGCCAGGGAGTCCAATTCATTTTGCTGACTTTTCAGATAATTTGTAAAAGGCTCCCATTCTTCCTTAAAGTCACAGTTGTCCTTGTCCCGCAGTTTAGCCAACTCTGCATAACTCATCAGTTTTTCTTGCCACTGTTCTTTTGTTGGGATTTCTTCATTCTTCCATCCTTGTGCTATCAAGATTCCTGCTGTTGTAGCAGTTGCTTTTCTTGGCAGGTCTTGTCCTACAATCCCTAACAAAAATGCTTCTGGTTTTTTTACAAATGTCATTTTAAACATTTTTTTTCAATTCATTGTATATCATTTCCCAATTTTTTAAACTTCTCTACATTCCCACCACATATGGTAAAAACTCCCTTCTTTTTCTTTACATTTCCAACATACGTTTGACCCGGTTTTATACATTATTGCTATCTGTACTGGTGTAATATACAATCTATACATCATTTTTATACAATTTTCTTTCAAAAGAGAACAATCTGTAAATTTCAAATTTACCTTCCACATGATCTGAGCACTTTCAAGTTCATTTGACTTCTGCAGGAGGGATTTACAGCGCAATCCTGTTCTTGCTTATAATAATAATAATTTTATTATTTATACCCCACCCATTGAGTCTCGCTGTATGCTGTGGGGCTTATTCCCAGGTATGGGGGAACAGGACTGCAGCACTAATCACGTACTTAACTTCCAATTTAAGTCAATGAGGTCCAAGAGTGTTTAGTTCTGGCTGGGTTTTATACTCATAAAGTAGGGTTGCCATATTTTAAAGAGCAAAAAAGAGGACGCTATGACGGCTGCCCCTGCTATATGTAGGCTATAGAAACTGTGATATATTGCTATGGGGGGTCGGGAGAAGAGAAGAGGAAAGCAAGTCTTCAACCACCAGTTATGTCTCCTCCAGAAATTATAGCCAGAAACATTGTGGCAAATTTTTAAAAATACACCCGGACAGAAATTTTACCCCTGAAAAAGAGGACGTGTCCTGGAAAAAGAGGACATATGGCAACCTCACAAGCTTATTTGTGACATTCCTTAGAAAGTAAAACAGAAATGCCTCTCTCATTTATTCCTTTTAAATGAACTTGCTTCTGTATCCTGCCTTCCAGCTGCTCCACAACTTATTAAAAACACACACATTACAACAGCAGCGATTGAAATAAGAGTTAAAATGTGAGCAAGAAAGGTAACCCAGGTTAGATTGGGAGTGAAAGAAGAAGACGTATACTGTGCCTTCAAAACCTGTACTGTACTTGGCAAAATAAAAGCTTTTTCCTGCTTTCTGAAGGTAAATAGAGGCCTTCACATTCTTGTCTTCTCCTCAGATTAGTCTGCATGCTCTCTAGAGGCCTTTCTCAGCCTCTTGTTAAGATGCGATTGGTTGGCCATTGGGGCAGGGCCTCCTTTGTGGTGGCTTCCACCTTCTGGAATCCATCAACCACCAAGATCCCCCTTAAGCCTTCCTGTCAAATAAAAGCCTGTTGTATCTTGGGACTGAACCTTCTCTTATCTCTTTCCTCAACGCTACGAGAATCTGTTACCAAACTGAGAGTTAGCTCATTCGTTTGGTGTTCCACAGGCAGCGTAAAATTGTTTTTATTAGCCTGGCATTCAGAATAGCGCAGATCGCATCCATATTTTATTCTGGGATGCGTGTGTCTTTATGATTTATTACTATTAACGTTTTACGTGACACGTCACTTCAATAAGCAGCTGCGAAGCTCTTTTGAAAAATGGGAAAGCGAAAAAGAAATGTAAAATTATATAGAGAGAAGGAAGTTTTGTGTTTTTATTGTTCAAAGTTTTGGATGTTCCTCTGTGGGTATCCTGTCTAGACTATCACTTCCTTCAATGCAAAGGTTCCAGCTTCAGCTGCGATTTCATGCTTTCTTTCCTCAGAATGCTGTCAAGCATATTGACAAGACCAGCTGCCGGGAGATTAAAGAATACGAGTGGTTAAAGGAGGAGGTAAGCATATCTGGAAGTGTAATCTGGATTTCCAAGGAGAGGCACTGCCAATCAGTGTAGACAGTATTGAACTAGATGGACCAATTGTCTCCCACTGCTTCCTAGACAGGGAATGGTGGTGGATGGTCAGAGGTGGAACATACAGTTTAACTCCCCGACATCCACAATTCAAAGGATATTGGGTGGATAATAATAATAATAATAATAATAATAATAATAATAATATAAAAATAAATTAAATTTGTATACCGACATTCATCCATAGACCTCAGGGCAGTTCACAGCATAGAATTATAATATTAAACCACAAAATACATAGTGAAAAAAGAGAGTAACCAAAAAACCATAATGCCCACACGTCACATTTAAAATGGCATCGGATGTCAGTCAGCCAAAGGCCGGGTTGAAAAGGAACATTTTTGCCTAGTGCCCAAAGGTCTACAATGAAGGCGCCAGCCAAACTTCCCTGGGGAGAGAATTCTACAAATGGGGAGCCACTGCAGAAAAGGCCCTGTTCTTATGTTGCCACCCTCTGGACCTCATGTGAAGGAGGCACACGAAGAAGGGCCTCAGATGATGAATGCAGAGCTGTTTTAGGGCTTTATAGGTCAAAGCCAGCACTTTGAATTGGACCCGGAAACTCATTGGCAGCCAATGCAGTCGGGCCAGGATCGGTGTACAGTGGTACATCGGGTTACAGACTCTGCTATCCCAGAAATAGTACCTCTGGTTAAGAACTTTGCTTCAAGGTGAGAACAGAAATTGTGCTCCGGCGGCAGCGGGAGGCCCCATTAGCTAAAGTGGTGCTTCAGGTTAAGAACAGTTTCAGGTTAAGAACGGGCCTCCAGAACGAATTAAGTTCTTAACCCACGGTACCATTGTAATATGCTCAAACTCTTTTGCCCCTGACCACCAAATTCTGCACCAGCTGAAGCTTCTGAACCGTCTTCAGAGGCAGCCCCACATAGAACGCATTGCAGTAATCCAACCTAGAGGTTACCAGATCATAGACAACAGAAGTTAGGCTGTCCCTGTCCAGGTAGGGACACAGCTGGGCCACCTGCAGAAACGAGCTGCTTCCAGTTTGAATGCCTAGCATAGGGCTGTCTCGGTGGGCCAACGGTCTGGTTTGGCAGAAGGCAAAGGACTTCAACTCAGGGTTTCATATCTCGTGGCAGGTGGCAGGGTACAAAAAGGAAGTGAGCGATTTGGAAGCTTCGGTCCACGAACTGGAGAAGGAGAACATCTACCTCATCAACAAACTCTTTGAGCGTAGGATGCAGTTCCTTAAAGTTCCCAGGTAAAGGTGTTCTCCTAGCATTGCACAAACACTGATGAAGCACAGGAGCTAAAGAGTTGACTTGACTCTTTGGCCCTTGAGCAAACTACAGTATGCCAAACAGAAATAAATAAATAAATAAATAAATAAATAAATAACCTGATGTTTTATTATTTACTAAAACACATACAGTGGTACCTTGGTTCTCAGACTTAATCCATTCTGGAAGTCTGTTCGAAAACCAAAGCGTCCCAAAACCAAGACGCGCTTTCCCATAGAAAGTAACGCAAAATGGAGTAATCTGTTCCAGACTTTTAAAAACAAACCCTAAAACAGCAATTTAACATGAATTTTACTATCTAATGAGACCATTGATCCATAAAATGAAAGCAATAATCAATGTACTGTAAAATAAATAAGACAGTATTGTAGATGATAAAAATTAAAATTCATCCTTTTTCTTACCTGCACTGAAGATGGTCATTGCTTGGATGGGGGGCTTTTATCCATTTCCGCAGTCACACAATCAATCAATCAATCAATCAGTAGCTGAGCTGGATTCCACACACTCACAAAAACAAATTAACTGAAAAAGCCTCAAAAACGCAAAATAAATAGCAAAAACAAAAGCGCCAAACTTAATCCATTCCAGGAGTCCATTTGATTTCTGAAATGTTCGAAAACCAAGGAGCAGCTTCTGATTGGTGCAGGTGCCCCGGAAACAATAGCCGACAGCCGCATTGGACGACCGGCTTCTGAAAAACGTTCGAAAACTGGAACACTCAGTCCAGGTTTTCGGCATTTGAGAACCAAGGTGTTTGAGAACCAAGGTACCACTTACCAATGTAAGCTGCCAGTGCTTATCTGACAGGCACCATCTCTATTGTCTTTTCGGCACCTGTTGGAGACATTCAAGCCGATTTGTTTTTCAATTGGCGTTATTATTGCTCTTTTGCTGCAAAATCGCATCGAGACATTTAATAGGAAGCAATTGACAAATCGAATAAATAAACAAATGTGCAAGCAAACAGCTAAATATAAAGCTGTAAACCACTTGATAATTACGAAGGAAAATATCCTTCAGAGGAGCAGCATTGGCATGGAAAGGACAGAATTAACAAGCTGCAGCATTAATTAATTTCGCATTAATTTTGAATAAACGAGTCGTCTCCCCTAATCAGTAATTTGGACGAGTAGCTATCATTGCCACGCTGACTGGAGTCTCTGCAAATTGCTCTTGGCAATGGAATAAAAGCCCTGCCCGCTTTCATTGCTGGCTAACCATCCCAATTGTGAAACAAAAGGCATTTTAAATGGTAACTCAATGAAGGCAAGGGGGCAGGATTCCCACTCACCCACCCAATCCTGCGTAGTTGGGCTGTGCAAGTCACTTCCTTATGGGGAACTGGCATGCTCAGCCAACGCAACATGATTTAAATGGTGCATGGGCCACACTGAGCAGGCCTTTTAACCTTCCCACTCATCAGCTGATCAATCAGGAAGAGTTTTGTAGTGAAGCTCATCCTAAAACGCAGGAGAAAACACTTCATTTGTGCAAGCCCCTTAACAATCGCAAAGGGTTTTGCACTGAACCTCGCTGCTAAAACTCAGGTTTCCCCCCCTTCTGCTTCAGCAAGGTGCTTTGAAGTCCCGACTTAGGGACTTCAAAGTGGCCAAATCGTGTGGTGTCATCGTGACATCAGGTGGGTGACTCCACCCACCTGCCAAATTTGGTCCACATTGCCAATCCTGATGAAGATTTGAGCCGGGGAGCCAAAAAGGCACCCAATCCTTGCCTTCAAAGGTGAAAGGCTGTTGTTCAGTAGCAGAACATATGCTTTCGTGCAAAAGGTCCCATGTTCAACCCTGGGTGTGGCCTTATTGTAGTTTTGTACACTGCCTTCGTGTATTTCTATGAAAGCTCGGTTTATAAGTATTTAAAGAAAAATATGAATGTTAACAAGAGCTCAGGGCATGCAAGAGAATAATTCCAGTGGCAACAACGTGAGTATGCACTTTAAAGATGTGCTACCATTCTATGTTACAAGGGAAGACAGAATTTCAAACCTTTTGATGTTGCTTCTTCTCCTTTTAATTTTCCAGAAAGTTATTTCTTACCCAGGGAGCTGGCCTGCAGATGCTTGGAGACCAGGAATATCTTGGCCTTTCTGGTAATCCCCTTTCTATTGAGTTGATTGTAATAGTGATGCAGACGTTACAGCCTTGCCTCCCTAAGAAATGGCCCTCACAGCCCCCGTGATAGTTTATCGGTGAGAAATATCCCACTGTAGACATCCTGGAAGCTGGTGTAACTGGAAAGCTGGAAAGTTGGGACTTAAGAACCAACTCTGCCATGCTCTGCCTCACTTGTGAAGGGAACTCAAGCATTACTGTATGGTTAAGTGCTTTTGCCCCAAGCAAGGGTCAAACAAGTGTGGAATAAAACTTCATAGTGTGCAAATCCCTACCTGGATGAGGAAAACAAACACACAAAAACACACAAACACAAAGTTATGTCCTCTGTGTGTGTATTCCCTTTCTTCATTCCACTTGCTGTAGGACTGAAGCTGTCCTAAAAATGCAATAATCTTGCCAGCAAGCTTCTCATGGGTGGGAGTGAAATGGGTGTTATGTTCAGTTTTCACCCCCATCCCTGATAAAACAGCTGATCGCTGCACAGTTAGGCCAAGCGCAGTAGACTGGGCCAGGCAGGCTGTACTATTTTCATTTGGCTGTCAGAAAGAACACAGGTAAATACATCAGCTCAGTAGGTTAGAGCATGTTGCTGATAATGCCAAGGTTCAGTCCCTGTGTGGGATAGATCCTGTACTACAGGGGGTTGGCCTATATGTTCCTCGGGGTCCCTTCCAACGCTACAGTCCTATTATTCCATCCTAATGAATACCAGGCCATGAACAGCGTTGCTAGTTGTGGATTGGCAATATCTGGTTTTTTTAAAAAATGCCTCATCAGTCCGGATGGAGGACATAGGGGGAGAAATTAGACTACTGTACAAAGGTGTCCAGCTTTGTATCCGGCCCTGCCAGCCCTGGCATATGGCCCTCAGAAGTTTCCCCAGGAAACAATGTGGCCCTTGGACTGAAAGAGCTTCCCCACCCACCATTGCATAGCAGAATAAATTTCAAAGCCCAGCAAGCAGTAATAGATAGAATTGCCTCCCCTCCGCCACCACCATTGTTGCAGCAAAGTTTTATTAACAGGAGTATTGTAGAAAGTGTTTTCCCTCCCCTCGCCTCTGCAGAAGTGGAAGCTGAAAGCACATCATTAATATCGGAAATGGTTCTCAACGTGGATCACAAAGACAGACAGGAGGCAGCAGAAAATCTGCTAGATGACAGTTTTGAAGTGATTCAAATGCAAACAGATTCTCTTGGTCAAATTCTCCCCCCTATCCTGTACGAAGACTCAAATGATTTCAAGGCAAGTATCTACTTTCCTCTTCTCTGCGTTAGGATTTTAGGTAGAAAGGGTTAGGTAATAATGTGCCCAAAAGGTTTGTGCTGACCTGGGCAATTAAAACTGGGTTTGTTTGTTTTTATACACACACACACACACACACACACACACACACACAGTCCGTTTGAGCCTGATCATGCCCTCAGCAACATAGCTCCTAAAAACGGTCAGGAGTTGACCAGGATATTATTTCCTCCCCTTGTGCATGATCAACAAAGTCTACCCGGAACGCAGAGATCTCACCCTGCACTCTCACTTAAGACATTTTGCAGGGTTGAGGCAGCCACTCTTGAAATTTTGGCACCCCAGGAAATTGACTAGATGGCCCTTTGTGCCTGGGTGCTCGTTAGCTGCTGCTCATGCAGCAGCAACCTAGATTTCCCAGCATTTAATTATCGTATCTATAACTTTGCCTTGCCTCCAAGAAGCCCAAGACAGCATATATAGCTCTTCCCATCATTTTATTCACAAGCCACCCTGAGGGGTTGGGTCAAGTGGCCCAAGCTTACCCAAGTGAGCAAGGATTTGAACAGGAGCTGTTTAGTACTCCTCCAGCAGCAGCCACTACCAGCGTGGCGATTGTGGATTGTTGTTATTTCTATCAGAGATTTGCTTATTCGGTTATGCCATGGTCATTTTAAGATGCAAGAGAGGGCGGAATGTTTTCTACTGGGTAACATGCTAATCTGTGTCCATCTGAACTCCAGGAGTACAAGGATCTGGGGCCCCTGGCAGTGAAATTGATGACTACGGTGGGCCAGACTATGCCAGTTCACGAGGATGCCAGGGAAATGCCAAGCAGAACAAAGCTTGAAGAAAAATATGACGCCAGCCGGCCTCAGCAGCGCATCACCTACCAGATGATCAAATCCGTATTTCATTGAGAGCGAGGAAGGTAGAGGCTACTGCTTTTCTTTTCAAAAATAGGCTTCCGGTTGTTGGAACTCCCCCACCCTTCGTATGACACTTAAATGTTGACTTGCATAGCAAAGATGTTAATATTGGGTACATTTACAAGGGTATGTAGATTGCGTATATTGTATTCCCATTCCTCCTATGCACCAAATACAGGATCTGAATTACTATTGCAAGTGGCTCTGGTTTGATTTTTGCCGTCCGTGAAGTTTTAATGTAGTCATTTCATGAAATCTTTATACCGTTTGACTGGAGAAAAATCCTCAGTGCTCCTGGACCCATGAGTCTCACAAGATATGGCACCAACTTACATTTACCAGTGTTATCAGGGCCATCGAAGACCTTCACACGTGTTCTCAGTTCTTACAACCAACCTGCAGGATAGTGGCTTATTTAAAACCGCCTTGGGAATTTGTAGAAAGGGGCGAGATCACATCAAACGTACATTTATTTTTTTTGTTCTGACAAGTTTTTCCAGTGGGATGTGTGCGTCTCTGCCATATGTACCCAATTTGCATTACTGTATTTTAAAACTCAAGTTCTTTATGTTGCTTTGCAACATCTTCAGCATTTTGTACATCACCTTGGGGCGTGAAGATTAAATGAAACAGTGCCCCCAAGAGTGGAGGGAGAACACAGCCTTATCCCTCAGTTTGCTCAATCTTCTTTTAAAGACATCCATGTTTGTAACTCTCACTACCTCTTGTGGGAGTTAATTTGACAGCTTAACTATGTGCTGTGTGAAAATGTTCTTTTTGTTGGCCCTGACTCCACTAGTAGTCAACTTCAGATTGGTTTCTGCTCATCTGGGCTTCTAAGTTGCTTAGCTTCCACCATTCTGGTTAAAAGAAAAACTGCTAGCTAGCACACAACCTTTGAGCGGGCTTTTCCTTTCTGCTGGACAATGGGATTTGTGGCTTAAACAAAGCTCCTTCTACAAAAGGCTGCTCGGCTAAGCTTGGCTGCTCTTTGCTGTAGTTAGGTACCTCATGAGAGATAGGTCCTCTTCCATATGAATACAAGGGGAGAGAGAGGACTTCTCAACATCCACAAACAACTTTGGGCATGGTTGAGTGTGTAGAGAAACAGTGTAGGGCTGACCACCTGATTTTTTGAGCTGGCAGGGCTTAGGTCCCAAACTTGTAAACACAGTCTTAAGCACAAATACTGCTTCTTTTGAGGAAGTTACCATCAAGGCTTGGACATGCAACCTATTTTCAATAGTTCAGGCATCCCTATAGAAGTGAAGGGAGGAGTGCTCCCTCTAACATAGAAAAGCACCATTTGGAGAATTCCAGTCTGGTCTTCTCCCTAATACACAGCCTCAACAGTACAGCCCAGTCAAATTTTATTACCTCAATCTTGACAGGTCATTGGGCATAGCTGAACCAAAATAAAAAATAAAAAATGGCACAAGTGTAAAGTTGGCACAATTCAGGCATTCCCCCTTTAATGGCAAATTCACCCACCCCCAAAGGGTTTTTAACCTGAGCACAGGACTTGATGAAATTGGATTTAGAAGGCTAGCTGAGCCCTAAATGCAAACCATGTTCAGCTGTGTTTAAAAGTTGTCCACATACATCTCCACTAATGCAATGGACCAAGTTGCAAAAGCAGCCAAAATGTCAATCTCCACTCACAGTGTATCAAAGCACATTTTACCTTGCAAAATGGCAACAAAAAACCCAAACAGACCCCGCCCCCACATCCCAACCCACCATTGTAGACCTTCATACTATAAACAGAAGTTCTGTGGAAGCTGCATTTTATTTGAAAATCCACCTTTTTTTTTTTTTTGCTAACGTACTTTTAAACATTTTAAACAAAAATAGAATCTGCGGAGACAATGCAGCAAGTATGCTTAATTCATGTACAGAATTGCTTTCATGCCTTTTGACTATCCTTCTTAAGGCCCCAGATGCCACCCAAACTGGTATGATTGTATTTACACAAAGCACCGATCAACAGTGCTGCTTCAAATTCTGCAGAAAAACTAAAAGGGTTCCTACGACATTGAAAGGCCAACCCCACCGGGAAGTTCTCCTGCAGAAGCCCCTCACCAGACCGGACTGAATGGAGCTTCTGCTGGGGAACTTGGTGGTTGGGGTTGTGCCCTTTAGTAAAGACACAACTTCTCTTCTGAGTTTTTATTCTATTTCACGATACATGATCATGGAGCTGGCACTAGCAAATAAAGAAGAAGAAAAGATCGAAGGCTTTTTTTCACGTAATACCTCAGAAGTTTGTATCGGGGTTTGCTTGGTTTTTGTACAGAGAAGAAGGAAAGTCTTTAAAAATGAAAGCAATTCCTCACATTCATTTTGGAAAGGCCGTACGTCAAGTGTAAGATAAATGACATGCCAAGCACAAAGCAAGGAAAAAAGTTCATCCCAGAAGCACCAACATCTGGTCGAGAAATTCTGTGCTCCTCCCAACCAGTCAGCTGTTTTTCTCCCCCCCACCCCTTGCCAAAATCCTTGACAGAACTAATTCCCATGGAGTTTGGACAATTGGTGTTTTCAGACCATTGAACGTACTCAGTGCTCTGTGTAGTTTGGGTGCGTTACTGGAGTGAAGATGCACTCTGAATCAGAATAGTTCTCGTGAATAAAAATGGGAAGAGAGGGAGGGAGGGAAGGGGGGAAAAAGAAACTCCAAAAGGGAGACATACTGTATACATCCACGCTCATTTCCCCGCAAAGGAGGCTTTGTGATACATTGTTACTTAAACTGATAATCATAAATAAATACAAACAATAATACATAAAGGAATGTCTATGCAAACGGAATATATAATTCTTTTTTAAAAAAGTTAAAACTTTCCATTATTGAGTCTAACATTTGCGATGACTGCAGAGAGGAAATGGCAGAATTAAAAGGGTGTTTTCGGATTTGATCCCCTAGAGAAAGTCGTTGGAGTTAAGGGTAAGAGGATGCCCAGCTCTTCGTTCCAAGCGGCAGTTCCAGGTGCTTGTTGTACCCTTCGTGGCAAAATAAGAGGCTTCCTTTTGTGTGTGTGTGTGTGTGTGTGTGTTATTGACGGAGAGTGTTAAAACAGGTGGCGAGTTACTGACATGATTAGAAGTCACCAGGAAGGGGGAGAAAGAAAAAGAAAAACAGATCCCACACCAAAATTGTGGCAATTCTTGGTTTTATACCGAGAGTGCTGCGGGGGTTCAAGGCTTCCCTATGTTGTTGGTGCTCCTACTGCTGTCGTGGGGCCTTGTGTGGTTTTACCAGGCCGTTCTAGTGAAGAGGAGAGCTGAGGCATCAGTTCTGATTTGGCTGGAAAGAAGGGTCTGTTGTCGAGCACGGGTCTTTCTGGAACTGTTCCTGTCCCACCCCTTCTGGTGCAGTTACATGAATTGTATCTGAGGAGATAACAAAGGTATCCATTTTACGGGTTTGCACAACTAACCTGCCCTCCCCCTCCAAACGTCCATTCACTGGCCATAGGCTAAGTAGGTTCCAAGGTATCAGACCAGGAATACAGAGATAGATAGCGCTTGAGTATAACGAAGATCAGCATTTCCCTATTGCATGTAGAATGTGCAGGTCTATTCCCATTTCCAGAGAGCCAGAGGGCACATTGGCAACGACTGCACTTGTATCGCCCTCTGGGGCGATAAGCAATTAAACTGTGGGCTGCAACCCTTGAGCTGCAGCCGAGAGGATGGGAAACTGCGGTCATAAAACTGGCGAAGGAATCTCAGGTCATTTCTTCAGGTGACAATAAAATGAACAGAAAACAGCATTATGGCACTTACAGGAGGGATTATGGATTGCTATATAGGACGTCAAAGCACATCTCTCTTGAAAGAGACTAGGGCTTTAGACCTAGGAGGCTATGCAAAAAACAAAACAAAACAAAGGTGTTGACAAGAGGTGGGGAGGGGGGAAGGGAATGTACATTTTCTGGAGCATGAACATTCCAATAAATGGGAACGAATTATGCAATGACAGCCTGTCAATCCACTTGCCTTCTTCCCACAATGTGCTCAGCTGCAGGGCTAGTGAAGATTCTGTTCTGGAGAATGTGAGGTTCAGTTATTTCACATGGGGAAAGAGGGTTGGGGTGCATGAGAAGTCTAGCATTAAGGGCAGAGAACCTGTACCCCCTCCAGATGCTGGCGGACCACCTCTGGGCTGGATTACTGCAACACATTATATGTAGGGCTGCCTCTGAAGACGGTTTGGAACCTTTAGCAGGTGCACAATCTGGTGGCCAGCTTACTCACCAGGCAAGGCGGTTTGAGCATTATTTACACCAATCCTGGTCCAACTGCACTGGCTGTCAATGAGTTTCCAGGCCCAATTCAAAGTGCTGGTTTTGACCTATAAAGCCCTAAACAGCTCAGGACCACAATACCTCAAGGACTGCCTCTCCCCATATGAACCAACCTGGAACCTGCGACCATCATCTGAGGCCCTTCTTCATGTGCCTTTTCCACGAGAGGTCTGGAGGGTGGCAACATGAGAACTGGGCTTTTCTGCAGTGGCTCCCTGTTTCTGAAATGCTCTCCCCAGGGAGGCTTACCTGACACCTTCATTATGTATCTTTAAGCACCAGGTGAAAATGTTTCTTGTCAACCCGGCCTTTTTAAAGGTGATTGTGGGAGGGGGGCTATGAGTTTTTGTTTTTATTATGCATTCTCATTTTGTATTTCTCTGTTGTGAACCGCCCTGGGATCTTTGGATGAAGGGTGGTATAATAATAATAATAATTTTCTTCTCTTGCATCCCACATTAGCAGCCGTGGTTTATAGCAGGTCACAGAATAACAACATGCAAATTTACAAAGCCCCAGACTGTGTCATTTTAATGTGAGGATGAATATTGCTAGGGACGTTAGCAAACGAGGCATTATCCGAGCTTGCAGTGCCCCCAGAGTTAACATGCAATACCTAAATTGTCCTATAAGAAATCCTGGAGGGAGAGCTCTGCAAAAGGATCCTTCCCTGAAGCTCTGTGTGGACTCTGAGTGGATGGGCTGGATGCTGCAGACAGCTGGGAAAGAAGATGTCAGAGAAGGAAAGAGAAAAAGAAGGCCTCAATGACAGAAATATGAAGGCAGAAAATGTAGTGATGGAGAGGAGGGGCTTAAGAAAGGTAGTTAGGACTGAAGTGGGCTGGTTAAAAAGAAAAGGTCTGATTGCATGCTAAGTTGAAATCTGCCCCAATGGTATGACAGATGCAGACATTAGAAGGTTACCTATAGGCAAAGGTGAATTTCTGGCATGTGACTGGCAGAAATCACTAGCACTTTATCCAGAGGGTATGGCAATGGTCTCCAATAGTTACCAGTCCCAACTAGGCACAACAGAGTGTGTTTCTGAAAACAGCAGAAGCTAGACCTGAAGTTAGCTTTCAAAACAACCTATGACAACCAGGCCTCACTTAAAATTTATTTACATTCCATGGATGGCCAATGTGCAGCATTAGGTGCCAAAAGCTGCATAAGCAGCAGAAAGAGGGCCGCATGTGTCTTGCTGTATATCCTTGTGTTCTCTTGAGAAACCTACGTATCTGTATTAGCATTAACCATGAAAAATACCATACAAACACTTGTTCACCGTTAACTGCTGTGGTCTTACACTTTCTCTGGTACAGGGGGAAAGTAGGGCCTGAAGGACAGAAGTGGCTTGCAAGGGATGAGGTTGACAAACATGGGCCAAACTAGACTTTCACAGCCAAGTACTCCGTTCCTTGAACAGCAGCAATGCATTCTGCACAGGCACACTTTTTAAGAAAAGAAAACCTGCTTTCCAGTAATAGTTACATGGCGTAATTGAGCGGGGAGGAGAAGCCTACTGTTAGAAAGTGAAAATCCACTGGGCAGCCTGACGCATGCATGAAGCAGCCCTTTGTATCCAAGCCCAGGACTCTCTCTATTAAGAGCATAACATTAGACCATAAGAAGACCCTGCTGGAGCGGGCCAAAGACCCATCTAGTCCAGCATCCTGGGCTCACAGTAGCCAACCAATGCCCATGGGAAGCCCACATACAGGACCCGAGTACAAAAGCACTCCAACTGGCAATTCCTAGCAACAGGTTCTCAGAGACGCATTACCTCCAACAGCGGAGGCAGAACACAATCATCATGGCTTGTAGCCACTGACAACTTGATCCTGCATAATTTTGCCTAATCCCCCTCTGAAGCCATCCAGAGTTGGTGGCCGTCTCTACTTCCTGTGGGAGCAAATTCCATAGCTCTACTATGCTCTGTGTATTTTTGTTTTGTTCTTCCGGAATGTTCTCTCCCCACGCCCAAACAATTCAGTTTCCTCAATTTGCTTGGATCAACACAGAACGGCAAACATCCACCAGAGGGAGAGTCAAATGCAGCTGACAGATGGATACGGTCTTTCTGTTTTGTTAGTGCACATTCCTGCACAAAGTGCAAGGGACTGCCTCCCCCCCGGTCACATTTATCGCCCAAATGATCTGCACAGCATCAATGTGTGCAATTGCTTAACCTATACATCCCATAGCCATTCACTGGCAGCATACTTGTTTTATGCAAGATGTAGTTTATTTGTCACGTACAGTTATTTTAAGGTACGGCCACTTCATGGCCATTGCTCAGACCTATTGCCAAGCCCTCACCATCCAACTAGCCCCTTCCTAAATGTTTATGGCTGGTCTCCCAGCTGTGACCAAAGATGGCACATTGGAAAGGTCTTAATGACAGAAAAGGCAACTTCAGAGCTGTGGAGAAGATTTTCCAGTGCATTTCCAGTCCTTGGTGATGGCAATCCAATTTGATTATTTCAAATAGAAACACACACACACACACACACCCTGATTGATTTGTGTTTTTTATATATAAAATCAATCAAACACATCTACTAGCCTTCTTTGAGACTAGGGAACATTTTTTGGCTTCTCTTTGAAAGAATCAAATCGTTTCAGTCACTCCCAAGGAAGTTATTATAATCAAAATCCTTGAACAGTGATAAATTTTCTTCTCTGAATGTAAGAAGTCGCCTCCCCTTTTGTACAGAGAAAGAATAATCATGGGAACAATCAGGTGCAATTTTCCACACATGAAAAAGGCGAGATGCAGCCTCTGACACAGTCCTGGTTCACCCAGCACTCTAAATGTTCCAAGTGGCAAGAAGCCTTCTGGTGGCTATAGTAGCTGAAACTGTTAAAATCAGTTGCTACAGCCACCTGTGAAGAAGCTCCTTCCAACCTTTGTGCCCCCTGCTCACCTCCAAGAGCACACCAAACAGGAGAGTTGACCTCCTTTTCCCACTGTTGCTGCAACAGTTATGGAGCAACAAGCTCTCTATGGAGAGCTGCTGCAGTTGGGAGCCGGTAGCTTAAGGATGGGGAAACTGGTGCTCCAGATGTTGGTGTACTACAGCTCCCATGATTCCTGGAGTCCAACATCTGGAGAGCCACATGCTCCCCATCTCTGCTGGCTGCTACAAGTCTCCTACCACACGGAAGCCAAATCAATGGACGCCTACATGAACTAGGGCTTGCCGTTTCTGAGTTTAAGGGACCATTGGCTAAACAAGGCAGAAACGAAATGTTGTTTTTTTTCTAGTAGGCGGTGTCTGGAGATGATTAAGTGGATATGGAAGAGGAAAGCGAAAATTATGTAGATGAATGAAGAGGAGGGAGGTTCCATGAATGGTCTCTTTCAGCTTCATGGCACTGATGGAAGTCAAGACTCATCCACTCAAGTTAGTTTTGCAACATGCTCAGTTCGTGTTATGTGGAAGGCACTCCCGCTCGTGCAGTTTTGCTAACAAAAGAGCTGCCAAGACCAACAGGTGACCAAAGGGGAGACGCTCTTTCAGAACCCTGAAGCAGGCGCTGGGTACACAATGCGTCTAGTGTGGAGGAACAGGGGGCAGAGGAAGAAGCCAAATACTGCCAGGGTTCAGAGCAGCAAACAGGCTCCCACAACGGGCCTTTGTTCCCTTTCCCAAGAAACGCTAATAAATCTGACATCAGCACAGTAAAGCAGAGTGTAAGGAGGAATGACAAACAGCTCCATCCAGCAGCAAACTCAGCAAGTGCCTCAATTAAAGGGTACATTTCCCAACATCTGGGGTTTCCAGAGGAAACCTATTTCCTCACCCATTATGTACATAGTTAAGATAAATCTAGACATTCACAAGAGATGCATAGTGGAAACTGCTGTAAGACATGTCATCACTTCTGAATATGTGCCAGGGAAGAACAGCAGACGACATAATGCTTCCACTGTCCGGAACAAAACTACCAAGCAGGATTTGACCCAGGTCTTCTCCCTGATATACTAGGATTTTTATGAGTGGGTCCTTTACATATCAAATGTTCCCCAACAATGCTAGTACCTACTTGCATTCTGAAGTGGTAAAGTCCCATCTTCAGGAAGGCTTTCTAATTTATGCATCCAGCTGAACAGCCAAATTCTCATTCCCTGCTTACTAAGAAACATAGAGCTTCCATTGCTTTAGGAAACTATTCAACAGACTCAAGGACACTGTAGGATTCAGCTTGTGACATCCCATCTCAATCTCAGGAATAACTCCCAAGAGTCAAACCTCACATTTTCTCACCAGGGAAGTACAGAAACCATGCCCTATAACCTAATATTTACTAAGAACTGGATGCATTCACGTAATACCTAGGTCAACATGAACAAATATACCTGTTTCTTTCAAAAGGGAAAAGAACTATAAACATCCAAATCAGGGAACAGTTTGGGCCTCAGGATATCAAACTTTCTTTCTTCCATCTCAATATATGTGCCACTACCTTTGGACTTCTCGGCCAAGCACATCCCTTTAGTAACACACAATCTTTGTTCATTTTTACTGAACCAATAAGCTTTAGATTGCTATTCAACATATCATCAATTAAATCACCAATGGGTGCAATCCACCAAACAGCCTTGATTCATTTTATGCAGGGTTACATCAGGGAATGTTCCATGGACAAACATCAATGAAGCAAAGTTTAGTGGCAGTGGCCAGCAGGCCTCTTCACTTGAAGTGCACCTGCTAGGGAGGGTGAGTTGTGTCAAATATTTGTCAGTCCAATGGCTGGCAGATCTGAAAGACCTACGTTAATGTCCTAAGCTCAACTCCCAAGTTTGCACAGCTAAAGAATAGCTTGTACCCACCACTCTAGATTGTCTCAAATTCTGAATATGTTACAGAAGCAGTAAAAGAGGAGCCACAGAGTACAGTGCAAATATAAGGGATGAAAATGGTGTGTGTGTGTGTGTGTGTGTGTGTGTGTGTGTGTGTGTAAGAAAAAAACCAAGTAGTAGTTTAAAAGTTACAGCAGGCAAGACTCTATGATTAAACCTCTTGATTTCCATACTAGAATAGAAAAAGGAGAACTGTATGTGCCACATCCTACTGGAACAAGCTTGGGTCCTTTTGAGGGCAAATTTATGGCTGATTTCAAAGGCGAAAAGTTTCCTGCAACAAATGAACAAACATGACAATTGCACACACATCTCTTCTGCTGTGTACAAACGCAATGTGAACCCACAACTGGCCACTCCTTCCCAGAATGTGTACAAGCAGATAAACAACTGCATGCATGCCACCAATCAGTGCCTGCTACACTTGGCTAGCCTGTGGTTTTGTACGAAGTAGTACCATTAATGGAGGAAATTGCCACTCCTGAAGTGGCACCTAGAAAAGCTAAGTTTTATCTGCAGCCTTAATCAGACTTTCTTCCTATCACCTCTTCTCTCTTTAATAAAGATCTAGAACACCCCTGCTAAAAACAGTGCCACTCTGACACCTTAGCTTAGCTTTTCAACAGAAAACTGAACAGTACTATTTGCTGCCTACTCTTCTGATGCTGAACTCTGGCTCCTCTCAGTCCCGGTGAACATGGCCAGTGTTAGGAACCATGGGAGTTGTAGTCCAGAAACATGGGGGGGGGGGGACACACGACACCACAATGTTTGCCACTGCTAACTATGAAGAACTGCTGCTCCCTCTTCCTTACCATCCTCTGTCTCTTAATACCTGAAAGCACTCTCTTCTAATGACAAGATGCCTTCTCAAACTTTCCTTCAGCGCCATCTCTTCCTGGACTATCCTCACCTTGCTTGCTAAGGGCCTTTTGGCACTGTTAGCTTTCCTCCATCCCATCTTCACCATTCCTTCCTTGGGGCTGCAAGTTTCCCAGGCTGAGCAGGCTTAACGGTTGAAGCAAAAGTAATGCACCACCTGACAACATGACCAAATATACACACAATGCTCTTGTTGACTAGCTTGTGAGCTGCCAGAAGCATACGGCTTTGTAGGCCAGTTCCACACCCACCTGGGCTCCCGATACAGGACCAAAAGGATTTGGAGGTCTCATGACAGGTTGGCTGTATATTAAGGTTGGTTGCGTCATTACTGGTACTCCTCCCATTTGGGATGGCTAAAAATCCAGAACAGCAAAGAATTAATTTCATGCACAGCTCTTTAAAAGAGACCACCACCAGAAATTGCCTCCAACTGTACAGTTTAGTTAGTGGCACTGTAAAGGAAATAATTAATGGAACATTTAAAAAAGCTTCCAGCAACCAAACATTGGGAACTTTTGGTCTGTGTTCCTATGCACCTTTCCACGCTTTTAGATAGGCTACTGCTTCACGTTTCTACATTGAGCTGAAAACTTTGAACAACATCTAGTGTGATATACCAAGCTCTTTCACTTTATTCATTCCTGTACCAGGCTAAGATGTTTTCATTTTTTAAAAAGCTAAAGCTAAAGCTAAAAGCTAAAGAGCAGCTATTAAAATCAACAAATATCTTAAGACCAGCCATTAAAACACCAACAGGCAAATTTAAAATTTGCTCAGATAAAGTGTCTTAACCAAGGATCAGAAGACTGCAGAGGGGGCCGAATAGAAATTCATTTAGATTTCAAATGCTGGGTTGTTAAGGAGGCATTGATTTTCCACTTAGCCCTGAACACTTTAGAACTAATCTGCAGTTTAGCTTCCTGTTGCATTTAGCACAAGGCATGCCCAACATCTGAGGCTAATCTACAAGGGTGTCACCTTAAAAAGGAGTGCTTTCAAACTTCCTAAGTTTCAAACAAACTCCGTATCTTGCCTGGTAGGAGCCTCTTTATATCTGCCAGAGGATTCTACATATGTTCTAGGATGGATACTGTTCCCATGTGGTGTTGGCCAAACCTACTAGGCTTCACCATTGCTCTGTATGAACAGAATGCCCTTAGAACACACACTGTATGGCTGCACATTTGTGGGGCAGGGGGAGCTGTTTTTCAAGGAAGCTCATTTCACTCTTATAGTCTCAGTGAGAAATGCTAAGGCTTCCTGGAATTTATTTTTAAAGTAGTCACTGTAACAGAAGATAGGTGGAAGTAAAGAACATTAAGTATTGCATTTATTTGTGTGGCAAAATGAAAAAGGTCAAAAAACAAACAAGTGGGGCTAAAATTAATCTGCCAGGTATGTGGCATCTTGTTCAACATATGTGTTGCAAGCACACCCAGAAACCCAAAGGAAATGGAAAGAGCAAGCTACGATAAAAGCGCTCCTAAAAATACTTCAAATGAATATAAACATTTACTGACCATTCCATACCCCATCATTCCTGTTGGTGTTGTAGCAGGATAGGCCATGACGGGCGGTGCCTAATGAGAAAGAGACAACCTTAAGCGGCATGCAAATGGAAAAGGCTTCACAAACAGCAATGAAATGCTTTTGACTGTAAATATGAGCATCTCTGACAGCTGATCAATTGATATCTGACAGAGCCAGAAACTGGCCAGTGAGCATCATGGTAACATCCTTGCAGGTAAGCCATTAGAGTTTCTTTAGCTGAACATGGCTACGAATGTACAAGGTAACAATATAGCTGGTGCCCAATAAGTTGAGAGGGCATCACTTCAGCCCCAGGATTGCTTTACAGACAATGTGAACCTAGCATCCTGGATAATAATAATAATAATAATAATAATAATTAGATGCTTCCCCAAAACAAGAAGTCGAGTGCTGTCAAACAAAGCCTCACTTGATGGGCTTCATGCAACCAGTAGCTGAATAGTCAAGGAACACCCCAGGCTATAAGCATAAAGCAGACAGCTGCCTGTCTGAACAGGAGCTGTTCTGAGTTTTCTAAAAAGGGCCAGGTAAAAGTTTGTTTCTGCTTACAGCATTTATAGGGAGTTTTTTAATTTGGCATGTTTCTTTTTTATGTAGGACTCGATGTTTGTTTGTTTTGGCATATCTTGTCAGCTGCCCCGGAGACTTATATGGAAGTATAAATAGTTCAAGAAGATATTTTACATCAATGCACAAGTTGAAATCCCATTTTAACAAAGATATCACAGCCAAAAAGACCTCCCAGCATCTGAAAGGGACAGACTGGGGTGTTCTTTCTGCCAGATGTGATGTTTGACAGTAGGAGGGTAACTTATGAAGCTTACCACCTCCTCCAAACCAGTGATACTTTTTTCAAAAAAAAATCTGCAGTTCCATATGCAAGACAACTATTACAGGAACTGGGCTTCTTGCTTGAAGTAACTACTTTGAAACTCTGCTCAAGCCCTCTGGCTTTGACACTCTTGCATCATACAGCAGAAGTCCTAGAAAGTGGAGGAATCTCTAAAAAATATGGCAAAGCAGAAAAATATAGATGCACACAAGCAATCCTGGAACTTTTCCTATACAAACCCTCTGAGCTTAGGGACAAATAGAACAGCATTGTTTTGTATCATGCCCTTAATCTGTAAGAACTGTTTCCGTAGGAGATTTAACTCTCCAGAAACAATATCCCTACTCTCCGGGGTAGGGATGGGAAGAAAAGAACCATACAGTGTTTCAAAAATGTTTACTCCTTTGAACTGTAATAGCCACTGGACAATGGAATCCAACTTGCTATTGGCTAACATGGTTAATGAAATGACCATGATTAATATTCATACAGCCATTAAGCAAAATATTATGCATTTGCATACTTAGGCCATACATTTGCTAGGCTTTTAGGAGCTGAAGGCTGGCTTAGGATTTCCCCACAATGAAGAGAATACAGGGAAAGACCAACAGTAACATGGAAGGAGAAACCAATTGGGCTAAACTGGGATCACTATAGTTAAGAGCTAAAGAATTAAAGTCGCTTAAGATTTTGGATGTAAAACAATACAGTTGCAATATCCACGTGTAAAGCAGATAGGGTGAACCACACACACAGTAGCTGTAGAAAAGCGGGAGTGAGGGAACACCCCACAGTCAATGAATAAACTTACCTTAAAACATTTGGAAAACAAACACATTAGTTACTTCATTCTTTAGCTCTTATTGACACAAGAGAAATTAGGTTGACTTGTCATTTTAACCACTGTTACTTGTCCTTTTAGTGCTGAAGGGAGATGCCACCCATCTTTGAAGGATAATTCAAAAGTTTTAAGTCTTTCAGATACACAACCAAATGGGTGAGCATTTTCACTTGGTTTAGTATTTGGGGACGTATTGGTCTCTCCCTATTTGAAATCAAGTCTGCAGATAGTGAATTGTGAAGTCGAACAGAAGCCTGTGAAGTTTCATGCAGTTATTTCACACGCACAAATGCCTTTTTTGGTTTGATTTATCCACCAAATGCATTTTAAAAAAAGGCAATACAGACACACGCACCAGCTATCTCGCAGCAAATGGCAGAGTTTAAAGCAAGAAAAATCATCTTAGTATTTTTCCATGCCATCATTGGAGAAAAGAGGCCCACAGAACACCTTGAGATCTGGATAAGCTAGATAGAAGCTGCTCAAGGTTGTCGTCATGCCCAAAGATCTTAACTCAAGAGAAAAAAAAGTGTGGAATAGCAGGATTATGAGATTCTGCTGTAGTGGTTAATATCAGCATGCCAGTTTTGATTGCAAAAAGGAAAAAAAAAGGCTGCAGGTTTTGTTCACTTACGTATTGTGGAAAATGCATGCCATTCTGTTTTCCCCCGGAAGAACAATTACATAATGCAATAACACTGGATTAGAAATGAGTACTTACACAACAGAATATACACACAGAGCATTTTAGTCAAAAAGTGAGTTCAAACCCCTCCCCGAAATATAATTTTTGTAATCCAAAGCCACTTAAGCATCTGGTAAAAAGGACACAGACAAGGTTGACGAAGCCGCAGCACGACCTCTGCATTTCTACATGTTTTTCACATGCTTTGTGTTGGCAAGTTTTCCATAAATGCTGGAATCTACCGGTACCAATTAAAGGGAAAGCACTCACAAGGGAACCAGAACAGGACAAACAGAGTTAAGGCAGAGGATGAATGGAAGTGAGTTAGTCCTTCCTATTCTAACAGCTCATGAAAACCATTTAGGAATCTCATAGCTTCAGGTGAGACTTATCAGACAGGAGCTGTGTCACAAGGCAGTTCAGCACAGCTCCTAAAAGGAAATTATTAAACATTTAGAAGCAACCATCTCCAGGAATGAAAAGTTAAGGCAGAACGAGATGCATGGGCTGGAACATTTGCTGGAGAGGTTTGGTGGGAAGGACAGGGTACTCAAGCCGCCCCTCCTTTTACAAGTGTCTTTCTCCCAAGTAGTTTGTAAAGGTTACAGCTAACATTGGGTGGGAAAGTGGCATTTGAAGGTCATTGTCAAATGACCATTATCTCAAAATACACATGGGTGGAATGGTGCCCAGTTCAGTCACTAAGTTCCCATTTTAAAGCACAAAAATAGTAACACAGGCAGGCCAGAATGTCTAGCAGTTAGCACGTGCTTAATTCAGAGCAGTGTAGATGGCCTTACGCATTTGATCCTGATTGTGTTAGAGGCAAAAAGCTGTTCTCTGTAGCTTTTAACACTAGCCCTCCTTCCACAGTTATCCTCTCCTGTCACACATGCCTGCCCAGAGTTGTAGTATTTATTACTTGAAAAGTCACATATATCTACTGGTAAATGATTATGAGCCACCACTTCCAAGCATGTTAAAAAAATACACCAGGCTAGCAACCGTCACCTATTATTATTTTCCTGCAGGCAAGTCAACAGCAAGAAGGCAACTGATCGAACACATGAGGCATCTCTTTCAATTTCTCTTAACAAGTTATATGACAATACAGGCAGCATCAGACATGAAGTTTTTGCTCCCTGCCTTGCTTTCAGTCACACCATATCTTTTTAGTACAATTCAAATCCTCCCTTGTGGCTATTGTGCCATCACATGGATCTGGAGAAGTCACAGCTTGGAACCTTTTAGAGCACTTTTGGGATGTGGAGGGCTCCTGCCCCTACAAGTCCTTTATGACCTACTGAGACTACAATTGTTTCTCTTTTAAAAGATTGCTCAGGCTTCAAGGAACAATGCACCTCAAAATACAGAGTTTCTGGTGAAGGCTTAATATCCAACATAGGTCTCCTTTCACAGGGCTTATGATGAAATAAAACTTTAAATTATGATGCTTCCCTCATTAGAATGTACCTTTATTAAAAGTCAGCATGGTGCAGTGGATTGGGCATTGACTTGGCACAAGGAGACCTGGGTTCAAATCCAGTATCAACCAGAATCACTGGCTGACTTCGCACAAAACCAGTGCAACCTCTCTCACAAACTTTGTGAATAAAATGGTATAAGGCTATGGCTTGATTTAAATCATCTTTCCTGGCTTCCTAATACATGTTTCATAAAGCTGTGAACAAGTGCTGGGGCTGAGCATTCCTTCTTCACTCGTCCCCTTGTGATGGCTCCAAAGCTTCATTCCTTGCTTGTACTAAGCCAGACTTCCCCATTTCACCTGAGCTATGTCCTGGCTTCATATGAACCAGGGGTGGGGAACCTCAGGCCCAGAGGCCAAATGTGGCCATGTCCCTCAAATGTCCTGCTCTGCAGGTGATTCCACATGGCTGCAATGTATCCTTCAACTAGGATAATGATTCTTGTCTGCATGCATGTGTAGAAACCTCTGGTGTTTACACAGGCTAGATTCCAGTTATGGTACTAACGGAATAGTAATATGTGTTGCTCCGCCTACTTTTGCCTCTGGCTCCACCTACCACTGACATGCAGGCCCTTGAAAGTTGCCCACCAGGGAATGTTGCCTCCGTCCCATCCCTGATATAATCAATGCTTAAAATTCATCTCAACCCCTTTTGTGTATGCTTATATTGAAGTATTATAGTGAAATTGTGAGACAAATGGATTAAAACTTCAACCTGTTTCAAGTATGGCAGTCCAGGTTAGATACACATTTTTCTGTGCAATCGTCACGAGGCTGTCAATGCCACGAGACCTCTACATCACTCAAGGATACTATATCAGCACAGTATGTTTGAGTACCCAGGTTGCTAACCTTAAAACACAAGCCTGGCTCCACTGGGATGACTCTAGCTAATAAATATCCAATTAAACATCACCTAAATGAAACGTGTCAGGTTGTTTTAGGCTCCCACGATAAGTTCTAAGATTCTCTGCCTCTCCTGACAAAATTCCTATAGCCCTCCTACACTTTCACAGCATATTTTGAGCTGCTGGAATTCTTTCAATATGCCTACAGCAACTGCTTACCATTGTTGGAGTGTTCCATGCTGTTGTTGGTGCAACTTTGGGTTGCCAGTTGGAGCCTCCAGTTAGTTTCTTTTCTCCTGGCTGTGTCCAGTTCACATCACTTAGGAAAAAAAAGGGGGGAAAGATCTTAAATCCAGGGGATGGAGGGGAATCTAGCTGCCTTTCTTGCAGACATGTTTAAAAATAAACTAAGTTTAAACAAGGCAAGGTTAGAGCAATATTTCTTATCCTGAAACTATGTACCTCAACATCTCCCTGTTCAAGCCTCCAAAAATAGATAAAAATGAAGGCAAATACTATCCATTAATGCACACCACTCTAGAAACACCAGCAAACAATTGGCTCAAGCCTTACATAAATAGGCCAAAGGGACCAAATGTAAGGCAAACATGCAGAAAGAAGCAAGAAAGCAGGCAAAGAGAGTGTACAGTCCCTGGATAATAAGACTTGGGTACCTAGAAGTCTGTAATCTTGAGGTGAACTGATTGCAAGATTAACTGTTCATATACAGCTTCCCTAATTCAGAGTTCTCCTGCTCCCACCCCCTCAAAGACATTCGCTATCCTACTCAGAAATGGAAAACCTGGGAAGGGAAAGGGGCAGTGTTACACCCTCCCTGCCAGGTTCATCTCAAGAACCTTAGTCTGCATTTGCTGTGCAAAATTGCTGCAAAGATGTGCTTAATGGGTTAAAACACCTGCATATTGCTGCAATAAGAAATACTCACTTCTTAGTTGTTCCATTTCCAATGCCCAGATCTGTTACAAAACAAGAAATAAACAATTGGAAGCTGCCCATTCATTTATTTCAATTATCCAAGGAGTTGGTACTGTAAACTTTACATAAACTCTACTTACTGCCCACAAGATTGGCTAAAGATGAATCCAGATCATCCAACACTAACTTGTTAGGTGGACCTTTTGAAGTTGGAAGACTCTGGTTTTGAGAGGCCACTGTCGGTTTTAGGAGTCCACCTAATTCATCAAACCCTTTAAGAAAAGCCAAGTAGTATTAAAGGCAATGGAATCCATGTCAATGTAGCATGAGGCATCTTAAAATCAGTATTTTTAAAGTCTAAATGGTATAAAGCTGCAATTATTGTTGTTACTGTTATTTTTCAGTGGAGAAATGGAAAATCCATACATTCAGCACCCAAGATCCAAAAAGAAATGGTAAGAGCACTGGCAGCAGCAGGAAAACATTGATTGATTGATTGATTGATTGATTGATTGATTGCATTCATATGCTGTCTTTCTGCCACAGAAGTCAAGGCAAAGTTGGTGGCCCTTTCAGGGCCCTGGCCTAGTCTTCCTTGCTGTTTCAGTAAAATGTCTCAAGCAACAATACAGATTTATTGTAGCGTAAGCTTTTGTGGATGAGAAACTACTTTATCAGATTTCTGAAAAGGTTGAGGCATCACAGGAAGTTGTCCATGAAAGCTTAATCCAAAACAAATGCATTAACCCGTTTTATCAAGCCAAAAGATCCAAACAGCTTTTTAAAGGCTGGCACCAAATATTCTATCACCCAGTGTGATTTTTGTGCATCTTTGAGCAGTCTTTTAAAAAGGGTACTTTAAAAAGAAAGAAAGGAAGACCTACCACCAGAATCCACAGGTACATTTGAAGTTTTGTTGCCAAACACAGACTCAAAGTCAACATTAAGGCCTGCTGAGGGCTGCGATGGAGCAACAGGAGACTGGGTGAACCCTACAAACAAGACATTTAAAAAGAGCTTATTTATATGCAGTATGTGAACTCTCAACTTGCATGTAAGTAGCAGCTCTATAGCCATAAAAGGATTATGGGCATTCAGACATTGAAAAGGAGCCTGCAAAGAAAGCTTTCCTTGCAGAACTGTATGTTACTGCAACTTGAGAGGAATAACCCATGAGGCAAGAACTGATGGACTCAAGTTTGCATGTTGCATATAGGCAAGGAGCAACAACATCCCCCCCAAGACACTGGAGTAGGCTTCACAGCAAGAGTTCTGCAGTACTAGTAAGCCTTTCCAGTTTCAGCCCTTTAAGGCAGAATTTTTCAAAACAAGATGGCCTGGTGCAGTTATTCAATTTTGTCACTGCTATACTATCTGAGAGCAGATTTATTTTGAAGCGATAATAGACTCCTAGTTTCCTATTTCAGTTCACTACTTGCAAAATAGCCACCTCTGGGATTGAGTTGTATTCAAAATCACTCACTGGTGCTCCCAACTCTTCCCACCCTATCCCCCACTCCCCATTTTCAGACATTTTCCCAGGCACATAAATTGCTACATCCCAAACATATCAGTGGGACTTAGGACCTACACATCACCTACTTTAATCCTGAGGATTCTAAATAAAATGCCCATAAGCATGGTCAGGCACGTGTTTTAAAATTCATTTCCACCTGGCACCAATTTGACCTATTTTGCTTTTTAGAGACTTGAGAACTTCTTGCTAAAATGGATAGATTTTTTTTTTTAAAAAACCCTCATGTAGTTGCAGTATTACATGAATGCTTATGGCTACTTCAGCACTGAAAGCAACTCGGTAGTTTAACATGTAGCAGCTACCAGTTTCTTTAGGTAGAATGCTAAAGCTGCATATAGCACCATGCTTCCCCATTTTATTACGACACACTATACTGCTAAAATCCTATACAGACTGTCTGCTCCAGAAGGCTCCCCTAATCAGATCAGTACCATGCAACAGAAGAAATGGGAAACAAAGGTGGACTAAGGTGGCAAGGGATTGAAATACAAATTTATTATATAAACATATGGTCCTTTTAACATCTTGTATACTGTAAGCAACTCTGGTTGCTCCCCCAGCCTAGTTTATAAAGCTGTAGATAGCACAGAAGAGAGACACTAAAGTCATTACAGGACGCAGCATTTTTCCCTACAAAGGACAACTGAAGACAGTTTAGAAGAAACAACACGGGCACAATAGAATTTAATAGTGATGAACAGTACTGACCAGCAGAACACTGGAACTTAGGCACTGACTATAGCATGAGAGGCAGCCAGTGAAATTTCAGCAGATTCAGGATAAAAGGCAAAACGCAACAGAATTTGTTATAACAAGATGCATCAGTTCTCATTACTGGCTATCGATAATCAAGACAGAAATGGATCAAACTTCAATGAGGAACAAGGGGTGGTCATCACTACTATGCTCTTGCTTGTGAGCATCCCAAGATGGACTTGATGGACCTTTGATCTGATCCAAATGGTCCTTAAGTTCTCAAGACTGGAACATGTATTACGCTAGCACTGTGATGGCTAAATCAAAAACAGCACTGGGCACTGTTCCACAAGGGAACTTGTCGCACTAAGTACAGTTGGCCCATTTCAGAGAGAGCAGTGCATGCTTGCAAGGACAAGGACAAGGACAAGGACAAGGACATGGACACACACACACACACACACACACACACACACCACTTAATGAGAAGACCAATGTGCCTGTTTCATGGGATCAATGTTTGCAAAGTTCTTATAATTAAAGCTAAAACATTTCCAGGATAAAAGAAAATAAAGACAGTGGCTTTCAGTTATAATGTCATGCGGGGTGCTTTAGAAGTGCACCCGCCAAATCGCTGTCAATTGCCACTCGTTTCAATCTGTGATTTTCTATGAACAAAAAGTGATACAGTGAAAAAACTGATTAAAGCAGTCTTTAGATTTGCAACCTTTTCAGCAAGGACAGGCTAAGTTATTTTTAAAAACAAGCTGGACCCATTTTGATGCATCAGTTTTGGAATTATTTTTAAGTGTTAATCAGCTGATGAAAAGCATACAACTCTCCAGCTTGCTTACAAACTGAAATGGGCATGTCTGCATAATTTTACCCAAGTTTACATAACTAAACCAAGTTCCTGGGCTTCAAAAGCCTTTTACCTACCTCCAAATAGGCCAGCTACAGTTGAGGGCTCACTGCGGAAATGGGAAGCGTTAGGAGGATAAGCTTGAGGACCACAAAAAGAATCTGATAAAGGTATAGGAAGCAGAAGAGCAAAGAAGGAACAGTTACAGAAAGAAAGGAACAGGACACTCTTATCTGCTTAACCAATTATTTGGACACTAAGTTAAGACAACAACTACGTGACCTATAACACACACACAAGCAATCTAGCAACAACTTCTAAAAAAAGGGAAGATTTTACACTATCTAAAGACGGGGGGGGGGGGGGACATCATAAAATGCCATGTTTTACAGCTCTGAAAACAAGCAAGTGTAAAACCCTCAAGGCATTTATATTATACCTGAAGTAAAGTGACAGAGCTGAAAAGTGGATGCATATTTGGTTTCCACAAAGGGGTTTGATTCAGTAAATGGATTGAAGCGATCTAGAGAACCAGAAAGAGTTAAATCGAAAGTCATATGATGACATGGTAATCTTAAAATTTACGCTTCTGGAGGTCAAATTGTGCCACATCTAGCTTGGAATGGAAACTCCATGCGGCCAAGGGCACATAGCTGGACATAAATATTACCCCATGGACTGCATACTGCACACAGTAGGTAGGGCAACTCTATATGTGGCTCATTTAGATGAGCAACACTGTAGTTGATATGCCTGTAGCAAAGGCTTGCCTGCTTTTAGGGGGGAACTGCCCCCAATTCAGTAACCTCTGGGTGTTGTTTTAGTTGCTATTGTGTTGTTTTAGTTGCTGTTTTACAAATATTAGATAAAACAATAAGGCTGGGAAGGAATATAAAGTCTCCTCTCTCCGCCCTCAATCCCTAAGTAGTTGCCCATCTGAATTTACACAGCTACCACTGCACTACATTCTGTAGGTCATGTATTTTCAACTGGGAAGGGAACTCAAACTGTCATTAGGTAATAGCTCATTCGTTTTATCTTTCTTTTCTCTCTTTTGAAAATCCTAAATTTGCCCAGAATAGTCTGATAGTCAAGAGAAAGGGAAAAGCCAGTCAGATGGTACATTACCAACGAACATCTCATGAGTTGGTGTCCTAGAAGTGAAAGTGGGTAGTACGTCAGAAGAGACAGAGAGGTGATCGCTAGATTTTGTGAGGAAAGGATTTAGGCTTGGAACGGCATCATCAACAGCGTCAGCAGTAGAAGTGAAAGGATCTGTGCAGTCCAAGCAGAGCAAGAAGGAGAAGAAGAGGAATAGGGGTGGGGGACCAGGTTAGCTGTGCATTAGTCAGGAACAGCATAAGCAGTTCTGTAAGTCAGTTTTGCTTTAAGATTATCAGTTCGCATTTCCCCCCCGACACCTACATAAATGGCTTATTGGCAAGAGGTAACAGGCATTCTCTAAGTTATCTTGATTTAGGTATTTCCTGAAAAGGACACTGTCTTAATACTCTGGTCTCTGGAAGTCAGAATCCACCTACAACATACTGCACAACACCTTTGATATAGAAGAATTCCTTCAGTGCAGCACCTCTAACTTGGATCATCCACCCCCAGCCCCTGGGCTTTGCCCAAGACTTGCCATGAGCCCTCACTATGCCCATACAATTTCCTTTCTTAAATGCCTTTTTATCTCTCAAGTTCTAAAAAAACCCTTGCTGTTTTGACTTCTGGGCTCAGTTCACACACCATGGTAAACCATAGTTAACAGTTATGCACAGATCACTCCGACTTCACCCTCCTCCCTCGCAGAAGCCACAAACCATGATCCCTGGCTCAACCAACTGGGGATTGTGGCTTGTTTCACTTAAACAAAACACAACTGGTAAGTCAAGAACAAACCTTGCTTTAACATTGCGGTTTGTAGCAAAGCAAGCCACCATCTCTGGTATGGAAGCAACACTAAGGGGTCATGGTTTGCTGCTCCTGCATGCCCTGGGGGAGGAGCAAAGCAGAAGCCACCGGCCCATTCATGGTAAACTATTAACTATGGTTTAACATGGTGCGATAAAGCTGCTAGAGAATTAATCTTTAGGCTAAAGTCATGCAGCCCTCACTCAGTTCAAAACACAATGCGATGGCACAGGCTGCAGCCTACACTATGAGGAGGAGGAGAGTAACTCGGCTAACCCAACCTCTCCTTTGGTCTTCACTGCTATTGCTAAGCGGATATTTTTTTATCCCTGATTGTCTCTGGAACAGCATTTAGTGGCCCAACCAGCTCTCTTTACTAGATAGGATGGTGAGGAAATTAGGTGTGGGATGAACAAGACTGCAGACAAAACAAGACATCAGACAAAAAAAAATGTAGTTTGTACTAAAGGTTTTCTGTAAGGTAGTAATTTAGAGAGTTTTTTTCTAATCAGTCAACCAGAAGACCAAATAAACATATAAGCAAATACATCCAGCTAAACCTTGTCTAAACTATTTCCCTGTTCAGTGTGTATCAGTAAAGCCCGCTCTGTTCCGTTTCTGGAGTCTTACCGCAGCCCTCTCCGTTTTGTCTTATTTCTGACTGAAGCCTTAAATTTGCCAAGCGTGCTCCAACTCTAACCAACCAAAACCCACTCAAACTCGCTTCCACTTGCCTTCAAACTCTTGGCCAATCATAAGGGCAGTAGAGTTTTGTTTAAATTTCTGTTTCCCATAATTTGTTACGTTTCTTTTCTCCCTCACATTTCTGTTTCCTGGGCTGTACTTTAACTTCCAGGTCAGAACCACCTCTCAAAACCATTTTCTGATACCCCCAAAACAAGATGTAAAACAGCTGCGAAGTTTACTTCCTGCACAATGGTAATGAAAAACAAATTGCCAATCACAGCTATAGGACAGGGGTGCGAAACCTCAGGCCTGGAGGACAAATGTAGCACTCTGGGTGTCTCTCCTCAATCCTCAGGACTCTGTCCATGCTGTGCCATCCCACCACGCCTCTGCTGCACCCTCCTCAAATACTTTTGCCTGGTTGAAAAGTGGTCATGAACTGTGATGATGTTTGCTGAGATGAAGAGATGTGTGCATACACAAAGAAACCTCTTTGTGGCTATTGCAGCTGACTGCACAATGGCAAGAGCCACATTTGTCGGCCCACCCACTGCTGCTTCTGGCCCCGCGAAGGTTGTCCATGACGGAATATGGCCCTTGGGCTCAAAAGATTTCCCACTCCTGCTGTACGGATTACATTTAAGTAGAACTTATTTATCAAGTGAAGAAAAAAAAGGGGGGAGAAGCCTGAACATGGTCTACCATCTTCTGAAAGAAAAACCCTGAAAAGCAGATTTACATCCTTCATACAGAAAATTCTACCCATTTCTAAATAATTCTAGTTAACATTTTCAGCAAGGATTTGTCCTCAAAAACAGAATATGCTTATTCTACTTCAGCAACCACAAGCATGAACGAAGCTACCAGAAAAACATGTCTACCATCTTGCCTGGCCCTCCACTATCCCACAAAATATTTTGCGGCCAGAGAAAAAGAGTGCAAAGCTGTCAAAGCTATGAACAAGAAAGGACAAGTATTAAAGGCAACTTGGCCAAATTACTGCATATTCTTCCGGGGGGTGGGGCAGAGGACATGATAGAAGGTGCATTGCTGCAAGAAGGCTCGTTTGAGGGAATGAAGCCCCAACATGAGCAACTTTGACTAGTACACAGATGCCTTGACCATGGTTTTAACTTTGGAAAGGCAGCATATAAATAAAATGATCGATAGATATTACATTGGGGGGGGGGTGTGTTGAGGTATTACCCAACATATTAAATACATCTGAATGGCTTAAGCAACTGAAAAGCTCAACACGGTAGGTCACATCTTATGCACGTTTGACTTGTATGATTTTAGCCATACACACATGAAGGCAGGCTTGTTGAAACTGTGCAAGTTAAATCCAAGGAAGGTGGAGAGCTCTTTTGTGTCAGGGGTGGCCCAGCATGTAAGGAGCTTCTAAGCTGTCTGCCTTTGGAGGCAAGGCCTGTGCAATGCACCAGCTCTGGGATGTTCACATAAGATTTTACAGGAAATCAGATGGCCCCGCAAGCATTTCAAATTAGCGTTTGCAGAGCAAAGGCGAATCATTCTGATACTCTGGACTTCGCTCCATAGTCCAGACTTACCTGAAATCAAGCCTCACAATAACTCACAATGACTACAAAGATACAACTATGATTGGGGCTAAACAGGAAACGAAGTTAAGCTATGCGCTATGATACACCATGTTTTGTTTCCAATCCTTCAAAATACGGTGTGAAGAATTATCTGTCCCAGACATTTTTTAAAAAAATCTTTTTACCTAATTTAACAAGGCAGGAAAGCTTAAGAGTCTATGAAATATTACTGATGGTTATGAGTGACTATGAAGTAACCAAAACTGGGATTTAACTGTGAGTTTCTTACCTCCCCAGGTCCCTCCTACTTGTGGCGCAGAGGATATAGGATGCACAGACGGATGAAAGGTTGGCTGCAAATCAAGGAGGTCATTTGGCAGCTTTGATGTACTATGGAAACAGATGAGGGCAACTATCAAAGACTTGAGCAACATTGCCTTTCTTTCATAAAACTTAGCAAAGCTATTCAAACTATCATAGTGTTTTCCTAAATGGAATGTGTGTGCATGCATGAAATGTGGCAGAATTTAGCTCACTGGATATCCAAGGCCAGGATCAAAAGGAGGCATCAACATGCCCAGAGGGATTGACTTTTTCCTTTTGGAACCGCAGCCACCCCCATCTCTTTCCAGTATCAAAGGCAGCCTGCTGTAAGGTATTATTTGGAAGGAGAGAGGCATACCATTGGAGTGACAAAAGCACAATGACTCCCTGGGCTCATCAAATTAGTTGTGTGGTTCTTCACATGCTAGCACAGGTTTATTGCTCCTACTAGTTGCATTGAATATATAGCACAAGTGGGAGATTCACATAGATACTTAGGAGGTTTCATTTGCCAATAATTCTTCTGTTTTTAAAGGCTATGCTGCAAGTTTTGCAGTTTGCAGAAATGCAGATGTAATGAAGCATTCATTTGGTTGGGCTAAACTCATGTTTATTTTTGCTGCTTAGAGTCAAAGCAACAGTGCACACAGTCATATTGTGAGGTCCCACCACGCAAACCATTCTGGGTATCAGACTGCATCAACGGTACACTGACTGTTGTACTGTTCTTCTCCAGCACTTCTATAACAAAGCAGTGCTCGTAGGTCAAGTCCACAATTGCTGGTGATGGTATCCATGTGGCACCAGAACACACAGTGCTTTTCACTGCAATCAATTTCATATTAAAACTCCAGTTTTACATCTTTTTGAGAGGCTTTATAGAGTTTGGAGCAGTGCTACTCAAAGTGGTGGTCCACAGACTGGTGCCAGTCCATGACCCATCAGCTGCCAATCCCCAGTGACCACCACAGCCCAGGTTAGATGGGAAGCTAAATGGACCAAATATGGTGCCAGTCCCTGGAGAATTGGAGGTGGTCCACCACATCAGATAGCTTGAGAAGCACTGATCTAGAGAATACATGTGTGTTTGCACAAAGGAGCGTCTCATACTTTTGTAGATCATCAATGCGGGATCAGCAGTGTGCACTGAATATTGTTAACCCCTGCCCATAACCTGTTTTAATGCAAAAACAAAAAATCCAAAATCCTAAGGATCTTTAATTGCATAGGACAGTTTATACTGACAGGCTCAGAGGTACTGAATGAAGGTTGTGACACTGTTAAAAAGATGTAGCTCTGGGACCACTGAAAAAAACCCTACAAATTACAGCATAGTTCTACTCTTTCCTGATAACGCAAGAGTGTCCTGAGCAGTTGCATACTTAAGCATTCAAGCATCACTGCCTTTCTTATACATTTAACCAGGATGTTTGGCTTATTCTCCCTTGGCACTAGATAAACAAACCTTACGGTTAGCTTATGTCAAAGCCAAAGAACTACACAATAAATAAAATCTACAGAACAGTCTCATTTTAAGGATGTACTCTGCCTAGAAGCATCCCCCCCCCCCCAATTATGAGCAGTTCTGACATATATCAAGGGCATACCTGTTTGAAGAACTAGGTGTGGAAAAAATGTCAATGGCTGGTGTAGTCATTATGCTTCCTGCTGCATTAGACACAGGAGAGGAGGCTGTTGTTAAGGAGTTATGAGGTTTCTTTGCAAGTTCTTTTAGACGTTGTTCCTGATGGGAAATAAAGACAATTTTTAAAAACAAAGGGCTTTTTTTTGCTTAGGCAGCTGATAAAGTTAAGCAGAACAAAGCCCTCAAATAGCTCTATTAAGACCTCTAAAAGGGGGCAGGCAAACTACAAATGGGCAACAGTGTACATTGTTGTGGTTTTACATTTTCTTATAAATGGTTCTCTGTGTGACCCAGTAGTCCAGCATACAAAAAATTCAGGCTAAAGGCTTTGAAAATAATAATCCTATATTCTACTCCTAATTTCATATATATAGCCCCCAACGTTTGGGAGACAGAAAGCTTGTTCCAACCACCCAAATATTCATAGGCAGCTTTTAAATTAATGTGAACAAGCCATCCTTGTCAACTGTGATCCACTGTTTTATATACACAGCCTGCTTTTTCGTCTTTGAACACTGTATATACTAAGGGTGGGAAATCTTTTTCCATACAGTGGTGAGTGTGGTCAGACATACAGCTCCCTCTATCCAGGCAAGCAAGAGGTATTATCATAGTTCAAAAGCATAAGCAATAGGGGAGGATGCAAAGCAAGGCAAGCGAAGGGTGTGTCCTGGAGGGGATGGCAGAGTTCAGAGCTAGACAGAGAGCTTTGAGGTCCCTCATACTTGCTGTGCAACCATTAGGCCGCCTATATACCACACTCAGTACAAAGGAAAAATCATGCCCACCTTTAAAGCTTTTAAACGTGCCTGCTCTTCCTCTAGTGCGGCTTGTTTTTCCCTTTCATCTACTTTGGTGAGCGACAGGCCGGTGCTTGCGAGGGAGGAGACTGCATTGGAAAGAGTGGTAGCCCTAGGAAAAGTTGACAGAAGGAAACCTGGCAGTTATACAGACGACACAACAGAGAAAGATGCTCAACAGAGCTCCGCTTTGTTTTATTCCAACCTATAAACATACAAGACTCTTTTTTCTTTTGTAGACTTAACCCTGGGAAGCAGATTTTGCCTGTGTTTCTGTACAGATTGTACATATTTGACGGAAGGGCAATTTGATGGAAACACTTGAAGTCAGCCATGCTCTGTCTATTTCAGGATTCAGTTTATTCACAATGGAATGTGCCCCACTTGGCCTGATTGTACAAACAAAGTCAAAGCAGCACACAATCTCTAGGACTTCCGAGAGATAAAATGACATAGCGCTGTTAGACACCACTTCGGTCTAGCCTAGATCACATGCATTTTCCTTACTGGTCCTGAAGTCTAGAAGCTATATCAGTTCATTTCAAAGTGTGTGACCAATGCTATATTGGTGACAAAGGCAAGAGAAAGCTGCTGCCACAACCTTCTGCACTGCTGTTGTGGTTGGTTTGCAGAGATAAGCAGGTTGAGTTCTTCTAGCAGTTGCAGGCTGCATCCAGCCAAGTCATGCAGTATATCCTGCCTTGCCTTCCAATGAGCTCAAGGTGGCATGCATGGTTCTCCCTCCCTCTTCTTATGCTAGCAACCCAGTGAGGCAGGTTAGGCTGAAAGACTGACTGGTCAAGGTCACCCAGGGATTTGAACCCTGGCTGAATCTTGGTCTCCCAGGTCCCAGCTTGAAACTCAAACCATTACACTTTAGATTTGCTGAAATCAACTGGTGTTAATTACATCACCTATTACATTTATATTTGATGTTTGGGAAAACGTAAATGGCCACGTAGGAAATGTTCAAATTTGGAAATAACAGAGGGTGTTGTGTTACCATGACTGCACCCAGATAAGAACACCTGAACAAGTAACATTCTTTCGATTTTTACAAATAAGGACACATGTGAAGCATATTTGAGGAATATTCAAGCATTGCCCAACATATGGTGCCAACTACAAGGAGAATTTAAAACATGCCTGCTTGCAGCAGTAGAGTCTTTGATTTTCTTTCCTTCTAAGGAGGCTAAGTGCTGTTCCAATGCATCAAGAAGGCTGCTTGGTGCCTACAAAAGAAAATCAGTAGCCTTTGAGAAATTAAAGGCAAAAAATGTCAGGTCCTCCAGTCGCAAAGAATTCAACAATAAGCAGGTAAATACAGGCAGCAGCTCTTAACAGCACCATCACCAAAATTTTATTTAAAATGCTGCATGGTACATGTGGCCCTAGATTGCTCATTTTTTAAAAAAAACCATCCATGCATTGAAGAGAAATACAAAAGGACAGCACAAGGAAAAAATGGCACATTCATGAATGAGTAGTCTCTCTATGTTCCAAGGGTAAAACTTGAAAGCAGCTACTAAGCCACATAAACATGTTAATGCACTATTAATCTTTGCCAACCTGAATTAGTATTTTGGGTGCAAATGCTTATATAGACAGCTGCACCTCTATTACAGAATTTAAACTGATTTAAAATTTAGCAACCTACTGCTTCAAAGTATAGTACAGTGGTGCCTCGCAAGACGAAATTAATTCGTTCCGCGAGTTTTGTCGTCTTGCGATTTTTTTCGTCTTGCGAAGCACGGTGTCAGGAAAGTTTTGGAAAAGCTTCAAAAATCACCAAAGTCTTTAAAAAGTTGCTATGAGTTGCTCCTCGAAGTCAAGTTGCAACTGTATTAACGTTGTTAAGAAAAAGGAAACAAACTTGCAAGAGGTTTCCGTCTTACGAAGCAAGCCCATAGGGAAAATCGTCTTGCGAAGCAGCTCAAAAAACAAAAAACCCTTTCGTCTAGCGAGTTTTTTGTCTTGTGAGGCATTCGTATTGCGAGGTACCACTGTAGTTTAGCAAGGATCATTAGCTTTGAAACAGATCAACTGAGAAACGTTCTGAAGTCTGACGATGGAACCAACAACAGATTCAAACCCCATTTTTTAAAAAAACCCTCCAATTTAAGAACATGGTAACAACCAATTAAAGCATTAGTGATTACACCAAGGTCTTCTGATTATGAAAGGCCAAACGGACATGCATGACAAATGCATAAAATCATCTACCTGAGAAAGATCTGGTATGTCTCCTCTGTCTATCCCCACTTGCTGTAACAACAAATAGATTTAATAAGATATAGGCCTTAACCATGTTTGGCTAAAGACAGGATGAAGAAAGCACAATGAAGGTAACATGAAAGGGAAAAAAGGCTGTTCTACAGACTATGAAGGATCGTATCACTCAAGAAAAAAACCTGTAAAGAAAAATATAAACTTGCTTGCTTTAGTGTGTCAACGGTATATATCAATAACACCCAAAGCAGCCAAGGTCATTTTTAATGATGTTGTCAAAAACACATGCATAGAGATTTTACCAGCTCTGAAGTCCTTCACTTTTTGTGTCATATGATATAGAAGGGGATGAAGAGCCTCTTTTCTGAAGAATAAGTGATCAAAATCTATCCTGACCAGAGTTACTAGGAATGGCCTTTTGTTTACAATACAGTTTATTTCAGCAATGGAATAAGCAAAGTTAATGCTAATAAAACAGGTTTCCTCTTGGACTCCTGACGGCTTGGAACTACAATCCTAGTCAAATTGCAAGCTTGTGCACACCCCTTTGCTGCTGCCATCAAGACTGCCCCTTTACATTAAGAGAAACCTACAAAGAACTGCAGAAGGAAACAGGGAACAGGGCAGAGAACCTATGAGAACCTTTGCCACTCATTCTTTCCCCAATGCAATGAGCTGAATGTGTGTGTCGGAGGGTGCATGTGAGACTGAGCTCAGAACAAACATTCTCTGTGACCCAACTCACCACACACTGCACCTTAGTTGCAGAAATAGACTGGGGCTTCTTCTACAGCTGTGGCAATGGGAGGCAGGAGGGCCCAGGAAAAAAAGCAAGTGGAAAGGTCATTTTATCCCCATCTGCAGTGTTATTACGGGGAAGGGGAGAGAGCTCCGAGCTCAACTTCTTGTCCCAGGTGATGTGAGGATGCATACACAACACTTGCCAGCAAATGCTTTTGAGGTTTTTTTAGGGGGTGGGGAGAGCTGGATATCACAATAGATATAGTCCAGGAATGAGTAGCCTTCTTTGTCTGAGGGCAGCATTTATTGTTGGCAACCCTCTAAAGGGCTGCATGCCAGCAGTGGGCACAGCCAAAACAAAAAGTGGGAATAGCTAAAGTTTCATCCTTTTGCATGTCACCACTGCTAGTAGGTCAAAGCACTGCAGAAACAGGAAGGAGCATTCCCTCATTTCTAGAGTGCTTTAACATGCTAACAGTGTTGGCACAGGAGGAGAAAAGTTACCACCAAATATGCTGTGGGCTAGCATTTCAATATGCTTTGTGGGCCTGAGGTGGACTATAGGCTTACAACCCCTAATATAGACCCTCTTCTCCCCTAAATATCCCATGTGTCCCTTCAAAACCCATTCATTGTCACTGAAGCTTAGAAATAGCATTACACATATTAAGTTAATGCAAGATGGAACAATTCTCCACCCCAAAACATGAGTATACTTTTTTCCATGTGAGGAATTATCTAAGAAAGGCATGCAGGGATGAAACTTGTGCAGGATTGCCATCCTTCCATTCTATATGTAACAGCTCAAAATACTTGGGTGTACACCACCACAAGGCTGATTCATTCACACACATTACTTGGTGTCATATGATCGATCTCCTAGGCAGCTCTGAATGAACCAATATTCTCCCCGCACCCTAACTTAGCGTAGATGGGTCTTTAGCTCCCTTTAAGCATTCTAGCTCAAAAATACTGATCACCATTTGATCTCCATAAAACTCTCATTAATAGCATTTAGTCATTTTGAATGATGGCAGAACTGGATGGACCAGTAAGTTTTACCTCTGCAACTTTGAGAAACTCAGAAATCCTTGTCATTCTAGTCAGAAACTTCTTATATATGTCAAGGCCTTCTTTGCATTGATTCTTTTTCATGTCAAAGTATTTTTCTACAAAATAAGAGAATTTAAAAAATAAGAGTCATCAATGTGTTTGTTTACAGTTTAATAGTGCTGATGTCATTTAAACAAAATGCTAAACCATTACAAGAATTACCCTAGCCACCTCCTAGGTTTGCACATTACCCCCTCCTCTGGTGCAGCCACAAGGAGATTTGACACTTTTTTTTTTTATTAATTGCAGTTTGGTGTGTCACCCAAAACCCTCAACTGTTGTTAATCTTAATGATGGTTAGGGAAAAACCCCCAGCTTGGACAGCATGACAAACTGCAGTTAATCTGAAACTGAAGCAAAAGCTTCTAAAGTTCTCAGTGCAGCCAAGCTCGTTTTTTCTTTTTCTTTTTTTGGAGGGGGGTGAGTGTGCAAGCCTGGGCTAAGTTCATTTTTGCCAACCTCAGCTATGGCTCACCCTAATATCCAAACCAGCCAAATGAGTAAACCAGTCACAAAGATCAGAGGTGTTTGCCAAGCAAATGGATAACCTTCACCCTTCACCAAACTCTTCTTCACTCTGTCATGTGTTTATGTTTAGGCTCAAGAGCTGGAGATAAGGTGCAGGAACAGCAGTTTCAAAGTAAGACATAGTAGGAAGCCTCAAGCTCTCAGACTGAAGTAAAAGTTAGAATCATAAGTCTATAGTTATAGTTAGAAAGTAAAACCCTGCATTTGCAAAGGCTGTATTTAAGTCACTCTAGACATATTACTGAAGAACGACAGCATGTTAAGAATTTGCACTAAAGAACAACTCCTCTTACTCAAGCCTGATTTTGTTAACGGTGACCATTTCCCTGGAGCAGGCAGAAAACCAGACACCAAAAAGTGATTGCAATGTGACTCCTTCAGTCCAGAAATCTATTTTACAGTGAATGCACAAAATAGAGGGTGTCAACAGCCAGAAGGGAATGGTATTAATCTTGTGCAAATCTAGTGAGTGTCAAAATTGTGGAGTTACTGAATGAAATTTTCAGTGTTCACAGACTAAACTCAATCAAGTTTATTTATTTACATCCACACACTTTGGGATTTATTTACTTTTACTTTCACCTATTTGGCAGGAGTTTGTCAGCATTTGTTGTATAGTAGTAGTATACCAAGCTTTATCCAAATATCTCAGGGTGATTCACAGCATAAAAATGCGGGGGAAACCCAGAGAGTACATAAAACTAAAACAAAACAATAACCACCCCCTCTCACAATGATTATGATTTCAGATAGAAATTAAATATTCAACATGGTGTAGAAGGGACAGGCAAACTAGGAAAATTTTCCTCAACAAAATATAACCCAAAACAAAATCCCAAAGTTATTCTAATGTTGTGAATGAGCATGTTCTGCTGCATGCTGCACCACAATCCTCATTTTACTTTACAGCAACCATTCATGTTATAAGCAATCCATGAGAACCACAGTGGCCTACCAAGTACTAGTAAGTAGCTTCAACTTTTTTACTGGCTCAACTTTCATTCCTGTATGGACAACCCAATGCATAAAGATTTAGCAGGTAGGTACATACTGTATACCAAAGTGAATATAATAATAATGGCACAACCGGGCCATGCACTAATCTTATTGCAGATACATTGCATGAAGAATCTAAGAACAGCCCTGCCGAATCAAACCAAAGGTCCATCTAGCCTAGCATCCTATTTCCAACAGCAGCTAAACAACTGTCTCTGAGAAGCCCACAAATTATAGCACGAAGAAAATAGCTCTTTCCCATTGTTGCTCTTGTTGACTGCCCCAGTCCCTTTCAACTGCAGCCTGAAAGCTGGAAATACTTCAGGTGAAACATTTTTACCTTCAAAGATTAAGTGCTTCAGCTGCTATATTTCTGCTGCTTGGGACGCCATTAAAGAGAAGCAGGAGCATACAAAAAGAGTTGCCTACCCATGCCTAACAGGATTCATTGTTTATTTGTACAAATGCATATATGACTGCCACACACTAACTTTCCCGTATCAACTCCAGCATTTCCTCTTCACATTGTATGTGGGACAAACCCTATTCAGAAGCACAAAGGAATGCCTAGCTGACTCCACTCTCCTCTGGAGGTATGGCAGCTCTCCATGAGGAAGTGTAAAGTATTCCAACCCACAAATTCCACTTATGAAAGCCGCCCTAAGGAGAGAGTGCCAAAAGCTAAATTAGTTAACAAAATTGTCACCTTCCCTAAGATCCAAAGAGAAAATTGTCAGCTTTGCAGATTGGTTGTGTGGTAGCTGGACAAGAAAATTATAGTTCAAGCAAGTCATTTTTCATGCCAAAAATACTCCAGACTAGCTTGCGTTTAGGCACCTACATATTTCTGTTTACATGTAAAGAGAAGCAGCTCTTTAAGGCAGTTTAAAATTGTCTTGCAGGAAGTCAAAACAAAGATCACTGTCTTGCCTACTAAGTACAATGAAGAGATGTAAAAAAAGTAGTATTTACCCAACAGGTTAATAATCCCTTCATTATACGCTGCAAAGAGTCTAATGGCATCTTTGAAGAGAAGCATGAAGGCAGCATTAATTACACCATTTGTAAGTTCATTGCTGTTGACCTGCCGGTGAGAAGAAAGAAGTTAGTTCAATTTGAAAAAACATCCACGGCTATCTCCTGTCTTCAGTATGCAGGGAAAAGATCGGTCTTGCCTTTTGACATTGTGCACTATAAATTTGTGACATGACAATCTGGTGAAATAAAGGCTCTCGTTGGCTTTGGGAACTCTGCAGCAGTTGCACAAGTCTTAAAAACACGCAAGCGGCTTTCCAAACGACAAGGGTGTGTGCCAGTGACCCCCAACTACCACGCAGGTGCTGGGGAAAGTTGCTCCTGTAGTTGGTGCTCTCGGTTCCTATCAGAACATCTGTCTATCGCTCCCAAGAGAACATATAGTTTAAGATATTTAGCGTTTGCCAACTCAGAAAAATTACCGCTTGCATCACCAACACATATTAGAACCAAACATTTTCTTCCTCATAGGAGACTAAATTTGAACATTTTTTTTTTACTGCCTTTATCCAGAAAGGGCAGAAATTTAAACAGGGCATTTATAAGGCATTAAGAGGTAGTGTTTTATGAAACCAGGAGTAGGTAGTCTAGCCTTTATCGATGCCATAACTAAAACACTTACATTGAAATCAAGAAGTGCATCCATCTGGTTTTGTATTATTGGTACTGTTTTTAGGAGTTTCTCAGTATTCATAGTCCTCATGACTCCGTCAGCACTAAGAGAAAGGGGAAGTGAGAAACACACCAGTAAGCAAAACATATTTGGCATGATGCACACAGAGGTGGCTGACACAGGGTGTTCCACTCTTTTCCCTCCCCTTTTCCCTGCCCCTGCAACCCACGTGCATGCATAAAGGCAATAGGCCAGACAGGTAAGGATAATAGGAGGCCTCTTGCTCTCTGCCCAGACCATGGAATTTGTCTGAATACAACAGGGAAAACTGGATGTCTTGCCCCAACTTCCAGCCCCAGGAGTTGGGGAAGTGGGCCTGCAAGGAGAACTCCCATGGGATTTCTGGCCTTTTGACTCTAGGTGTAAATGTTTTTGGGGAAGAGGGGCTTGGTGCTAATGCTGGCAAGCTTTGCAGTTTCATTTGGATGTTAAGTTATTGGATATTGGTAACTTCATGTTTAGATATGCAAGGCATTTTAAAATATTTTAAATCATTGTGTAGTCGTATGCTACAGTGATTGTATTTGTGAGTTAAACTACTTAACTCACTCCTACTCTAGGTTTTTAAGCAGGGGTTGGATGACCATCTGTCACGGATGTTTTAACTGAGATTCTTAAAACTCAAAAGTATTGCATGGGGGGGTTGGACTAAATGACCCTTGGCATCCCTTCCAGCTCTGATTCTATGATTTTATTATTCTACTTGCTGTGAAAGCAAGCAAGAAGATCAACAGCAAGAGAAACATTACTAAGTTGAGAGTAACTCAAGAGCTATCCAAGTTCCTAAGTGTCTCAGTCAAGTTTTTAAAGGTGTGTCATGACTATTAAACGTTTTAGACTCAATTAAAGGAACAAAAATGGCAAAGCAGAATTCTACTGATCTTTCTATTTTTTATACTCTTAACATCAGTCATTTCAAATTTTCAAGAACACAGAAGTCACAAGACCTTTGAACTACTTTCAGTACAAGTTGTATCAGCTGGTGTCCAATGAAATCACTGTGTGAGTTGTTCTGCTTGTGCAAAGGAACTTCTCCTACTGTCCCCTTCAACCCCTCAAATCTACTCTGCTCTTAGGTAATAATGCTTATGAACTTCCTATAAAGCAATGAATAGTAACTGTTAAAGCAGTATGATGGACTAGATTGACATCTGGTCTGACACAGCAAGGCTCTTACGTTCATATCACATACTGCCTTTTAAACTTTCCAAAGTTTCAAAAGAAATTTGACACACAGCACAGATCATTGCTCTTAAAATAACACAAATCTAAAGCTTCCTTGCACGTGTAGAACTAGTCACATAGTTGACTGCAATCACAAGTGATTACAGACGTAGGGCTGGCAGAGACAGGATAAAAGCCTGATAGCACAAGGCACAGGAATGGGAACAAAGGGCTGGACTTCTATGGAAATGCAGACGCTACTGGTGAAGAGCTTTTGGAATGTTTCTTCTCCCAGACTACTTGACAAAACACCAGCATTTAAAAGCTCATTCAAATACGCTCCATAATGTTGACTCCCTCTAGTATATACTTTTGAGTTTTAAGAATTTTATATCCAAAAATCTTTTCGAAGACTGCCTTCCTTTCTCAGCCTTCATCAACTTAAAAGCCCTTGATGCCAGCTTAAAAATAAAATAAAAAATATTGAGCTTCCAACTTCAAGTCCAGAATTACTTCTTAATTAAACTTGCTTGTCACTTGGCACTTTTAATTGTCAAATTTAATATGACTGTTTTGACAAAATGTGTTTTGTGGAAGCTGCAAAACTCACTGCAGTTATTTAGATCAGCACTACATCAACCCTCTGATCTGCAAAGTTCTTCCTTTCCCAAAAGCACACACACATGCACACAGCCTTCTAATTAAAAAAACATACGAATAAAAAACACCTGGGAACCAAATCATTACCTAGCTGGAACACAAAGCACAGTGGTGTAAAAACAGATCTTGGTTCCATTGGTAGCAAGACTTAACCTTCTAGAGGTCAATTATTTGTTTGAAGTTGCATTTTTACATTTAAGTAAACTTATGAGTAATTAGAACAGAAGCTATAAACGGTAAGCTACACCTTAAAATAAATTTATTCCAGACAATGTAATCCTTACCCTCTTTTTACTTTTGTGAAATCAAAAGCTACTTGTCTGTAGGAAACTGCTTTTTCATTCAAATACCTGCTATATCTTCTGATAAATGTGGACATATCATACCCTAAAGAAGAGAAAGACAAAACAAATTAGCTCCCTGTTTTGCATGAACACTTATGACTAAACATTAAGAACGTAACAATTTAAATTCACAGGATCATCATTTGGACCCTATGGACAAATATATCTAACTTACTGTGAGAATCAAATAAATTAAAAGCACAAATTTCCATATACAAGTGATTTTAGACAAAGACATGCCCTGAGCTTCCTCTTCTCCCACATTTCTCCTTTGACTAAATTAGAACTTGTACATCTCACTCTCTAACTGTAGAAATCATTTTATGGGCCAGCTTCATTAGCTGCATACTAAAGATGATGTCTGTGTTATCTGTTATTTCCTTATGAATGTTAATGAATTTCCTTATGAATGTTAATTTGGGGGGGGGTGGACATTTTACTATTCAACTGCAGACTGTTGTAGAATATAGAGAAGTCCAAATATCTTTTAAGCACTTGGGAGAGGTCTCCACCAGAAGGGTTATACTTTTCAGAATGATAACTGAGTTCCGAAGCAATGATGCTGCTATAAAGACACCTTCAAGGATGTCATGACTCACTTGAAACAAACCAAATGATTTACCTTGCAATCCACTTTTGTCCAAGAAATTGCTCAAGTTAAACAATGTGTTCCTGGAAGCCAGATACTGGATAAAACGCTAGAAGGGATAAAAAGACTTTGGATTATTTGACTGGAATTGTACGTAGCTCTTTCTGTGTATCTTATCATTAACATAGAGTGACCTAGGTCAGAATGCCTATAAGCCAGGCTTCCCCAATCTGATACCCTCCAGGTTTTGGAATTACAGCTTTCATTAGCCCAGCAAGCACAGTTTGGGTCTTAAACTACAGTTTGGTGTAATGTCTGAATTGATTCAGCTGTGATGTGGTGAGTACAGAAGAGAAATCTTCTCAAATTGTCCAATCCAAATAAGCAAACCAGAGCAGTTCCCATGCTGGCCTCTCACGCACGGATCCAAAGGCACTTCAAATGCCTGCTTTTTAAAGCGAACTATCCAAGTTGATGAGCTAGAGCAATTTAGACAGGAATACCATCCTGGAAGTAAAAAATAGGTATTCACCTTGTAAGTCGAACCACAGTGCATGCAGTCTCAAGAAATGTAAGGCTGGTTCTGAATACAAATATTTTTGTGCTCATCCTTTTAACTGGGGTGGGCATAGTGTGTTCTCTTTCATTTTCTTATATTTAACTTGTAATAGTGTCATTATGCTGCAGTTTGCTTGGTCACAGCAAGTGGCAATATGAAGTATAGAGTGATGAGAGGCAGTGAGTGGGCAGCCCAGTTGAGCTTCAGACAAACAGCTGGAACAGGATGCAGCAGCCACCCTGCTCTGCTGGCTCCACTGTCTGCCAGCCCTGGGATGTCTACCCAAAGGATCCACAGTCCAAGGCTGGCTGTCACTGCTACTGGCCATCTTCTTCATCCCCAGCCAGCCTGGAGATCATCTGCTGCTTCCACATCCCAAGCAGCTGATCAGGATGCAAGAGCAGCACTGTGGCAATGGGGAAAATGGCCAGAAGTGGCAGCCAGCCAGCATGTGGATCCACTGCTATCTCCTGCACCACATACCAGGCATTGCAGATAAGTCAGCAGCATGCAGGATAAAGGAGCACCCCTCAGGAGAAGCAACTGGGCCAAAAGCAACATCCCCAGAGTTCCAAGGCTGCCGTTAATGCACACACCCTGCCCCCTTGTTCCTTTGCCTGAGTCCTATAATGACTGACTACACAGATGTGAACGTAAACACCCAAGGTGGACAAAGGAAGACCATCCATCTTTCTCACGGCTGCAACCCTTCATTCAGCCAGGGGATTGGTAGGATTTAAAGGGGAGTGCGGAGTTTGGTGAGCAATGCAAGCAGGAGCACAGCCCCCAGTATATACTGGGTGAGCATTTTAGGTCTTGTTTTACTGCTGTTTTTATATTTTTCTTCTTGTATTTTTTTTTTTTTTGTCGTCCTATAAGTCACTTGGAAGCACTGGTGTAAAAAGCAGCAAAAGAATATATTAAGATAAATATATATTCTAGCACACATTGAATCCCATTTGGACAAGAAGACTGGATCACTACAACTATGACCTACTCTGAACAGTGAATGAACTTACATGCATTGGTGACATTTAGCCAGTAAACAATTTAACCATGTGGTAAATGATGCAGACTTCAAATGACTCATATTAGTCCCATTCATTCGTCAGCCAGCCCACAAGTGCCTTTTCCTTCTCTGGTTACACCCTCATCAATGCCAAATACATGAACTGAGCAGTATAAATAAAACTTTTGTAATAGCATAGTATGAGGTAAGGAAGTGTTTTAAGAATGAGATCGTGAATGTGTTTCACATGGTGATGTGGCACCATTGTTCTGCAAAATGCCCTACTTCATCTCCCCTCCCCTTCAACAGGAAGGATTATGGTTCTGTGATATAAATGAATTCAGGCAATATGTAGCCAGAAAAATAAATAATAATCATTCATGTTCAAACACTATCCTCAGCATTTTCCCAAGTTATGACTGATCACATGCATTATGGAAATGCACAACTGAACAAATGTGTTAATAGTTTTACTGAAGGGGTGATATATATTTAACCAAAACAAAACAAAAAACCTGTTTTGAGATGCGGAACCTAAGGAAGACTGTGGAATGCAAAAAGTAACATTACTCCTCAGAAATTATTGCAAGCTGATTATTTCTAAACTGCCCCTATTACTTGTTCCCACCCTTTCTGAATTTTCTATAGTTCAGTTCTATAGCTGTAGACAAAATTAACACCATCAATTTTCACAAATACTATAGATCAAGTTGTTCACACTTGATCTATATCCTCAATGTCTTTCGACCAGATCCCTAACCACTGGCCATGCTGGATTCAGTTAATGTGAGCTGAAGTCCTAAGGAATACAGGTTACCAATCCCTGTTTCAGAGACACTTACAAACTTACTTATGGCATGTAAGTGACCAAGATCATCCAAATACGCTTTCACAATTTTTGCCAGGGAACATGCATTAGTTAAGCCTCAGGCTGTTTTTAAATACCATTCATTATCCCCAATGCAGGGCAAAAAGCCAGGTTGCACTGAATAAGCCAATTCTCTAATGTATGAGTGATCTGCAGTAATAAGTTACCTCATTTCCGTACACCATTAGATGGTGTGTTGTGATGAGTGACTTGAATACCACCACCCAGCTACTGTTCATTGTCCTTTCGAACAAGCTGTCCGCCAACTGTGGGATATTTACGTTCATCTCATTTGTGCACTGTATTAAATCTGCAACACAAAGAAATTCTCATTGATATTTAAAACAGCAACAGGTTCCATTCAATGAGTGAGGAGAGAATTCTATGGACTACTGGCTGCATTTGCACATCACGTTAAGTCATAAACTGATTTGCTATGGAGCAGAAGCCCACTACTATACACTGCTGAATTACTCCCTTCATCTAGCTGGGAGCCATAAACCTTGAGTCCTGGCTTAGGGTGATGTGTCAACCAAGGCTCATTATATTATTATTTATTGAACTGATTAGTCTTTTTATGAAAACTCAAAGCAACTTACAAAAATAGCATACAACCAAACCATGTTTGTTCTCGCAAACAAACCAGAACTGCTAAGTCAGTAACAAATCTTGGCTTAACATTGTGGTTTGTTTGGTGAGAAAGACAAAAAGGACTGGGTTCCAATAGTCACACTAAACCAGGGTGTTCCCAGCTCAAAGGGAAGAAAGCAACAGGAGTGATTCAGCAGTGTGCACTAACAAGCTGCTATGTCGTAGTACGTTTATGGCTTTCTATGACATGTGAACACAGCTGCTCATTTGGTGTGGGATTTCCAGGGCACCTTCAGATGATGCAGGGAGCCTGAGACCCAAGAGTAACAGTACACTCTGGAGCATATGCCCCAGTATCCTCTGCACAATGCAATGATCCCTTGGCAAATGCTCAGGGTTCCTCAGATTCCCTGAAGGATAACAGTTGAGGGGGCAGGGAGATAGAGAAAATGAAGCAGGTAACTAAGACTTTAGAATGAGGTATGCGATGGAAGCTTTTTGTTCAGAAGAAGAGGGGGTGGAGACAAAAGTTTAATAAAACTTATGAACAGCATGCAGAACAGTTTCTATTCATCCTCACCACACCAAAATTCAGTGAAACTGATGGGTGGTAGATACAGCAAAAAGCAATCACTCTTCATACAGTGCAAAATTAACATATGAAATTCATTAACATCTCTATTGAAACAGTCTTTTAAACTTATGTGAACAGAAATAGCACATGATATTCATGAAAATAGAGTATAAAATGCAGAAGACCCACAGACACCTCTAGAGGTGTTCTTCTCACACAAGAATCCACCCAGACCTGCCCCCAATATAGCCAACAAGAAAAGTTCTTACTGATGTCTTAACTGCAAAGTGATGTAGCCTGAACTTTATCAAGTGCATGCCATAAACAGGGGCTGTTCCATGTGCCCACAGATCTATTTTCATGGTTATACAGAACCCCAAGTAAAGGTTCTTAAGACTTTAATCATGGGGTTTCATATGAGAGAAGACTCAAGTTTACTGTACTTAGACCATCTATTCTAGAGCTTTACATGTAGTAATCAGATATCTAAACCAAAACCAGCGTACTTAAACTTTACAATCTGACCATGTTAATAAAACAGGGCAGCAACATTTGGCACCAGCTACAGTTCCTAAACACATTTCGAGCAAAGCCTGTAGTATACACAGTAGTAGTCAACACATGCTACTGAACTACCAGGTCCAAAAGACAGCTGTACATGGAAAAAATTACATTCTTCTTTGGCGATCACTTATAGCCGAGTAAGATTGTCATCCATGCATGAAGCCACAGCAGTTTGAAAATCAAAATGGTTATTTTGTGAAAGCCAGTTTGTACTAGTCCTCCCTGTCCTACAATATGCTACTCCAATAGTTCTGCTAATACAGCCAAAGTAGGCTGGTTGACTATATCAATATATGTGTGTGTGTGTGTGTGTGCGCGCGCACACACACACACACAAATCTGAAAGAAGCATCAGCTGCCCTGCCAAACCTTTACTAGTTGTTTTTCCCAACGAGTTATAAAAATCATCCTCTTAGGAGGCACAATGCTCAGTTCATCCCAGAGACTTGATTTCTGGAGACCAAGTGATAGCAAGGCCAATTGCTCCAAGCCACAAGTATGCAACTCAAGAGAAATTTAGCCATGTTAAAGGACTTGAAGGAGGAATAAGAAGACAAAGCAGACTCAACAGGCTAGAGACATAGCAAGCAGGTCATTTGTTTATTTTCAGGCAGATTGTACCAACAGAAAGATTGGGAAGTTGCCTTTGATGATCATGCTTCCTTCCCCACAGCAGAAAATGGCAAAAACCTTATCCAATTTTGCATTCTTTGTGGACCCAAAGCCACTGCAAATTTCACCCTAAGTACCATTGGGGGGGAAAGTAACATCTGAATGGCACCAAAGTAGCTTTTCCAACAGTTTCACAAGCAGCAACTTTCCTTTAAAAAAAATGCAATTCTAGTTCCCCACTGAAGTGCTGCATAAAATGAGTCATGTTTGGAACAATATCTGTATACCGCTAGGGCCACTTCAAACTAAACTCTTCCATATGCAAGCACTGAATGCAATACTATGTTCCAAATATTAATACATGCCTAATGTGAGAAGTGGCTCAAATTTACTCATGGGCGCTGGAATCATGTGAGAACCCAACTTTTCTCCCTTCAAAATAAAACAGAAACAAGGAAAACAAAAGCCAGCCAAAGGCTTTGACCATTAGCAAGAATAAAGCTCAACACCAATACTTTCTTCAAAGTTAGAGACTTATCTTTGGCAGCCATAGAAATACTTAAGCGATTTAGCAGATTAAAAATGTTAAAGCAGCATTATAGTCATCTAACCTAGCCGGGCTGCCAAGATTTAGTTTAATGGTTTTAATGTTAGAGAGCCCAGGAAGAAGGGAACGGAGGAGGCAAGGGCAGAAGACAGCAAAACAGTCTACAGGAAAAAACACACAGAAGCTAACCCTTGGTTTTCTTCTTGCCTGAAGCTTCTGTAAATGGAGTCTTAGAAATAAAGACTTTAAAATACTCATTGATGTAGTATTCACTGTTTCCTTACCAGCCCAAATAGTTTCCTGCCTCCAACTTTCCTGACTAAAATGTTAGCTTCCAGTTGCTGTCAACTGAAGTAAATTGTAACAAATCCAACCACTGTTCAGCTTTATATAAAGATGCACTATTCTATAGGTTTTGTTCAAGACTCAAGGGGCTATAAACACCTAGCTTCCAAAGACCTTTAAAGTTTTGGCCATATGGAGAGTGTTACTTATGTGCTGGTTCAAGACGAGGGTTTGTAAAATAGGAAAGGAAACACAAAGCTCTCTGGATTCAACTTTTGGTTGGGGCTTACATCATTCACACCTACAAAAGCAAGCTGCAGACCAAACACATGCCAAAACTATTAGTTTTGTGCCCAGTGTCTGCATATTTTCTGTGTTTTCATTGCCGCCTCCAAGTTTAACTTCATACAATGTTCTCATTCATATCCAATAATCTGGAAGCATTTTTAAGTCTCCAATCTACTATTCTCTGGGAAAGAAGCCCCCCTCCCCACACCACATCTGGACATGTCAAGAGCTCATAAGGTTTGATGGGCATTGTGGAAATTTAACTAAAAAGAGCACACATAGCATTTGGTCTTCCACACCTGTTCAGAAAGGATTCAATGACTTCTGAACATGAAGAAACTCTACAATGCTGTAGGGCTAGTACAAAGACTAAAAGCAGTTTTCAAGATAAGTTCAGTATAGGGCCGCTGCCTAAAATGATATATCCACGTGAAGTTCGTTTTGCGCTTCTACCCTGTAATGATTCAGCACACCTAGCAGTGTTGTGATATCTCAAAGGTTTACCTCAGCCAATGATATACTGGGCAGGAAAATGCAAAACACAATATCCTGATACAGATGCACAATATCCTGATACAGATAAGTTATGCAATGTTTCACAGGAGAAATTTGATACAGGGATGCAGTTTTTAGAGGTAGAATCAAACATAATATGAAGTTCAAGCTTCAGTTCAACCACATTTAACATATAACAAAAAATGTATCATGCTTAAGTAATAAGCTATTCAAAGAGCAAAACACTAAGATAAGGAGTAGCTTCATTTCCTATCAAAACCCTTTAAGCTAGCACTGGCAAAAGAATACTTTTAAAAGACCAGGATATTTAAGTACAAAAGAGGAGAGGAGAAATTTGGGTCCCTTTAAACAAATGGCCCATGCCAATTTGCTGCTTGGAGGTATTTTCACAGGACATACAAAAAGTATTCAAATTTTAATTATATCCTATTTTTATAGTTAAGGTGATACAAAGACCTGTAATATTTTGCAGATAAATTATTGTGGTACAAGCAGCCTTAAACCAAGTACAGTGGTACCTCGGGTTACAGACACTTCAGGTTACAGGTTACAGACTCCACTAATAGTAGTACCAGAAATAGTACCTCAGGTTAAGAACTTTGCTTCAGGATGAGAACAGAAATTGCGCCGCCGCAGCACAGCGGCAGCAGGAGGCCCCATTAGCTAAACTAAATGCATGTGACATGCTGCAGTGTCTATTAAAACAGGGCATCTTGGTTTTACAGTGGTACCTCAGGTTAAGAACAGTTTCGGTTAAGAACGGACCTCCGGAACGAATTAAGTTCTTAACCTGAGGTACCACTGTAAAACCAAGATGCCCTGTTTTAATAGACACTGCAGCATGTCACATGCATTTAGTGCATCTCAAAAACTGATGGCAAGATCTCCACAACAGCTCTAGGGACTGACCCAAAGGGCAGCAACTGAGCTCCACTTTCCTCCAGCTTGTTAAGTTCCTCACTCACTGACTCACCTTCCTCACCACACAAAAAAACCACTTCTGGGGCTCTAAGAATGTAAGAGCTGTGCTAGATCAGACCAGAGCCCTATCTAGTCCAGCATCCCCAAACTCTCCTTTACAAAGCCAACTTCCTGGCTCTCTTCTGCTGAATTCAGATTTCCAAGTCTCACAACTTCAATTAAAAATCATGTTTCTAGTCCCTAAAGCTGCAGACAGAAACATCACACACAAATTAAGGGGAGGGACCCGACAAGAATTAGAGAATTTGATGTTTAACTTCACATTTTACTTCATTTGACAACTGACCTGAAATTATCAGGAGGGAATAAGCCCTATGCATAACTTTACATACTGTGAGGTAAAGGAACATTAATACCATAAAAAGGGTGGGGAACAGTAAGACATAGTCCATACCTGTCTACCTTTTTATGTGGCCCTTTGAACTTTATAGCCTTATCAAATTGGTTTCACCTTGATCTTTATCAGGCCATTATTTCATCTCTGTGGGGGATAATTAGCCACGTAAGTAATTTAAGAGATGCAACTGTCCAAAGGGCAACACCTACACAAGACTGGTAGAAACAAAAAACACGTTTCTGCCTCCTCACCAAGCAAAGTATAGAACAGTGTAGAACAAGACGAGTGTAGAACAGCCTTCCTTCAAAGCCTTTTCACTATAATTTTGTGAAACAAAAACTTACTTGACTATTTTGAGAAGACTGGAGTTGCCTTCTCAGTGTACTTTTTCTAAAAGGAGACAAGCAAGGATCATCCAGGGAATTGCCTGGGAGTGATGAAAGCCCCCCTTTCTGTTTATTTCCAAGTTTCTTTAGCATGTTTTGCACAGGACCTAACTGGGAGTGCTGATGAGGGAACAGGAAAGAAGTGTACTTGCCAAACTCTGTGTCACGAAGCCCAATTGACTAAGTGCTCCTCCACTAAAGCAAAAGTACCTAACAACACCCCCAAATTTTAAGATCCATAAGGTTGTCTCAGTATTTGTATGTAGACCCTTCAGAAACTCATTACTTCCATCTTCCAATTAATTTAAGCTTCAGTATCACCAGGGAGCATTTTTTTTTATTTCATGTCCCAATACCATTCTGCTTCAAACCCATGAAGGGGAAAACTTTTACCGTACTGTTACTGCCCAGAAAGTTTGGTAGGTCCCTTAGCTCTGCTGTGAGATGTGGAAAGTCCCAGGAAATACATGTGAAGCAAACACATGCTTATCTAAAGTTTTTTAAATAGTAACTGTCAAGGCTGCCTCAAGTCTCAGCTCACAAAAGACCAACGCCTATGTCTTCTTATATACAAAAGTGTTTATTGCAGTTCATTGTTTGCTTGACATCCTAGGCGCGCAGCCTTACGTCTGCTACGCTTAGACCGCTGAAGTCCCCTCTGAATCCGTCCCTCCCCTGCACCAATTTAAGAGGCTTGCGCTGCTCCACCTCTTTCTCTCCTTCCTTTTCCGCAGGGTCCTTCTGCCCGCTGGGGTTTCGCCCCTCCTGGATTCTTCTGACGCGGAATCAGACTGCTCTTCCCCCCTCCTGCGGGCTTTGGGACCTGGCCCCTCCTCCGGGCTCCCTGTACTTCCGCGCGCCTCTACATTTGAACTTGGCGCACGCGCCAAACCTCTAACTTTCCTTTTGACAGTTACACTACTCCCTTCACTGCTCCCCTCCCCTTCCGGGAGGGCGGCTTGCTCTGACCTCCCTCCTTTCTCTGCTGCCGGAGCTGCTTCCTCTGACACACTGGAAACTCCACCCCCTTCGCTGCACTCTGGTGGGGAGGCTGGTCCTGACGCCCAGCTGCCACTTTGGGATCCTCCGCTGGCCCCCTGCTCCTGACACGTCCCCCCTGGCCTTGACCACCGGCGCCCCCTTCTGGGAATCCTCTGATTCGCTGGAAAGACTCATGGAATCTCTTGAGTCATTGTCATCCTCTTCCTCGCTGGCTTGGAATTCATCCCCATCGCTCTCCATCTCCTGCCTACCCTGTGCCTCTCTCCCTGAACCCCTGACAGTAACATATTTCACTAAAGGTATTCAGCTGCAGACACAAGCACAGTGGACCAGTTTAAGGTACTTCTTCCGTGATCCCTCATAGCAGAGTAAGATTGTGACCATGAACAGTGAGTCTGTAAGTGACTGTGGAGGCCAATTCTGGATCCACACATCCTTCCACAGTGGGGACATAGGTTTCCAGGCAGCAGGTTAACATGGTGAGGGTTTGCCAAATGTGCCTTCCTCTTACATTTCTCCCTTTCGTCCTGAGTTTGAGCATCTTTAAAGTCCATGACACCTTTGGTAAAGACTCTTCTCCAATTGGAGTGCTCACAGGCCAGTGTTTTCCAATTGTTGGAGTTTATATTACATTTTTTTTAGATTTGCCTTGAGAGAGTCTATAAGCCTCTTGTTGACTACGAGCATTACGCTTTCCATTTTTAAGTTTGGAATAGAGTAGTTGCTTTGGAAGACTATGATCAGGCATTCGCACACGACTAGTCCAAAGAAATTGATGTTTGACATGGGTGATCTTTGCTTCTTCCAGTACACTGGCATTAGTTTGCCTTTCTTCCCAAGCGATATGTTAAATATTTTGGAGACACTGTTGATGGAATCTTTTGAGAAGTTGGAGATAGTGTTTATAAGTGGTCCATGTTTTACATGCATACAGTAAGGTTGGTAGTACAATAGCTTTGTAAACAAGCATTTTGTTTTCCCTGCAAATGTTCTGGTTCTCAAACACTCTGCACTTCAATTGGGAGAAAGCAGTACTCACAGAGCTCAGGCGATGCTAAATTTTGGCATCAATGTGGAAAGGTAATTGCCAAGGTAGGAGAAGTGATAGACACTTTCCAACGTTACACTATGCCACTGACACAGGTAGGTAGCCGTGCTGGTCTGATGCAGTCAACATAAATAAAAAAAAATTAAAAATTGCCCAGTAGCACCTTAAGAGACCAACCAAGTTTGTTCTGGGTTTAAGCTTTCGTATTTTTTTTTATTTATTTCCTTTGCCACTGACAGTTTGCTATAATATTTTAATGTAGGTGTGGGAGGCCACTTTCCCGAAACCACAACCAGTGGAAGACATTAGCTGATGGCAGGATTCAATTCTGCTGGGTGTTGCTTCACCAATGCATTCCTTGTGGGAAAGGTGCCGGTGACACAGACCTGCAACCAACAGGACTGATCCTTCTGTCACCAGTTTGTGAACAAAATACAATCTTGCTAGTGTGTGCTTTGCTAATTCAATCCTTGCAGGGAAGACACTGGCAAAGCAGATCCCTGCAGCCAGCAGGTCTGAACATCTGCCATTGAGTGGAGAGTTCAATCCTGATGGGTGCTGCTGCATGAGGCTTTCCGCCTGGGGAATGTGCTGGTGAAGCAAACTCCACTCCTCCGCAGATCAACTTTGACAGGTGGGTAGGACTTCCCATCTATCAGCCACTTAATGCTATCATGATGTCAGATGATAGAACATGAGGGTGGCCTCATCACCTGCCAAAGTTGGCCCATGGGTGTGTGGGGTGGATAAGGATCTGGTTCCCTAAGCCAGATGCAGTTAATGCTTTAATGACACATGGATTGCTGGGCTACAACACTCTAAACACAACCCAGGACTTGATCAGCCCAGCATGCCATGTAAAACGTCAATCATTATGTATCTATAATGCTGATATTATTGAAGGTGGCTTTATGGAACAGTATACTAAATATCTTCCGCTACTGCCATGATGGCTAAATGGAACCTTCCACATTCAGAGGAAGGAGAGACAGCAGTGAGGGACAGCTTTTGACTGCATGCCCCGCTCGAGCTTCCTGGAGGCATCCTATTAGTCACTGTTGGAAGCACAATGTCAAGCTAGATGGACTTTGTCGATGCAGTAGGACTTCACGTTCTTACAGATAAGCACCAAGAGAAAAATATTGTTCTCTTCCAGTTTATTATAAATATGGCTACATACCTTTAGCTTTTACTATATCCTGGGTGCATCTGGGATATACCAAAGGAGTTCTAATCTGAGCTTTCACTATATCTTACTCAAGCAAATGAGCTAGACACCCTGCAGAATGAGGTGGGAGCAAGCTGGCTTGAACCTTACATTGCAAATTTCACATGTGTTAGTTTAAAATCAAAATAAACCTTGTCTACCTCCTTCTGACAGGGAACACAAGATATACCCTCAGTCTACCTTACAGCTACAGAAACCATAAGAGCTACAAAGTGGTGAATTTAGGTGCTATTTATAGTTCTTTAACCTTTTCTGCCATCCCATTTTAAAAATAAATGGAAATGCCCAAGATCCTAACTAGAACAAGACAGTTGTTATAACATGTACTTCTTGAAACAAAAACTTGTTCTTACAAGAGCGGGTGCATACTGCCAATCTAACAAAGAATTCAGATTGGTTTATCGTAAAAGATGTGCTCTGCCTAGAGCTTGTGTGTTTAATTTTATTTGGTACAAGACAGTCTAGGGCAAGGAATTATCATACAATTATCCTACACCAGACTGTTTTTCTTTAAATAAAGTAGTATCCTTGTGTATTAGCCAGGGCAGGAATTTGTCACAGTTCTGATAGATATAGGACACAATATAGATTTTAACCTCTGGGAGAAACTCTGGAAAAGCGACTTTAAATTTATAGCATGTTATTCTTTGAAGGAGAACTACCTGAAATGATTCACAGATGGTATTTAACTCCAAGTAGGCTTGCTAAGATTTACAAGACAGAATCAGATAAGTGATTGAAGTGTAAAGAGGTGGAGGGAATGTTCTTTCATATGTGGTGGACATGTAAAAGGGTAAAAGAGTATTTTGGAAATGATTTATAATGAATTGGAAAAAAGTTTTAAAATTAACACACACCCCCCCAAAAAACCCAGAGTCCTTTCTGTTGGGGATAATTCAGACTGAAATCCCCAGGTGTCAGGAAAAGCTATCTATGTATGCAACTGCCGCCTGTGTTTCGTTAGCCCAAAAATGGAAAATGAGCAAGGTCCCAACCAAAGAAGAATGGCAACTTAAGTTGACATAATATGCACAACTTGCAGACTTAACATATAGAGAACAAGAAGAACATACAGTTAAGGAAGACTGGAAAATGTTTATTGAATATGTATCGAAAATAATTGTGTACAGAACCAGATTCCATGGATATTTCTTTTCACTGTTCTAGGTAGAGAAAAATGGAAGGGAGCAGCTCCCAGGACATCCATAAATATTTTGCTAGCTGGGGAAAGATAACACAGTACTATGGCAGCTGCCAGGAGCTTCATGAGCCAGTAGGGATACTTGCACATTTCTACTCTTGGGGCAATCACAACTCACCAAAGGAGAGCAGCCCATTCCAAAGCAAAAAATAGCTGCAATATATGTTATGTGCCTTCCGGTTGTACCTTGCAGCTCAAAAGCAGCTAATCAAGAATCAACGACTCAAACTGACTGGCATTAGACTAGACAGAGGGCGGGGTGGGGGGGAGAGAGATGCAGCACTAGAATTTGGCTGCTTTCAATTTTCGTTTGAAAGTAAAGGTCAATTCAGGTTAACATAGAGTCATAAACAATTATACACACAATTATTCATCTTAAAACCTGTCAGATCTTTGCAGGTATCTCAAACAAATCCAAAAATACTTTTACAGGAAATGCAGGAATCCATACAGTTTAACTCAAGACAATCCTGAAAGGGTGTAAGTGCAACATTAGCTAAGAGGCTTATCACTTGGGTAAATATCTTTTGTAGGAGGAAGACAAAAGACATTCCTAGGGGCTGAAGAAGCAGAGGCAAGACAGACTTTGACATCAAAAGTCTTAAATCCAAATACCAGGAAGTTTTAGACAACTATGCACCTAATCAAAGTTCACTTCTCTTCCTGTTATTAAAACAAAAGGAATGTAGGTCTTAGTGTTAATTATAAGCCTTTTGGTAGTCATCATCTAGCATCCTTCACCATACTAGCAGGTAGCTGCACTTAGAATTGTTCAGTGTACAAATAACATTCAAGGTTTGCCTAAAATTGCCCTCCTTGCCACACTGCTCTTTAAAACATGCTGTTCAGCTGGCTGGGGCTGATGGGAGCTGAAGTCCAAAACATCTGGAGGGCACCAGCTGGGGAAAGCTGCTTTAGCAGCAAGTTTGTTTCAAAGCATGCAAACATTCGGGGGTGGGTTTACATAACTTTCACAAAATCTGAAAAACCATGACACAATGGTTAGAGTGTTTGACAGGAAGCAGGGAAACCCTGGTTCAAACACCCACTCAGCCATGAAATTTGCTGAGTGACCTTGGGCCAGTCAGTTTCTCCCTCTCCCCGAATTCTCTCACACGGCCACTTAGGGATAAAATAGGGAGAACCAGGTTAAAGATTATGATTTATTTTTATATCCCACCCTTCCTACAATCCAGAGCTGGCAAAATGATAAACTAGAGGAAACAAGACACATTATAATGAGAGCCATTAAAACCACAGAATCACAAATCAGATACAGTGGGTGACTATAGCATACCCCAATAAAAGCAAATTTCAATTAAGATCAAAAAGCTTGGACAAATAAAAATGTCTGTTTAAATGTACCTACCATGAGAGCCAAATGAATGTCTCTTGGGAGAGTGTTCCATAAACAGAGTACTGCCAATAACACAGGTTGGATGGTAATACGAGAAATTTCAGTACGGTACTTAATTCTCCAGACTTCAATTAAATGCCATTGCAGGTACATTACAAGAAGCCAGATGGCCTTGCTGAGGATTCTCCCCTTCCCCCTGTAAGCTCTACAGCAGGCATGTCCAAAGTCTGTTTCAGGGGCCTAATCCGGCCTGCCGGTTAGTTTAATCTGGCCCCTGTGGCAGTTTATCAGTTTATTTCCTGGGGTAAAATCTCCCAAAAAGCTCCAACAACTTTGTGGTAGAACTGTAAAAAAAAAAGCTCAACAATTTTGGAGTAAAATTGTATAAAAAGCTCAACAACTTCAATCCTAAAAAGAGTTCAACAACTTTGGTTGGCCCTCATGCATGTTCACTTCATCAAATCTGGCCCTCTTTGGAAAAAGTTTGGGCACCCCTGCTCAAAAGTATGATCACACAAAGGACACCCCAGTGGCTATTCCTCAGCTTTGCAGCTCTGCAGAACTGAGGTACAGAGATGTGGGCCAATTTACATTTATATGGATTTTTTAAAAAAAATCTAGTTCTTGCAATGATTGGCAAGACAGCTTCAAACTGTCTATACTTATGGACAACAGCTCTCCAGGTTTTCAAATAAGAGCATTTTCCAGCAATATAGGCCTCAACGTGCTATAGGTTACTTGTCCTCCAAATCTGTATCACAATATGGCCAGGAATTCCCTCTTCAACCCTACTCCACCAACAGTAAGCTATTTAATTAGATTTAAAACATCCAATGTATTACTTTGCAAAGGAATAGCCATCTTAACTCTGTGGTAGCTAAAACCAGAAGTCCTATGGCACATTAAAGACCAACAAGTGTATTGGGGCATAAGCGCTCATGGATTAATGTCCACTTAACCAGGAGATCATTGCATTTGATCAAGCTTATTGAAACCCAAAAGGTCTGAAAATAAGGCATCCAAAAATATCATGAGAACCACTTCCTTTCTTTGAAGAGCCTCTGATGTCATAAAAGGAATGAATAGCACTTGAACTGTAGCACTGTACAGGCTACAGTAATGTTTCCCAACAACAGACAGACTTCAAAATGATGAAGCGCTAAGGCCTCAGGAAACTGATGTGGCTGCTGAGAAAGTTAAACTGTGACAAGACTTAAAATATGCCATGTAGGTTATTGATCCAAAGTTAACTACTGCTGTTCTTCAGACTCATGCCTTTCTCTAAAGAGAACAAATTCCATTCAAGTTTTCATATATCCTGCAGAGCCAAGGGTCAATGGTGAAAGCATGTTAGCTAGGCTCTCACTGAAGAACTGCTTAACACAGCTATGTAGTTTGGGGTGTATGGCCTCTTGTTGATGAAAAGCCATGCCAGAGTTCAAATGTTACATATATTCCCAGGCATATCTGCTGAAACAACTTAGTATGATAATACAGGAGGTATGTGAACAGTAAAAAATATACCCAATTATCTAAGAAAGCAGCACTGAGAATCAAAGCAGAGTCCATCATTAATGTCAACTATGCAAATATACCAACAATGAATATTGGAAATATATGTGCCTCTGAGTAAACATGAAATGGACTGAACTGCATGGACCCTAACCACCAGCTTCACAAATAAAGCTGCTTGGCCACCACAACTGTGATTAACTGTGGACTAGATGATCCTCCAAGACCATTCCGACTCTACAGTTCTATGATTCTATGAACACAAAATCAAGGCACATGAACATCAACAGTTAATTAATGAGGGGGTCTTCCAAATACTAAAGATCTTCCCAAAAGGTTTTTAACTATTGACAGAAGCTGACTTATTTGCCAAATGTAAGATTAGTCAAAATGTGTTTGTGGTCTATTGTAATTTTGCTGCTGGTATGATATACTGTTACCATAATCGGTTTTTCCAGTACACGATTTGACTTCCATAAGAGACTGTCAAAAAAATGGAATGAAAAACCAGATAACTTACTTTTATTCAAAATGGGGCATCCCTCAGTAAACCCAGCTTTGTTCCCTTGTTCAAACGTCTGAGTACAAATGCAGGCCAAAGGAGTATCTTGAGTTAGGTAAATCCAAAATCCATAGTTGGACAATTTATCAGATACCATGTTACATAAAGCAGGGAACGAGAAAAACGGTTCTCAATGTTTCCCACTTATGATGGCTATTTATAACCTCCACTATCAGAAAATGAATGAGGGAGTGCTGTTGCTCTTGGTCCTGCTTATGGACTTCCCATAGTCAGCCACTGCAGGAAGAGGAAGCTGCACTAGATGGGCCTTTTTCAGCTAATATATTTTTTTTATTAGGCTCTTCTGCACTGTCTAGTAGTCCACTGTCACAACACAAAGTCTCTCCTCAGTATTTTGAAGCACCACACACATTGGTCTACCTTTCAAAAACATTTCTGTTTTTTAACATTGATGAGCCATTTTATTGTCTTTTTCAACATTAACATCAAAAAAGTCCAACTGCTTTTATCTTTTCTGATTTTCACAATATTCTTTGCTGTATTCTTTTTATCTCAAGCTATAAATTGTGCTAGGGAGATTTATCATTTTCTGGGTTTAAATAAGGGATCAGCTGGTAGACAGCCAATATTTTGTGCAGTACTATATGCTATGATTAAAACTTGTTGCAGAGATAAAGTTACCACATGCTGCACTATGCATCAGCTCTCAATAAATAAAACTGGGAAAGGCAAACAGAATAAAGCTGCCATTTAAGAGGCCCTTTAGGCAAACATGAAAAAGGTTCAGCTTCTCCTACCCCACTTTTTATTAACTCATCATACCAGAGGCAGCTACTGACCCAAGTTTGAGGTGGCTTGCCTCAGAGGTGGGCAGACTTCAGGCTTGCAGGATCAGGATTGTTTTGTTCTAAAACCTTGAGGTTCATCAACCAAAGCCTGGGGCAAAAAAGCACTTAAATAATTAAATTCTGTGTCCAGGAGTTTGTTTTGATCACCAAAATAAAAATGGAACTTATTACCACACACACACAAACAAACAACCTCCTGCTTATCCCAAGTTTCCATCATTTCAGCTATAAAATTTAGGCCAGGGAAGAGTCATTTTGTTGTTGTTACTCTTGTTGAACAACTGGGAGGCATAAATCCTTGTTGATATACCACAAATAACCAAACAGTCAATCAGCAGATCAAGATCGATATTTTGTCTATCCCTGGCTTGCCTGACAAAGAAGGAGGACTTGAAAATCCTATGCTAATCAAGTATTGTTGCACAAATCTTTAACGTCAGGGCCTCAGGAGTCCTCCAATATTAAAACAATCACTTATCGCTCTTCCTAAAGATCATTATTAACCCATTGCTTTGCACAGCAGCACTGAAGTATGCAACAGGTTAAACCACCAGCCTTAAAACAAGATATCCTAAATAATCATTGACAGATACTTTCATGGTAAGATTAATGGGCATATGAGAAAGGACAATGTACAACCTCCCTGATGGTATCGACTCTGCATACCAAGATTCAGCAGGTTTCTGGAACAATGCCATTTGGTGTGGCCATATTTCAAGGAGCCAATTACAATTAACCAACATACTATAACAGAAACGTAATCTAAGAAGGTGTTTTACAAGAAGTATGCTGCTTCTGCTCTGAGTACTATTGGCAAGTCTTTCATCACTTGGCTTCCAGTGTTACAATACCACATTCTGCCCACAGAGCTACCTTCCTTGCATCCTTCTTGGCATCATTTTGCAACAGAACCCAGTAATTTTATTTAGCTGAGCAAACTGCAGAATTGCATCAAAATACTATCCAGCAGGAGCAGTACTCAACAGGTAAAAACTCCGTCAAGAAGTAGTAAATCAGACTATCATTTCAAGCATAAAGTAGACAGTTTTGCTTTGCAGCAGCATCTGAAATATATCTAAGTCAAGAATGGGAAACCTGTAGCCCACCAGATGCCCTAGCCAAGCATGCAAAGTACAAAGTCTGAAATATCTAATTTGCAACAAGGATTTCACACTAAGTCAAAGAATTAATGACAGAGTATTATGAATATGAAATTGCTTTGCTTTCATGAAAAGCGTAATTGTCAGAAAGTAGTTCCATCCATATGGAGTATAACTGACACATGTTGGCATACAATGCGTTGATTTTTAAGGCAGGGAAAATCCTGTTTTTGTTTGAGTCTAAGGGCTTCAATAATTGTATTGATAGTGTCATGGGTCCAACAATAACACCATTATAGAGGGCCCAAAGCCACTAGTAACCTGTCAAAGCCAAAAATCTGTAGGCTTTAGTCTTAAAGAACATGCATCCATACACCCAAGACAGCAAATGCCTTAACTGACCCATATAAAGTATCCACAGAATAAGAAGCCCTCAAATCTTAACTGCTTGTTTATACCAAGGTGTAACAAAAATTTGCCATGACATTAACTCTTTAGGACTGCTCATTGTACAGCTAACAACTATTGAACAAAAAAGTAGTATTTAGTTATAACAACAACAACAACAACAACAACAATTTATTATTTATACCCTGCCCATCTGGCTGAGTTTCCCCAGCCACTCTGGGCTGCTCCCAAATTGAGTGTTAAAAACAATACAGCATTAAATATTAAAAACTTCCCTAAACAGGGCTGCCTTCAGATGTCTTTGAAAGATAGGATAGCTGCTTATTTCCTTCACATCTGAAGGGAGGGTGTTCCACAGGGTGGGCGCCACTACCGAGAAGGCCCTCTGTCTGGTTCCCTGTAACCTCACTTCTCGCAATGAGGGAACTGCCAGAAGGCCCTCAGTGTCCAGGCTGAACGATGGGGGTGGAGATGCTCCTTCAGGTATACAGGACTGAGGACATTTAGTTAGGCCCAAGGCAGGCAGATAGCTATTATAAGTAAAACCAACACTGCAGAAAATATCCTAGCAGATGTGGCATGAAGTTGTTCATAGCTTTACAAAACTATCATGGAAAGAACAAGGGTCAGAAAGGACTCTGTTGGGGGCTTTACACACTATCACTCAAGTAACTCATGTAAAATGCCTTGCATGATCAGCGGCCCTGTTTTAACGGAGACCCTCATCTCCACCCCTACTATGGTATGTGTGTGTATGCCTAATAACATTTAACAGAACTCAAATAGAAGACCTCTGTTTAACACAGTGAAGGTCAGGGTCCGGGGAAGCATGAGGTACACAAGGACATTGGGGTGACATCTGCATGTGCATTCACACTTTAAATGTTCACATGGTCAGACAAATACCTGAACATGCCTCTAGTTTTCTTAAACCAGTTTTTCCTTAAAAAAAATAAAAAATTGTCTTTAGTAGTTGCCGCTGCAGTACACATATTTTGCCCAAGTTTTCATATAGAGAATAAGCATATACTTGACATTTAAACACAATACTTCAGTGCTAGTTTTACAGTTTCCATTATGCTCATCATCAATATCTAATCAAGCTGGAATGAGATTACTTATGAGCCTGTTTGACTACCACTGACCTGAATATGGAAAGGTGTAGCTCAGAAGCTGGGAACATTTAAGTATTCCTTGTCCCTTGAGTGCCATGCCAAAAAAAGATCTCAAATTAAAATTGTAGCACACATACTATGCAAGAACAGAAATAAGCACCTCTGCACGAAAGAAGTGTAAGGTTCTACAGTACCATGGGGTAATAATCTAATATGGGCTGCAGGCTGAAACCTAAAACCTAACCTAAACCCTTGGCTGACTTCATGCCCTAGGTACTGTCCATTTAACCACCAAAAAGTACCAAGAATACAGAGCCAAATGGGTTTGCCCTTTGCCAAGTCACAGGGCGCCACTCAGGAACTTTACATAGTCTGTTATCTATGCAGTATTAAGTGAAACAAGCATGTAGAGAAGTGGCTTGAAAGATGCTGTAAACCAGGAATCCAGGATTCAGATTTTTCTGCACACCCTTGCTGCATGAAACACAATACAATAATGTTAACAGGTGCCTAATCAAGGAATATAAACTCTGTCAGGGATTTATTCATTATAAGAAGTGTTGATGGATTCTAGATTTTATTTATTGCTAGGCAACTGACAAAAGTTATCTATTGTTGGATAAGATTGTTTTCTACCTAAATAATTAGTTCATCTCCTATACCTGGATTAACACAGCATCAGACAATATTCTAATCTCATTTTTTAATTTTTTTCAATTTATTTCAAGTACTTATACACTGCTTTTCATTTCTTTAAAAAAATCAGAACCCAGTTTACATCAAACAAAATTAAATATTTGAGATGATATCCGAGTCTATTTCAACCCTGACTAAAATATTAAGAGTTAATTGAATATTTCAAAAATGGTGAAGGGGGGAGATGTTGAAAAAAATCTGTCTAGTTGTCGTAACTGATTTTAGAGGAAGTTTTAGTTAGTTTTACTTATGGAACAAAATATTTTCAACATTTTAAGCAAAATAAAGCAGTGCTGCAAACCACAGCAAAGCCTCAAAGTTGCCAATGATTAAAATATGAGAGACTCAACACAAACTGTGTCAACGGTGATACTAAGCAATGTAGTTCTTTTACAGATGCCCAATAGAAGTAGGCATGTTGCAGGTCCATTTTACCATCCTCATTTTCCACAATGAATTAAGCACATCTTGTTACTTTATTTGACACCCACATTACAACAGATACCCAGCACAATTTCTGATCAACGTTTCATGAGCCGTAGCAAGTCTTGACTCATGCACTCCCCTCTCCTCTGTGTTTACAGTAGCTGAGTTCCTTCAACTTAATTTCGCTTTCTCTAGCAGTAGGGTCCACCCTCTTGCTACACGACGCAATTTCAAATGAGATCTCTTGCGCCCAATACTCTGCCAAAACATTTTCAGTATTGGGAAATGAATGCTTGATCATGAACTTCTTGGAAGCTTGGGGAGAGGGTTGCCTTCAAAGAAAGCTTTTTTAAAGTGAGGTGAAATTGTACTTTGAATATTAAAAGGAACAGCCAGAAACACAAAAATATTGTTGCCTTAACAACATATTATGCACGAGCCAGGTGAGCTGTATATACAGTAGTACAGAAAGCTCTTGATGTAACAGACCAGCTGCCTGAGCTTAAAATTAGCTACTGCTTGGAAAAAAAAAAAGAATTAGCTACTGCTATGTTTGATTTACAATGCTGCACATGCCTTAAAAAAAAGCAACAAGGTGGTCATTATTCCTCCTTCTGATTCGAAACTGAGAAAGATCGTGATTTGTCTGTTGCCAATTAGTCCACAGCTCAAACGGGATTTGATATCAGATCCTGTGGACCAATCTGCCTTTTTGTGATGAACACAGACTAGAGCAGTTATGTATGACAGCCCTGTGATTGAAGGATTCAGTAGGAAACATAAATCTACATGTATTGTGCATGCAGATATATTAATAGTTTAGAACTGTTTTACAGTGAGAGATATTAAATCAGGGAACACAGTTTTAAGTTTGAAAGGAATTAGAAAACTTTTCGCCAATACCTCCTCTCAGGTTTTCCCTGTAGCATAGAGCATGTGACAGTATTCTAATAGCAATATTGTTAAGACAGAAAATCTTTTAAACTAGGATAATTACATCTCAGCAACAATGCTCCCCACTAAGCTGAACTGAGGCCAAAGCTACCTTACTTGTCAATAACCAAGTCTGCAAAAAAGGTTTTACATGATGTCATTTAATTGTGATTTCATGAAACAGCATATTTTTTCTAGAATAATGAAGAGTTTCAGTTGCTGGAATACAATGTCTACTCATACTTTACACTCCAGTGTGTGCTGTAACTTTTGGATTGCACTTTCAAACAGTTGTTTTTTACTCTTTATGTTTGAATATACTATACAGTGGTTCATTTGCGTTGAGATGGGCAATGCAGGTTAGGAGCTGATTATACCTAATCCTGACATAAGACAAAACTTTTTCAATTTCCCTCCTGAATGTTGGCATTGGTAATTTGAAACAATAAATCTTATTTTATACTTGAAGGAGTTTTCACATGCCTTCTAGGAAACAAGCATCAAATCCAGCAAATAAAATGCTCTCCAAAAACTTCATGGAATAATTCCACATGTTGTAATTTAAATATTAAAGTGTGTGAGGTCTGAAGTTATACAGTCAATCCCAATTTGAGCAGCTGTACAAATTACAAAATTCAGGTTTGGCCCAACTTCCAAGAATTCCTGTGAAAGGAGAACAACACTGCCAGGCTGACTGTGCCAGACCATCTCCACAAGAGATTTTCTCCCCTATAGAATTAGATCCTCTTCCACTCCAACCCACAAAGCAATTATAACTGAGACACAAGACAATCTAAACATATAATGTACACATAAGAATACTTTTATTTCCTCAACTAATGATGCTTTAAGCAAGCAAGGAAGGAAAATTCGGTGCTTGGTATCGTGGAAGATTGTAAAGGAAGAATTTTTCAATCCCAGGATTTCAGAGGCAGCAGACCATATGGTAAAAGGCATTACTAGGAAGCTGGAATACTTTTAGTATCAAATGAATGTTGTCAGTTAAGGGATTAGCCATTCAGTATCCACATGCTGCTTACAGAGAGCAAATAAGGAAGAACACTGTGCAATCAGGCTTTAGAAGTCCAAAGCATTCATAAACCCAGATGTTTCTCCTTGAACTCCACGATTCCAGCTTTGAAAGCCTTCATAAAGTTTTTACTTCGTTGCCAAGAGAACCTTAGAAAACTAAATTCACCAATCTGAGTCAATGTGGGCTTTTTATTGAATGCTAAATATCTGAGCACCCTCCCTTGTAGTTTTAATAGTAATACATGTATAAATGCAAGGTACTTTAATTGGGCTAGTAAAACTGCAATCCTAATCCCAGTTACCTGGGAGTAAACCCCAAGGAATCCACTAAGATTTACCTCTGAGATGGCATAGTTTAGCAGCCTGTGTCAGACACACTTCAGAGACATGCATTGTTTGTCACCCTAGACAGAGCTACACCTCATCTTACCATCAATACCATATTGAGAATGACCCAACAACCATCACATGAATACAGTTACACTACTAGAGATGCTTTTAAAATATAGAAACCAAAAAGACACATTCATTAAATAGGATGGAATACCTCACTCAGAATCCAGGCCTTCATTTGTGTAATACAATGGTACCTCGGGTTAAGTACTCAGTTCATTCCAGAGGTCCGTTCTTAACCAGAAACTGTTCTTAACCTGAAGCACCACTTTAGCTAATGGGGCCTACTGCTGCCACCACGCCGCTGGAGCACGATTTCTGTTCTCATCCTGAAGCAAAGTTCTTAACCCGAGGTACTATTTCTGGGTTAGCAGAGTCTGTAACCTGAAGCGTATGTAACCTGAAGTGTATGTAACCCGAGGTACCACTGTACTTAAAAGTTATCTTAAAGGGAAATTACTAGTGATAGTTACGGGTACTAGCAAACAAGTTTTCTAAGATAGTCTAAAGGAGACTAAAGGCAATCTACTTCCTTTGGAAGTTGCTATGACACACTTTAGTGTAAAAAAAAGACTAAATCTTCCTCCTCCACTTCCAACTCTGCAAAAGGAAGACAGAACCATCTGCCAGCTCTCTCCAGATAACTATAAACCAGCCTTCCCCAACCTGTTGCCTCTCAGGATTTCTGAGATTACAACTCCCATCAGCTCCAGAAAGTATGGCCAATGGTCCAGGAAGGTGATAACTGTGGTCAAGAGCATCAGTATCACCAGGATAAGAAAGGCTGCTCTAAGCAATGAAAGCTACAGTATAGCCACAAGCAGAGTACAACATCATCACATTCATGAATCAATAGTGAGCCAGTAAACTACATGCTAAGGAGAAAGCATAGCCATTCTCCCACCATCTCATAACAATGTGACTTGGCTGAAATTTTCTTTCCAATATCACATATAGTGCTCAGACCTTACATATGAACAATGGCATAGCGTGGGTTGCCAGCACCCAGAGCAAGGTGCAAAATTGGGGAAAGGGGATAGCATGTTGCCATGGGTCTTCCTCCCCCATTTTTAGCATAAACTCTGAGGTACAGGCTTCCCCAGGAGGTGCTGGATGCAGACTCCAACCGCTCAACTAGAGCTCCTCAGGCGCCACAACTCACCCTGTACCAGCCACTTCAGCTCTCCATAGTGCACTCACAAGAAGCTCTGCCAGTCCAACCCAGGAGCCAACACACTGCCAATCAAGGCTCATCTGGCCACCTCTTTGTTCCCACTGGGTGCTCCAGCAGTGCCAGCAATTGTGCGAGAAGCGTGTGGTGCACAGCACCTGTAAGCAAAGGACATGGATCTGATTTGGTGATCCATCGCAGCAGTGGAGGAATTGGAAAGGAAGCCACCTCCTTTCCAGTCATGCAACACTTTCAGGACCACTGCAACTCAGTGGCATTGTGCCCAGGGCAACCGCCCCTGTGCTTCCCCATACTATGCCACTGCATATGAACAAGATTTAAGCCACCAGGTCTTCCCAAAGAGATTATGGCATGCAACACCTACAGCTGTTAGTGCAGGCTTCCTCAAACTTGTCCCCCCAGATGTTTTTGGCCTACAACTCCCATGATCCCTAGCTAGCAGGACCAGTGGTCAGGGATGATGGGAACTGCAGTCTCAAAACACCTGGAGGGCCAAGTTTGAGGAAGCCTGTGTTAGTGCAATCTTTCCAAATCAGAACCACAAACTTGAGTACTCTACCTGCTTGTCAAACATAAAAGAATAAACCCAACAATTTGTCCTCTACTTCTAAAACTGGCAGGGTGCAGCAAGCTAACCCCCCCCCCCGGTTCAAAAGCTTTAAAGCAGAGACCAGGCTTTGAAACATCTGTAGGACAAGTGATAAGAAACCAGCTGGAACTCTCTACAGCTGCAGATCACTCTTCCAGGCAGATAAGGATGTTTGTTTTCATCTGCCATCAGGAGATTTCTAAAGGAAAATTTCAAAGAACATATCATGCACCTGCTGTTCAGATGCGCATTAAAAAATCTTCTCAAACCAAATGTAAGAGCATGCATGGAACCTCTCCAAGCTGTTCCATCAGCCTTTTATGTCAATGGTAATTCTATGTATTATATATTTTTAAAACTGCCAAAAAAACCTAAATAGTGAAACTAATATATTTTCACATAAGCACTCTTTTTCATAAGAATCTGGTGGGGGGGGGGTTTAATGAACAAGGAATCAGAGGTAAATAGAATAAAAGAACATGGAGTTTGGGGTCAATTACCTGTAATGGAGAATGCATGAAGTAAGGAATAAGCATCATAGGATAAAGCATCATATGAAGTATGTTTCCCAAGTGGTTGGTTGCAACTTGAGCACAGAAAGCTCGCCTTTTTTATAAAAAAAACCCTCAAAGTGGGTACCAAAATTTGCACCCACTATCAGGTTCTACATTCATAGGACAATTTCATAAACATACAAAACACAACAGTCCTGATAATACAGCAGAATTAAAAATTACTTCCATTATGGTGCTGCTCAAAGCCTGGTGATATCAGACTATTAAGAGCTTCATAATGTTAAGATTCCCATCAGTCACATGCAACCCACTTACTTCAATACTGAGCCCACACACCCATTAAAAAGCAGAAGACTTCAAACTTATTTTCACTATGCAAACTTGTAACTTAAAAAGTGCATAGACATCTCCATCATATTACAAAGTAGGAAATGAAACAAATGACAGGACCCTCAAAAGAGGAACTAAGTACCTTAAAGTGGCATTCACAACTTTATGAAACTACGATAGGCAAGGAATACAAAGAAGATGCTTGCAGGGATGCCTTTGGGGATACTACATATTAGCTTTTTCCTTGGGGATCTCACATTAGAGGCAGCCAGAATTATCAACGGGTGAGGTGCCAGACTCAAAGTGAAATTCCATTGCCTCAATCCACCCCGCAAAATGGATGGTTACAAATTTTAGGGGTGGCTAACCTGTAACCCTCAAGATGTTACAGAATTCCTGCTCCTATTACCTTTAGCCTGCATGACCAAAGGTCAGGGATGATGGAAGCTCAGGTGCAAGAACATCTGAAGGGTCACAAGCTAGTAGTCCCTTATTAAGCTGCTTGAGTATGGAGACATTTGAAGATGAACAGTGGATCCCACAGCTGGACCCTCAAGTGCTTAAATGTTTATTTGGTCGCAATAAATTAACATGACCATATTTCAAGCTTTAACAAAAGGTGCCAAGATGGCATAAACATCATTCCAACTTCTAAGCAGTCATTTCCCCAAACCTTTCTCACTTCAACCAGGGTACAGAAGAATCAATTTAAGAGACTCCCAACTACTGGTGATATCTCTCATGTATGTACAGAGACATACATGTCCACTTAGACATATACAGTCTGCAAAACTCAAACATTCTGAGAATTTTCTGCAAGCAGCCCTGGCAAGAAGGTTGTTATTTTTCTAAACTGCAATTTGGAAAACTTTTATTCTCAGAAAGCTGTCAAAGCTAAAGATACAATTGCACTACTTATGTACTTCAACATTTAAAATCTTGATACAATGTAACTTCAATGCAGAAGTAGATGGTCAGTTCCTCTTCAGAGCAGAATTTCCTGAAGATGAGCAGCTAGGCCACAGAAGTAGTAGTAAGTGGTTGCTGCCAAAGTCACGTTCTATAGCAGGAATGAGAAATGACTCCTCAGAAGTTGTTAGATCAGTTCCCATCAGCCCAGTCAGCATGGCCAATGACCACAAATGATAGGAAGTGTAATCCAGTAACATCTGGAAGGCTACAGGTTCGCTATCCCTGATTTATACACTAGACAAGGGGTACAATGGAAAGAGAAACCTGAAATAAGTAACAAGGTAAGGGAGACAGGCTCAAATTACATATACAGAGACTGTCAGGAGAATGAAAGCAGGTTTGAGACATTTCAAATATCAGGAGGTGTGCTTCATTTATCAGTTAGGAGGAAGATTACAGTGCCAAGGGAAAGATGTAGCATATCAAATAACAAAGGCAAGTTTCATAAAGGAAGTGGTGAACTACTCAGTGTCACACTGGAAAAAAATGCCTAAGGATAATGGTTGTACTGAAACTTTAATTGGTTTGATTGGTAGATTAGTCTAATAGTTAACCAATTCAGTAAATGAGTTATTATTGTTACTATCAGCAGCAGCTATACTGTTTCTGACAAACCATTAGAATAGGAAGAAAAATAAAATAGCCAGGAAACAAGCAGCAGCTGTAGCTAATTAAATCATTAATCCTTATACTTCTTTCAATAGGCTAAAATGGTACTAATATTGAAGTTGCACTGGTTAAACATCCGGAGGAGATCAACTAACAATTCAATGGTTTGGCCTGGTTACAGTAGATACTGTACTTTTGCGGGGGGGGGGGGGTATCAAGAGAATGCAATGATATGATTCCCAACAGATCAAAAACGTTTTAAGAGATGACACAGTAGAAAACCACTGAAAGATTGGGGACCAAAGTTGAAGAACACAACATGTGTCTTACTAGGTCCAACCAAAATCCAATCTAGTCCAGGAAGTCTGCATGAAGACAATCACCATTCCCCACTTTTGTGTGCCAGCAACCATTCGGCTAAAAGCCACTGATAGACCCTTCCTTTCTAAACCAATTACACGTATATTCTAAAGTAACTGCCCAAAATCACACTGTGAGGTAACAGGTTCCTTAATTTAAGACGAAAGGGTGTCAAACACTGTGGGAAAAGAAGGGTATAAAGCTTCATAGAAAAAAAGTAAAAATTAAAACTGGGGGGGGGGGTGATGCTGTGCAGAACTGAACACATTTCTTAAGTGTCATGTTACACGATATATTAATGTACCATATGATCTCCTTTTTATTCCCTTATAGTAGAGTGAGTGTTTGTGTGTATATATGGTAGGTACTATCTATCTATCTATACACACACATACACACAAACACATATGTATATATGTGTGTGTGTGTGTGTGTGCATATATATATATATATATTATACGTATGTATGTCGTTTGGAAACCAAGCATCTAATAGGCTAAATAAATGAAATGAGTAAAAACCAGAACAGGGGGCCGTCTCGTTTCATCTCTCATTTCAGAGGGGATGGTGGAAAAGTGGGAGTAGAAAAAGGGGGGGGAGGTGTTCGTTCCTACGTTGAGATATTGTAGCAAAGCACAGGAACTGCAATCCAAGTACAGTATTTGGCCGGCGAATAAAACCGGGCCTGGACGGGCAGCGAGCTGCTTGGGGAGGTTGGCGGGGAGGGCAGAGAAGGCGACAGCGAGAATGGCGAAGGTCGGGGCGCGGGGGGGGGGAGGGAGAAAGGGAGAGAGAGAGAGAGAGAGAGCGAAGAGAAGTCCGTCTCGACTCACAGTCCAGGTGCTTCTTCTTGGGGCCCATCACCTCGTGCGTGGTGGCCTTGCAGACGGTCTTGGACACGGCCGAGCCGGTCACGCTGTGCTGCGCCGCCGTGATGCGGTCGGTCAGGCTCTGCCCAGACATGGCGGTGCCGGATTCAGAGACACTCCGCTGCCGCTGCTATTCCTCAACCAGGCTGGCGAAGCAGGGACGGGGAAAGGAGGAGGAGGAGGAGGAGAAGGAGAAGGAAGGAAGGAGGGAGGGAGGGAGGAAAGGAGGGCGGTCCCGGCTGGACTCAACAACGCCGCCGCGGCCGCTGAGGACGCCCGGCAGCGCTCCGCCTTCGGAAGGGCCGGGCCTGTCACCCGGGAAGAGGCTTCTCCTCCTTCCTCTTTCCTCCTCCTCCTCTTTCCCCGCCTCCTCGGCCTCGACCACTACCGCGGCCTGCCGCTCGGCCGCCGCCGCCACCACCGTAAGCCTCCCTTCTCCTTCCCTCACGCACACATGCACAGCTGGTCGCCGCAGGAAAATGGCGGACGGAGGAGACGCTCAGCTCCACCTCAGAGCTTTCCGGGCCTCCGGCATCACGTGACGCTCTTACTCTTGCTCTCTCTCCCCACCCTCCCTTCTATCGCCCGCCCGCCCCCCCGCCTAGCCACGTGACATGCTCTTTAAAAAAAATTAGGGCCACACCCCCTCCGCCCCTGCCACGTGACATTCCATCGCCGCCGCCGCTCTTCCCCCTCGCCGCCCGGCCCGCCTCCCCGCACCCACCCCGCGGCAATGCGTCTTTCTTGCCTCCGCCCCTCTCCCGCGTAACAAGCAGGAACGCGGTGACGAAATCGGTCGGGAGTTGCCGCGCGACGTGCTCTTTCCTCCCCCGCCCCCCGCCTCTTTTTAGTCGGCAACGGTCACCAACGGTCTGAACGTGTGGGCGGAACTCGTAACCGTCGCAGGGCTTGAGGGAAAATCTCGGCCTCGGTATATTCCCGCCAAAAAGGGGAAAAGATGGGCCTGTCGCCATACGTGCCTGGCTTGCCTCCCATATTGTTCTGCTGGCAACCCGCCCTTTACTTTGGACTCTAGGCGAAGTACACAAGCACCTGCAGAAATGACCGCATTCAAAGCGATGATGACGTGGCTCATGAGGGATTATGGAGGAAGCGGGGTTGAATTTATTGGGGTGTTTTTTTCTTTTATTGGTAAAACATAATATTGGTACCTTTTCATGGGCTCATCTGGTCCAATCTCCTGCAATGCAGGAATCTCAACTGGAGAATCCATTATAGATGGCCAAAATCTACAGTGGTCCTGACTCAAAAGAGTGTGACACACTCAGCCACCTCAGTCAGCAGCAATAACTCGCCTGTCTTCACCAGCAAGATCCACCAACTCATAGTAGATTGTCCTCAAACCTCCTTTCCACTGTAAAATGGCTCTTAATGTCAAAAAGTTCTCCCTGATGTTTAGTCGGAATCTCCTTTCTTGTATCTTAAAATTCAGGTCCTACCCTCCTGAGAAAGAGAAAACAAGTTTCCTCTGTCTTCCATGTGTCAGTCCTTTACATATCTCCTCCCAGTCTCCTCTTTTCCATAGCTAAACATACCCAGCTCCATAGTCTAAACCAAAGTCTCATGAGATTCTGAAAGAAATAAAGTACTATCAGGTGCAATATATGGAATTGATGAATCAAGAGATAGAATGGAAAATAAAGCAAATGAGACAAAAGACATTTGAATCAGCAGATAAATGTGGGAAATTTCTGTCATGGCAATTGAAAAAGAGGCAAAAATTGAACACTGTGACAAGTTTAGAAGTGGACGGAAAGATTATCCACAAACCAAATGAGATAAGTAATTGTTTTCAAGGTTATTTCAGGAAATTATATGCACAAGGGCCAGTTAATGAACAGGAAATAGAAGAATTTGTTAAGAAACATGGATTACCAAAAATTTCAGAGCAAAGCAGAAGGATTTTGAATGAGAAAATAACAGGACAAGAAATAGAGGGTGCCATTCAGAAGATGCAATTGGGAAAAGCTCCAGGACCAGATGGTTTGACCGCCAGATACTATAAAGTGTTGAAGGAATGGTTAGTACAACCACTGAAGGAAGTATGTAACGAAATTTTGGAGGGGAAAAAGGCACCAGAGTCGTGGAAAGAAGCTTTTATCTCACTTATACCGAAAACTGAGACTGAAAAGAACCAGGTTAAAAACTACCGCCCTATATCATTACTTAATGTGGATTACAAAATTTTTATGGACATTATGGCAAAAAGACTGAAGAGAGTGTTGGTAGGGGAGATTCATAAAGACCAAACTGGCTTTCTTCCAGGGAGATATATGTCGGACAATGTGAGGAACATTATAGACATTTTGGAACTGTTAGAAGTGGACATTAATAGGAAGGCTGTTTTAATTTTTGTGGACGCGGAGAAAGCCTTTGACAATATTGGTTGGAGTTTTATGAAGAAGAATCTCCAAGGGATGGGGGTAGGTCAAGGGTTTGAAAATGGTATAGGTGCAATATACTCTAAACAAAAGCAAAGTTAATTGTAAACAATGTGGTAACGGAAGAAATACCTATAGAAAAAGGTACACGGAGCTCCATCAACCGTTCCTCATAAGTTTCACTGGTTTGAGAAATGGTGTACACACATGACATTGAACACAACCCATGTCTATCCTTTCATTTTTAATCAAATTCTACGTTTTGATGCATTTCCCTGCAAAGCAGCTTTGACCCAAGTTGGAAAAAAACACGACCTGACTATGCTGAGATGGCCAAAATGACTGAAAATCAAGAATAAGGATGATAAAAACTTTGACAAAGACTGGGAAAAATTTGTAATATATTTGACAGAACACTGTAAATAGTTAAAAACGTTAGCAGGATTGAAATAATGCAATGTTAAAAAAACTATAGGAGAAAATAAAGATTTATGGATATACAGTATGGAGCATAATATGATATGCACGGAAAATTATCACTAGTGGACCCCTCGAAAGGGAGGATGGAAGTCTGAGAATTCAGAGAATTCTATACTGTTGGGCTGTATTTTTCTTATTTGAGAAAGTAAAACTAAATTGTAAAACCAATAAAAATTATTATTAAAAAAAGGAAAAAAGAACAAGCTAGCTGTGGTTTGAGTCAGTAATGTGTATACAGCATTAGAGTTGATGCATAAGGAGAGATTTTCTGGGATGTGTGGGACTTTAGTCGTCACAAGGTTTCATAGTTAAGCATTAGCACCTTGACTCAAAGCCTGATGTGTATTGACAGCCAGTGAAGATGGAACACAACTGGGTGGATATGCTTGTGATTCCTGGAGCTCATCTTTACCTCACTATTTCCCCCAATACCTAACAGAACAGCTTCTTCCATATGTCCATGCTCTATGGCATGGGTGACTAATCCCTGCTCCTCTAAGTAAATTCCTTCCTTTCAAGATTTGACTAATTTTTGGTGGTAGCAAGGGGGGGGGGGAATGTATGGGTAGCCCAATAATGAGGATGTAAATCACCTGCTCTTAAGACTGATCATTAATGAGTGGGGCAGGGCAATAAGCCCCCCTCAGTGGATCATCACAGACCCCTGTGTCTGCATGTCCAATATGTATGCATGCAGGCAAGCAAGCATGGTCACATCCATACCATCATTAAGTCATAGGGTTGCCATATGTCCTTTTTTTCCAGGACATGTCCTTTTCTCATGGGTACGTAAAAAGAGTCATCAGAGAGGTCCATAGTGAAAAGTTGGCAAATGTGTCCCTTTTTTTGCTCTTCAAAATATGGCAACCCTACATTGTGAGAGCATTTAGAGCACATGGTTTCCCACAAAGAATCCTGGAATTGAAGTTTATTCTTTACAGACATACAATTCCCAAGATTCTCTGGGAGAAGCCATGAGCTTTAAATGTATGGTGTAGAAACCTATAGTTTCAAACGGAGCTTCATGGTTGAGCAGGGATTTGAACTGTGTCTGGCTTTCCCATCTAAGGCTCCATTCTTAGCTCTGCTTACCTGAGAGTAAGCCATATTGATTTCAGTTCAACTTACTCCTGACTGTACTTAGGATTACAAGTACTGTATGGACTTGACCAGGATTTTGAACCAGCATGTTGCAGACACCACAGCAAAACTCATGACCTAAGGACAAAAACCCTAACTGAATCACCACTTAATATGACAAACATCCACCACATGATAAAAGATTATATCCATGTGGTAAACTATCCAAGTGAAGACTTGTTCGGCATGAATCATCCTAATGGGGATTAATGGGTCATGTGTGTTGCATCTGAGCAGCACAGTTCTGTGGGCAACTGCAAAGGTCTATGAAACTTGAAGCTCTGAAAAAGAGGAGGACATTTCAGTGCTGGAGGCGGAAAGCTGCATGAAGGCTGAAACAACTTAGATTCCCCCCCCCCCCGATACAGAGTTGTTAGCTAGAATGTACGGGTGGCCAACACCTCAGAAAATGTGAAGATGCTCCTGTAACAAGCTCAGGAACCTTCCATGCACTCACTTGCCTGCAATCAGACAATCCAAAGAACTGTCATTGCTATCTATTATCCTCAGCTGCTACTTTAACCATGACCAAGCCCATTTCCAGATGCCTTTGTTGGCTCTCCCTCATCTTCTGCATCTTATTATGCTCCTTGTTTTCCCTTACCAGGCCCCATACATTCTGTACTAGGTTTCTTCTTGCAGTTATGTCCATGAGTAGCTTGAGACTAAAGTATGGGCAAGATGGAGGACCCTTTCCCAGTATATTTAAACCCAATTGGGATTTTAAAATGTGCAGCACTGATGAGACCTGCAATTTACGCTGCATCCGGTGCACTCCCACCAATAGTTTGGGAAGGATAAAAGGTAAAGGGACCCTGACCATTAGGTCCAGTTGTGGCCAACTCTGGGGTTGCGGTGCTCATCTCGCTTTATTGGCCGAGGGAGCCGGCGTACAGCTTCCGGGTCATGTGGCCAGCAGGACTAAGCTGCTTCTGGCAAACCAGAGCAGCGCACAAAAATGCCGTTTACCTTCCCGCCGGAGCAGTACCTATTTATCTACTTGCACTTTGGCATGCTTTTGAACTGCTAGGTTGGCAGGAGCAGGGACCGAGCAATGGGAGCTCACCCCGTCATGGGGATTCGAACCGCCGACCTTCTGATAGGTAAGCTCTAGCCTCTGTGGTTTAACCCACAGCGCTACCCGCGTCCCTTTTGGGAAGGATAAATGGGCATAAATCTGACATCAGGAACATAGCTGTCAACATTTCCCTTTTTTTTAAGGGAAATTCCCTTATTCCGAATAGGATTTCCCTTAAAAAAGGGGAAAGTTGACAGCTATGATTAGGAATCACAAAACAGAGAAACTAATAGGAGAACTCTTCAATCTCCCAGGACAATCTATACAAGATCTTAAAGTAGCTGTCTTATTGCAAAAGCATTTTAGAAATACACTTGAAAGAGAAGTTGCTAAATTACAACTCATTACCAAACTAAAAACTATGGAGAGGCCTGGTCTGAATAGAGAAATTGGATTCATGTCCCATTATACATACTAAAGCTAATTTTGTTCATCTATCCCTTTTAAAAATCCCTTGCCCTTCCCTGTGGAACCGACTGCTTGGCAGGGGGTTGGACTCAATGGCCCTTGTGGTCTCTTCCAACTCTATGATTCTAACAGTCATCAACAGTCATAAGGTTGAAGCGACTTCTGCTTCAGAGTATCTGACGAAATGTGTATTACACACAAAAGCTCATACCTTGAAAGCTTATATTTAGTTGACCTTAAAGGTGCCACTGGAATTATTAAAAAAGTTTTTTCCATCTTTCATCTTGTTAGTTATTATAACTTCAATCCAAATTGAGCAAAAGAAAAATATAGCTGTGTTTTAAGTCGGCAGTGTGTCCAGAGCCTTCTTGTCTTGACCAGTTGATAATGTCTGGCCTTGGGGTGATTCAAATGACCAGATAATGCACCAACACACAGCTGGCTATTGAAACACATTATCAAAAATATCTATAAAACCTGAGGGTAGGGAAAGTCACGACAACGTTCTCTGTTTGTCCTCTTCCAGAAAATATTAGCCTGAATTACATCACTGAGAGGAGCATAATATGTGGAGGAGGAAGATTTTAATGGCATTGGGCTGTTTGAAGGATTACGGAGATAATGTATGAGAGGCACTTGGGACACTTGGAATGGACTATAATATAAATGCTAAGTATTATTGACAGTTGCTAATGGCCAGAAACTAATGACTGCATTTTGAAGACACAAAAGCCATTCACAATCTTAGCAAACCGTTTTCCATTATTAGATAGGCTTTATAAAGCCTGGAATGGAAAGGGGTATTTTATTTCCTTCGTAGCGATCCAATCTTATTTGGCAAATTAGGCTTGCTGCTAGTCTTTTGCCCCTTCCCCCCTTTTTAATTTTAACTGGGAAGTCAGACAAGCTCACAGAATGTGACATGAAATAAATTAGGAAGGGAGATGATCAAAAGGAAAAAAAATGAAATTGCACTGGAATTGTATATAGCTAACCATGTCATTGACTTATGCAAGGTGAACAAATTTTTAATGTTTTCAGGCTTGGCATTCTTCTCAATCATCTTCTGTGGACTTAAGCAGGTTTAAAACCCATTCTCTCTTCCTAGAGAATTATGGGAATGGTAGTAGAGTAGAGGAAGGAGAGACGGAGCCCAGGAGAAATCAGGGATCTCCAACAAAGTGTCAAAGGTCACATCCACTCGGGTGAGTTTCAAGCTTCCTTTGCACAGAGGAGTTCGCATCAGAGGCTGGTGGGACGTCTTCATCCATCATGTATGATCTTTTTGGTTTCTGCATCCCTGAAACCCCACTGGAACTCCTGTTCATTTAACTGTCATCTGTGTTTGTGCATTCATTTTTTTCCTGCACAATGATTATGATGATGATAATAATAATAATAATAATAATAATAATTTATTATTTGTACCCCGCCCATCTGGCTGGGTTTCCCCAGCCACTCTGGGCGGCTTCCATAGAAACCAAAAATACAGTAAAATATCACAGATTAAAAACTTCCCTGAACAGGGCTGCCTTAAGATGTCTTCTAAATGTCAGGTAGTTATTTATCGCTTTGACATCTGATGGGAGGGCGTTCCACAGGGCGGGCGCCACTATCGAGAAGGCCCTCTGCCTGGTTCCCTGTAGCTTTGCTTCTCGCAATGAGGGAACCGCCAGAAGGCCCTCGGCGCTGGACCTCAGCGTCCGGGCAGAACGATGGGGGTGGAGACGCTCCTTCAGGTATACTGGGCCGAGGCCGTTTAGGGCTTTAAAGGTCAACATCAGCACTTTGAATTGTGCTCGGAAGCGTACTGGGAGCCAATGTAGGTCTTTCAAGACCGGTGTTATGTGGTCTCGGCAGCCGCCCCCAGTCACCAGTCTAGCTGCCGCATTCTGGATTAGTTGTAGTTTCCGAGTCACCTTCAAAGGTAGCCCCACGTAGAGCGCATTGCAGTAGTCCAAGCGGGAGATAACTAGAGCATGCACCACTCTGGCGAGACAGTCCGTGGGCAGGTAGGGTCTCAGCCTGCGTACCAGGTGGAGTTGGTAGACAGCTGCCCTGGATACAGAATTGACCTGCGCCTCCATGGACAGCTGTGAGTCCAAAATGACTCCCAGGCTGCGCACCTGGTCCTTCAGGGGCACAGTTACCCTATTCAGGACCAGGGAGTCCTCCACACCAGCCCGCCCCTGTCCCCCAAAAACAATACTTCTGTCTTGTCAGGATTCAACTTCATTCCATTAGCCACCATCCATCCTCCAACCGCCTCCAGGCACTCACACAGGACCTTCACCGCCTTCACTGGTTCTGATTTGAAAGAGAGGTAGAGCTGGGTATCATCTGCATATTGATGGACACACAGTCCAAATCCCCTGATGATCTCTCCCAGCGGCTTCATATAGATGTTAAAAAGCATGGGGGAGAGGACGGAACCCTGAGGCACCCCATAAGTGAGGGCCCAGGGGTCTGAACACTCATCCCCCACCACCACTTTCTGAACACGGCCCAGGAGGAAGGAGAGAAACCACTGTATAACAGTGCCCCCAGCTCCCAGCCCCTCTAGACGGTGCAGAAGGATGTTATGGTTGATTGTATCAAAGGCTGCTGAGAGATCCAGCAGAACCAGGAAACGACTCTCACCTTTGTCCCTAGCTCGCCGGAGATCATCAACCAGCGCGACCAAGGCAGTTTCAGTCCCATGGTGAGGCCTGAATCCCGATTGGAAGGGATCCAAATGGTCCGCATCCTCCAGGCATGCCTGGAGTTATTCAGCAACCACGCGCTCAATCACCTTGCCCAAGAATGGAAGATTTGAGACTGGGCGATAGTTGGCCATACTGGCCGGGTCTAAAGATGGTTTTTTTAAGAAGCGGTTTAATGACCGCCTCTTTCAGCGGATCTGGGAATGTTCCCTCACAGAGGGAAGCATTCACCACCCTGCAGAGCCCATTGCCCAGCCCTTCCCGGCTTGCTTTTATTAGCCAGGATGGGCAAGGATCAAGGAGACAGGTGGTTGGTTTCACGCGTCCAAGCAGCCTGTCCACATCCTCGGGGGTAATGGATTGAAATTGATTCCATGCAACTTGACCAGACAGAGCTCTAGCACTCTCCGGCCATGCTCCCACGGTGGTGTCTAGCTCCTTCCGAATATGAGTGATTTTATCTGCAAAAAACTTTGCAAAATCGTTGCAGGAGATCTTGGGGTCTTTACAAGGCCCCGGTGGTAAAGGTGGTTCCGTTAAATTGCGAACCACCTGAAAGAGTCTCCTGCTACTATTTTCTGCAGATGCAATAGAGGCAGTGAAGAAAGTCTTCTTTGCCGTCGCTATCGCCACTTGGTAGGCTCGACGTTGAGCTCTAACCTGTGTCCGGTCAGATTCGGAGTGAGTTTTCTGCCACCGATGCTCTAGCCGTCTCAGCGATTGTTTCATTGCCCTCAGCTCCGAAGAAAACCACGGGGCTGTCCGGGCTCCATGCAATCGGAGAGGGCGCTTCGGAGCCAGACAGTCGATAGCCCTGGTCAACTCCTCATTCCAGCGGGCCACCAGGGAATCAGCTGAAAGGCCATCAACATGGGCTAAAGCATCCCCTACCACTCTCTGGAAACCATTTGGATCCATTAAGTGGCGGGGAGGACCATCCGAATTGGTCCCACCTCCCTGCAGAGGGGAAGGGTCGCGGAGAAGTCCAGTTGCACCAGGAAGTGATCTGACCATGGCACTTCTTTTGTTTCACTTTTACTTAGTGTCAGATCACCCACGTCACTAGAGGTGAACACCAGGTCTAAGGCATGTCCATGACGATGAGTTGGGCCAAACTTATTTAGGGACAGCCCCATGGAGGCCATGCTTTCCACGATGATGGACTGTTAGGGTATGTTCTCATCACTTATACTGCATGCAAATTTCTTATTGGATTGAAGCTGGTTTGGAAAAAAACAAACACATCAGACCGCAGTATTTGTCAAGAAACTACAGGATTGGTATGGACTGTGGCTAACGTAGTGTGAATGTAGCTTCAAAAATTACCAGTGGGAATGTAGTGGATGTGGAATAAGCTGTAATGCGGACATACCCACCAGGAGTGAGACCTAGGTCAAGGTCGTGCTGACTATTATAGTCAGGTTAAATAAGTTGGAGTTCTTGTTATTAAATATATCAAGAAAAAAGCACACCAAGAACTCAGGCCTGAGTTCTTGGTGTGCTTTTTTCTTGGACTATTATAGTCAAGCCAGGAGGAGCCTGGGTCTCACTCACTTTTTCTTTCTGTATCTTTGTTCTGATATTCTGTAACCTATAGTGTTAATGTTTACTCTTATTATAAGCCATTGTAAGTTTTATTGTTAAGTCCGTTGCAAATGGATATTTATGGACTGTGCCAATCCTGAATGTACTAGATTTGTGACAATTATGCTTGTTTGCCTTCAGAAGCAAGTAAAGCTCTGCTGGATGAAGTACAATTGCCTCTGGTCTATATTTTGGGAACTCTGCTACATGTTTAAGGTTTTTTTTCCTCCCCAGAAGAGGCTGGGAAGACAAGTTTACCTATGAGATCACCATACCCCACAGGTACCCACTCAAATGCTTTGATCAGCAGAATCGGCATTACTATAGGTGCCACATAATACCTTTTCTGCTTTTTTAAGAATTTAATCATTTAGTGTGGCAGCACCTACACCTGCCTATTGATATCAAGCAGGTGCCTACACTGTATTATTGCTGGCCCCTGCTAAAAAAATTCTTGTTTAGACTAGCCTACCTGGAAAGTTGATGTGAATTTTAACCTGTTTTCGTACTTTGACTTTTGTATGTTTTTAACTGTTGTTGTAAATTTCTCTTGATTTTATTGCTTTATCTTTTTGTAAATGGCTTTGTGGTTTTTTTTTCAAGTAGTGTATACATTTTATTTAATAAAATAAATGAATAAATAAATCCACCTAAAGCATGCTTATACCACTTCAACAGAATTGGCTTCCCCCAAATAATCCCGGGAACTCTAGTTTGTCAAGAGTGCTGGGAACTCTAGCAACCTAGTACTTTGCCAGAAGTAGGAAACATATAATTGTGACTGTCCCTGGTGAAAAGGGACAGTCGAAGAATGCAGATTTTCTTGATAGACATGCATCTGTGGTTTACTTTAAACAGATTAAAAAAATGGAGCTGTTAACTGTATTCCTTATTCTAACTGGTGTAGCTAAAGGATAGCCAGGACTTGGACATCAGCAGACGTACAATATGTCCCAATTTTATGGGAAAGGGAAAGGGAAAGAAATGTAATACTTGGCAGATGAAAGAAATGCTAACCAAAACTATTTTCTAAAAGCAGAACACACATAGCTAAATATGTTGGCTTTATTAAAGCTTAAGCCAAGCATTCTAACAAAACAGTAGTGTTAAGTTAGATGAGACAGAGAAAGAGGCATTAAGTTCCTTTAATAATCTTGTACGGATTTTTAAGGATAAGAACATATTATATGATAATCCTTCTGGATCAGACCAGAGGTCAGTCTAGTCTTGAATTCTTTTTTCACATTGGCAAGCAGATGCTTCTGGAAAATTCATATGCAGAGCATCTGGAATTCAGAAATATGCTGATGCATGGGTATAAATGCACAGGGAAATCTGTATTTTCCAGGCAGCAAAATATTGCAACCTGAGTGCTGCTGGGGAGAACAAAACTTCCACAGAACAGGGGCACGAACTTGAGGGAAAACATCTGGATCCTGCAAAACAACAGATGAATAACAACTGTGCAGTTGTTGCACAGAATATAATTGTTAGGCTTGGCCCTTAGCCAGGGACAAAACACAAAGTCAGCAGCGCCATGAGATGTATCCATAGCTGAACTAGTTCAGACTGCAGGCAAGGAGCAGGGGAATAAGGGCTTGCCAGGTGGAGCCTGTAGCCGATGACTAAATATGTTGGCAAGAGGACCCATAGCTATGTGGTAGAACACATGTTTTGTGTACAGAAAGTCCCGGTTTAAATTAAATCTCTGGTATCTCCAGTGAAAGGTGGGTCCATGAGGGTAAATGGGGCCACTGTCCCACCGACTTTAGCATTCCCCAACCAGGCCCCACCAGTCTGCCTTCCTACTTGCAACCAGCTCAATGCCTGTCAGCTTCTTCCTGCTGCTGGTGAGACCCAATAGCGGGTTCAACAGTCAAGAACAGGGGTCAGCAAACTTTTTCAGCAGGGGGCTGGTTCACTGTCCCTCAGACCTGGACTATATTTTGAAGGGGGGAAAAATGAACGAATTCCTATGCCCCACAAATAACCCAGAGATGCATTTCAAATAAAAGCACACGTTCAACTCATGTAAAACCACCAGGCAGACCCCACAAATAACCCGGAGATGCATTTTAAATAAAAGGACACATTCTACTCATGTAAAAACACGCTGATTCCTGGACTGTCTGTGGGCTGGATTGAGGCGGTGATTGGGCCTGAGATGGCCCCTGGGCCTTAGTTTGTATACCCATGGTCAAGCAGGTGGTTTCTGTACATGCTGTAGACGGAAGTTAGAGGCAGATGGGGCTCGTCAGCCTGGGAAGGTATCCCACCTAGGAGAAGGAAAACTCTGCTCCTAAAGCTCTGCTGCCTTGTGGGATATCTTCAGGAAAAGAAAACGCCGAGGAATAAACCCTATACAAATCTGCAGTGGTGTACCAAAGACAGTTGGATGGCGCCTTGTACGTCTCCTGTCAACTCCTGCAGCTAAGCTGGTGCCTAACATATTGCTCTGCTTTCCTTTGCACCATATCAGTGAAGCCGAGAGGGAAGTCTTGTCATCTGAGCAGCCCAGGACCTCTGTTAAGTTGTGGGTGAACATATCAGACGACACAGTGATTCTTCAACCAGCTCTTGTTTATTCACAGGCCAGAACAGAACTGAAATGACGGCTTCAGCCAGCCTGCTTATATAGAGCTCCACTACAACGCAACGGTAACAACTTTCTGTAACTATCCAATCACTGAATGTCACTTTCAATTCCTTATTTGCATATGTGGACCTGAGTGAAAACTACAGTATCCCCCTGCTGGCCCAGGGTGAGAACTTCAGTACATAACAACCTCCATCCACACTGCCCAGGCTTGTGCCCCGGAGAGGTCACTTCAGTTGCTGCCCTCAGAGCAGTTTGGCTTCAACGCCCCCCCCCCCAGGTGCACTCCACTGTCTCTTGAGGCAGGTAGATGCCAACAGCTGGTCCCAGTCTGTTTAGGGATTTAAGAGCCAAAGCTGACACCTTGAACTGAACCTGGAAACAAATAGGAAGCCCATTAAATTGGCTTATATGGTCCATCCTACCAGCTCCAGACACAAATCTGGCCACAGCCTTTGGAACCAATTGAAGTTTCTAGACTGTCTTCCAGGGCAATCTTAAACTACATATAACTGCTGATAATCCCCATTCTCTGCAACTATTAAGGGATCAAGGGTGCCATCATCTTTTGCACATGGGCACCTTAATTACAGTGATCCAGACTGGAAGCAATGGCGTAGAGAGCAACATCACCACCTGCTAACTGCAGTCGAGGCATACTGATATGGAATGAAGAGGGAAAGAAGCCTGCTTCAGAAATCGAGAACCCTAGCAGAATGTACAAAATATGTCTGGCATTTAAATTAATATACATGTTTACTCAGAAGATAGCCCTATGAGGTTCAATAGGATTTGCTCCTAAATAAACATGCACAGAATTGCAGTTTTACAGCATACTTGTATACATATTACTCTCTATGAGTTCAGTGTGATTTCCTCTCAGACAAGTGTGGATAGAATTGCAGGTCTTTTTTCTGCTAATTAGTGCATGTAAAAATATGAATGCATAAAATCTAATTCAAACCCATCCATTTAGGAGACTTGCTGTCTGCCTTAGAGCTGTGCTGATATTGGCTGAGCCCTAAAAATTGCCCTAAAATTTTCCTTAAGCACATACAGAGAGAGAGAGAGAGAGAGAGAGACCCTCAGCACTAAACGAATAGGGTTTGGTTTGTCATCACTGAAGATGAAGAAGCACTTAGAAGCAGCTTGTTTAATTAAAAGAGTTTGTTGTCAGTCCAAACATCTGACAAGATTTTTGCTTGGAATTCTGTGTGGCCTCCACATTGGGAAAATAGCTGGAACAAAATGCTCCAGTCTCTTTATCTTGGGTCTCGTGTCCCATTCCTAGACAAGCCTAGATGCCAGTTTCCCAGTGTGAACTCACGCTTTTATTCTCGGTCCTTTGAGAGATATATTAGTGGGGAAGATTGCTGTCTCCCTGCCCTGTGCTTTTAACATAATCTCCAGCAACTAAGAATGCCAGCTTTTCAGAACTGGCTCTGAAATGATAATTGCCCAACTTGAATTTGCCAGTATGCAATTGAATCCAATCCCAAAATAAGGACAGTCTAGAAAGTGTCCTTTGACTGCACAATATGATCTACTTGAGCTCTGACATACGTAATTGGCCTTACTCTTGGGTTCTCGTTCTTTGGTCATTCTGCTTTCTGGTATGTCCTCTGTTTCCGATTACTCTTGGATTTTCATTTCTGACTCATGGGTCTTGACTCCAAAGAACATAAGAAGAATCTGCTGGATTAGGCCAATGGCTCATATAGTTCAACATCTTGTTCTCACAATGGCTAACAAGATGCCTGTGGGAAACCTTCAAGCAGGACCCAAGCTCAAGAGCCAGTGTGGTGTAGTGGTTAAGAGTGGTAGACTCGTAATCTGGTGAACCGGGTTTGCTTCCCCGCTCCTCCACATGCAGCTGCTGGGTGACCTTGGGCTAGTCACACTTCTCTGAAGTCTCTCAGCCTCACTCACCTCACACAGTGTTTGTTGTGGGGGAGGAAGGGAAAGGAGAATGTGAGCCGCTTTGAGACTCCTTAAAGGGAGTGAAAGGTGGGATATCAAATCCAAACTCCTCCTCTTCTTCTTCTTCTTCTTCTTCTTCTTCTTCTTCTGTGTTTTCCAGCAACTCATATTCAGAGGCATTACTGCCTCTGGCTGTGGAGGCAGAACATAGCCATCTTGGGCTGGTAGCCATAGATAGCCTTGTTCTGCAGGAATTTGTCCACCACTCTTTGAAAGCCACCCAAGTTGGTGGCCATCCTGTGGGAGCCAGCTCCATAGTTCAAACATAGGCTGCAGGGGAAAATCCCTTTTATCTGTCCTGAATCTTCCAATGTTCAGCCAGTGTTATGAGAGTGAGAGAGAGAACATATTTTCTCTGTCCACTTGTGGTTTGTTTTCTGATCCCTGATTGCTCTTGGGTCTGAACTTCCAGTCTGTCAGAAGCGGGTACCAGGAGCGGGTCGGTAATAACTCACACAGTGTCAGTGAAGTGAACTCTCTATTCAAAAAACAACACAGCTCAGGAAGCCAGGCCTAGTGAGTACAGCAACTCTTCCCGGTAGATCTTGCCCCTATGAGGCAGTTGTGGGGCCTGAGGGTCCCCGCTTCCCCACAGTTCCTTAAGTCTTCTCCCCTTGATCCTTCCCAAGCAATCTGAGGTTGTCGTCATGCCTGTCTGTGCTCCTCCTTCTTCATACCCCTTCTGGTTCTGGGACACCAGTGGGGAGAGAAGTTAGTCACAGCAGTAGGGGAAGACACCCTGGCTTCTTCACCAGCCTGACTCATCAATGCCTCTCCTCTCCAGCCTCCACTTCTGTCTCTGATTCTGGACTGTTCTCTGACACAGTCTTTCCCTGCTTACTAAACCCTGTTGCCTCTTCAGCTTCTGATGCTTCCTCCTCCTCCCAGTTGGCTCCCTCTTCTCCCTCTGACCACTCTTTGTCGTCCCACCACCAATTCCCTGGCTCTGAGCCTACTTCCCTTGGGGGTTCCCCAGCTGGTGCCTCGTATCATTCCTCTGCATCCAGCCAGTCCATGACACAGCCCCTGACTCCCCAACTTCAGACTCCTGTCCACATCGCTGTAAAGAGAGGAGAAGTCTAGATGGGTGGTGGTGATTCCTTCTGCGGTCTTCTTTTCTTTTGCAATCATGACTTAGTACATTGTGTGCAAATCCGTGCTCATCCTTTACCATTTGACCCACAAACAATCTGGGGCTGAGTTTTGCAGGAAGCTCTTTTAAATATACCCAGTGCTTTTTTCTGGGGGGACGCAGGGGGACGCATACCCCTAAACATTTTGTGAATCTAAGTTTGGCCTCATTGAGGAGCAGTATTTCAATATGAGTAGGAAAATTAGAGTACCCCTAAACATTTTTTATGGAAAAAAAGCACTGAATATATCATTCAAACATCAACTAATTTTACTCGGGCTTTTGCGAGTTAAAAAATAAAAGGAAGACAAATGGCCCAGAAGGGAATAGCAAATATGGTTCACATGATTTTTCCTTAGCTGAGAGGGAAAAAATGCCACTGCTTTCTCACAGTTTGACATAAAAGAGACTGGGGCAATGTACAATAGAAGCTAATATTAGTCATCATGTCTGCAGAACCTGAAAATATCCCATGTACATAACTTCAGGGAGGATAAAAAAACCCAACAAAGCTTTCCCCTAACTTTAGAAGCAGCCAATTTGGGGAGGTGGGCTCATTAGCTCCATGTGTCTCTCCCCCCCCCATTTTTATTTTTAAGTTGTTAGAAATATCCCAGAACCACAAGAAAATCACACGGCGGTAACCTGGAGTAAAAAAAGTAAAATAACAGCAGGTTTCTGTGTTTTATAAATAGCCCTTTACTCCATGATTTAATGATGCTGTGCCTTACTGCAGCCTGCAGACATAAGATTGATCTTCACATGCAGCAGACTCACATGGTCTGGATATTCTCTTGGCCCCTAGAACTTTAAAATGGAATCTTAGATTTTGTTCGCGGTGGGGGAAGAGGGACTTCCCTGCACACAGAAAGCTAGCGTAATGGAGAGACAACTTAGCTCGAATCAGGGCTGGCCCAGAATGTTTTGCTACAAATAGAAAATGTGACACACACACACACACACCAATAAAGGGGGAGGGGGAAGGAGGTCAAAAAGGAGGGTGATGCAGGGGTTGACAGCAACAGTGTTGGCAAGGGAGGAGGAAGAGGCAGGCAGAGGAGGCGAGTGGCAAGCAGCGAGTGGCGCTGTCCTCGTGGGCCCGATCTGCTGCCCCACCCAGCTGTCCCAAGCTTGCCTCACCAGGCCCTGGCTAGAATTCATATCCCTGACTTGCTATTTTTCTATGTGCAGGGAGACTCCCCCCCCCCCCGGAATGGGGATTGCCACATGAGCTTTCACCCACTGAAGCAGCATTGTGCAGTTAGTGGACTAGGGGGACTAGGCTAATCCCCTAACTCTTCCCCTGATGCCTCCTTCCCAAAGCCCGGGGAGCTTCTGCCCAATTTAGGGAGGGAGGCATGATATTCACACACACATTATCTCCCCCAGTTGCCCTCACAGGCTGGTGTCTAATTGCTCCCATACAAAATAATTTGCTACATGCCGTCGCCAGACCAAAAAACAAGACGAATGACTTCTGTGATCTGGGACACTTGAGGGGGTATGTCCTTATCGCTCGCTCATGCTGCTCAGTTTGTGAGAACAGGATGAGACAGGAGCAGCAAAAAGCAAAACAAACTAGTAGTACGGGCAATAAACCTGGCATGCCAGCATGGTGCACTGGTTAGAGGGCTGGACTAGGAACCAGGAGACCAGGGTTCAAATCCCCACATGGGCCATGAAGCTCACTGGGGGACTTTGGGCCACTCACCAACTCTTAATCTCACAGGTTTGATCTCAAGATAAAAAGAGGAGCAGGAGAACCACATATGCTACCTTGAGCTCCTTGAAGAAAAGTTGGCCTATTAATGCAATAAAGCTCAGTTAGAGCGTGATGCCGATAACGCCAAGGTTGCAGGTTCGATCCCTGTATGGGGCTGCTGCAAATTCCTGCATTGCAGGGGGTTGGACTGAATGATCCGCAGGTCCCTTCCAACTCTATTATTCTATGAAATAATAATGTCACACTTGGAAGATAAGCTGCTAGCTAGTTCCACCCTGGAGGGCAAATAGCAGAATGGCTGGGGAGGCCATTCAGTCTGGAACTATCTGGCTATTCCAGATCAGGGCCCCACATGACTGCTTTTCCTTCAGATTAAAAATGACCAGCTTAACCACGTTTGCTTTTTAAAAAGTGTATATGGCATTACCCATAGTCTGGCAAGTCACAGAGCTCTTTATGGTTGGTATAGGCCTGATCTCTGGATTAAGATTTGACAAGCTTAGTTAGGTCAACAAGATTTTGATTACTTTTAAAGCACTGTTACAAATGAGATGTTAAATGCAGCGTGATGGAAATGGCATGGAGGTTTCTTGAGATAATCTCTCTCTAATGTAGCATGCAACGAAGCCTCCCTGTTAACTAGTAACATACACCACATTCATCATGAGCTAGTTGAGGCTGCCTATACTTCCACAGCTTATTTTGGACAGACGAAATATTCTCCATTTCCCTTCTGAACTAACGGTTGTGCAATAATGCTGGCATAAACAGAATGTCTACTGTGCTTCCTTCCACAGCAACAGCTGCATTCCAGCACTGGGCAAAATGTTCTTGACATAAAGAGGCACACGAATAACCTCAGGTTCCTGTTTTTAGTTAGTGAGAATTGCAAAGGACGATTGCAGCATCAAAGTGCCAACTCGAGGCCATTAGAGGACTACTAGATGTTTGGCACTTGGGTAAAAGGGAAAAGAAATCCAACAGGTGCAGCTTCTCTTGTAACTACAACAATCCCCTCCTGTATTTGTTTGGCAGCCCAAATGCCACAGTCTGGCTGGCTCACAAAATAAAATAAAATGCAATATACAATAGGGGGAGGGCAGGAACTCATTGGGAGAGCTTGCATGCAGAAGGTCCCAAATTTAACCCCCAGCATCTCCAGGTAGGGCTCGGAGAGATTACATGCTGAAGCCCTGGAAAGGTGCTGCCAGTCAGTGTAGGTGGCCCTGGAGAAGTCACAGAAAAGAGGCATCCCCTGCCAGAAGCAGTAACATTTGAAGGGATTCTGCCTTGGTCAGACCACACCTGGAGTACTGTGTCCAATTTGGGAACCACAATTTAAGAAGGATATTGAGAAGCTGGAACATGTGCAGAGGAGGGCGACTAAGAGGATCAAGGGTCTGGAAACCTAACCAAACACCTGCAATGTTATTACCTGCAAAAACACACTGGAGGGCCCCTTAGATTACCTCACCCTTAGCTGGTCTTTCCTATCCATTCAGAAGGACAGTTGTTGAGAGCAAATCAGCCAATCTCCGTAACAAAGGAAGGTAAAGGTTGTTAAGTTGTGGGTGAACATATCAGACAACACAGCAATTCTTCAAACAGTTCTTGTTTATTCACAGGCCAGAACAGAACTGAACTGAAGGGTTCAGCCAGCCTGCTTATATAGAGCTCCACTACAACACAACTGTAACACTTTCTGTAAATATCCAATCACTGAACTTCACTTTCAATCCCTTATTTGCATATGTGGACCTGAGTGAAAACTATCTACAGTATCCCCCTGCTGGCCCAGGGTGAGAACTTCAGTACATAACAAAGGTAAAGGTAAAGGGACCCCTGACCATTAAGTCCAGTCACGGACGACTCTGCGGTTGTGGCGCTCATCTCGCTTTACTGGCTGAGGGAGACGGCGTTTGTCTGCAGACAGCTTCTGGGTCCTGTGGCCAGCATGACTAAGCCGCTTCTGGCGAACCAGAGCAGCGCACAGAAACGCCGTTTACCTTCCCGCTGGAGCAGTACCTATTTATCTACTTGCACTTTGACGTGCTTTTGAGGAAGGTAATTGGGGTTTTTTCTAGGGCTCTTAAGGCAGTTGGCAGTTGTGTTTCCTGTCCAGTCCTTAACACCTCACTCCTACAGCAATACTTACTTGAAAACCCCACTGAAAGTAAAATGGTGCTAGAAGGATAGAGTGGAAACAGCTTCCATCTTCCTGCATCTCTCTAAGTAGTACCCTCCCCACTGAATTCTTAGTGGGTAATTTCAGATTTATGCAGCAACCCCAACCCCAATATCCTTTCCCTTTAATGAAACTGAGCTCCATTTTATCTGTTTGTTTCAAATGAGCTCCACCCAGTGCTTAATCTGCAAAAACAGAAGCGCATAGCTTCTGCTTTGGAAGAGTCTATGAACAATGCAAGATCATAGAATTGTAAGGGACCCCGAGGGTCATCTAGTCCAGCCCCCTGCAAAGCAGGAATCTGTTGTCCAGCATGGGGCTCGAACCTGCAACCCTCTCTACCAACTGAGTTATCCCAGGGTGTGGGTTCTAGTGGCAAAATGCCATGTTGAGAGGCAATCTGCAGAAACTCAAGGGGAAAATATTGTTCATTGCCACCTAGGAGGACAAAAGTTTGGACAGAGGAAAGGAGGAATGCTGCAATCCCTTCCCAAGCCCACTTTAGCACACACACACACACACACACACACACACCCCAAGTAGAGAAGCTGGCCTGATCCTGCTACTACAGCAGCAAATTCTGTTGGTGGTGTCTGGGCCATTTGGTGTCAGGAGGATGAGCAAGTTTTGTTTCTTTCTTGCCTACATTTAAACTGTTGAACAGTTTATTTTGGCTTTCATGGAAACAATGGGATGCGTGCAGTAGCTAATAGCCACTGGCCACCCAAGGTAATTAAGCTATTACCAATGCAAAATCCCAGAAAGCCATCCAGTCCACTTGATGCAATGCAGTTCCCATGATGCTCATCTTTGGGATTAGGAATGATCAGCTGACAGGGTTTGCCACAGCCTCCAGATGGTGTGCATGTGTTTGGCATATTGAATCAGGCTGTCCAGAGCTTGGGAAAAACCCTTCGTCTGAAATCACTCCAAGAGAGATCCCTTTGTTGCTGCTGTGCCACTTCTCTATTATTAACAACAGAAATGTCCCAAATTCTTTGGAACCACAGGAATTGACGGAGCAGCGAACTCCTTTTTGATTTCCTCCCCACAATGACTTTATGTGTTTCTGTATACAGAGACCAAATGGTGCATAGGGTCTTAAGCCAAGGTGGTGCTCTGTTCCTGATTTCTCTGCACTGTTTTCTGAAAGGTTTAAGGCTACTATCCTCTTTCCCATTTGTTTCAAAATCTATCTTCCAGCCCCTTCTCTTTTATGGGCAATTTCAGGCTGTTGACTTTTCGGGGGTACATTCTGCGACATTTTCTTTTTTATATAAGATTTTATTATGACTATTCATAATGGTAAAGGTAAAGGGACCCCTGACCATTAAGTCCAGTCGTGGCCGACTCTGGGGTTGCGGCGCTCATCTCGCTTTATTGGCCAAGGGAGCCGGCGTACAGCTTCCGGGTCACTAAGCTGCTACTGGCGAACCAGAGCAGCACACGGAAACGCCGTTTACCTTCCCGCCGGAACGGTACCTATTTATCTATTTGCACTTTGACGTGCTTTCAAACTGCTAGGTTGGCAGGAGCAGGGACCGAGCAACGGGAGCTCACCCCGTCGCGGGGATTTGAACCACTGACCTTCTGATCAGCAAGCCCTAGGCTCTGTGGTTTAGACAACAGCGCTACCCGCGTCCCGATTATTCATAATACATCACAATAAAAACAATCTAAACAACAATTGAGGGGGAGGGGAAAGGCTACTAAGTCCTATTTCACAGGTAAATCTTAACTTGTCCCACGCAGAGAAAAGTGAACCCTCCCATGTCCCAGCTCTCACCTGGGCGCATCCCTTTCTTTTCCCATCTTCCCACCCTGGGAGAGATTTCCTACCTTGCCTCTAGCACAGGGTCCTTCAACAGCTAAGCATCACCACCTGCATGTTAACCCCTCCTTAACCCCAAGCAAAGAACCACATAAAGTACAAAAGAGAAGAGAGCAAAAGCAAGAACAGAGGATTCTGCAAAATGATGTCAGGAAAGCATTGTTTAATGTCTGGATAAGATATAAGGATTTATTGGAAAATAAAACCCCAAGGTGGTTGTCACCGATGGAAGCGAAAGCACAGAAAAAGCTCAATATGGAGGCCAAATGGCCAAAATATTGGGAAATTCTGGAACAAGAGGGAGATAGATTGAAATTGCAGAGTTTTGAGAAACTAAAAAACAAAGTGCGAGACTGGCTTCATTATTATCAGATAATGGAGGCATATAATTCGGACAAGAAAATTGGCTTCCAGGTGGAAAAATCAAAATTAGAAACAGAACTGTTAGAACCCAAAACTAAGATTTTGTCAAAGATGTATAACTTGCTGTTGAAATGGAATACTCAGGATGAAACGGTGAAATCTGCTATGATTAAATGGGCACAAGATGTTGGACATAACATAATGATGGCTGACTGGGAACAGTTATGGACCACAGGTATGAAGTTTACGGCATGCAATGCCTTAAGAGAGAATATTATGAAAATGATATACAGGTGGTACATGACCCCAGTCAAGCTTGCAAAAATCTATCATTTGCCCGATAATAAATGCTGGAAATGTAAAGAAACTGAAGGTACATTCTTTCACCTTTGGTGGACGTGCCCAAGGATTAAGGCTTTCTGGGAGATGATCTATAATGAAATGAAAAAGGTATTTAAATATACCTTCTTGAAGAAACCAGAGGCCTTTCTCCTGGGCATAGTCGGCCAATTGGTGCTAAAGAAGGATAGAACTTTCTTTATGTATGCCACAACAGCAGCAAGAATACTTATTGCAAAGTATTGGAAGACACAAGATCTACCCACTCTGGAAGAATGGCAGATGAAGGTGATGGACTACATGGAACTGGCGGAAATGACTGGCAGAATCCGAGACCAGGGAGAAGAGTCGGTGGAAGAAGATTGGAAGAAATTTAAAGACTATTTACAGAAATATTGCAAAATTAATGAATGTTAGAATGATGTCAGAATGAAGTTAAGTGGTTTTAGCAGCAATGTCTTAAAGGTGTATGTAAAAATGGATTGTTAATAAGTGAGAATCTAAAGCTATAATATATTAAGTTAAAGGACTAAGACAAAAACAAAGAGGGAAAGGAATTGCTGAATTAACCAATTGAACTGGAATACAAAAAAGGGAGGTGAGAGGAGGTCAGGGAAGCAAGGAAATGAAATGTAAGATACGGAAGGACTGATTTGTTTTTAAGTGTTTTTTATCTTTGTTTTTTCTGTTCTTTGTATTTTGTATGTTTTTTCTCTTTTTTTATTTTTTCCCTTGTTTCTTTAACTATGTAATTTTTTGTTTCTGAAATTTTAATAAATATCATTTAAAAAAAAAAAAGAGGATTCTGCAAAATGTTGTTGACACAACATTAGCGCATTGGTGGTGGATTTATTCTGTTTTCTCAGTTGTTCTTTGAGGATTCCGCACATTATTGCTGTCCAGAGGGAGTGTTGTGCAACAAAGTGGGGACAAAAATAAACCAGAACATGAAAGACCCTGTGTGAGAGGCGTAGAAGGGAAGATCTCCCAGGGTGGGAGGCTGGGAGCAGAAAAGGAACTCCCAGGTGAGAGCTGGGAGGCTCCATCCCCTTCTGTGTGAGAACTTTGAGAGAGGACTTCGCATTGTATTTTCCCTCATCCGTCTATTTTCCTCTCCTTTTTGTTGTCATCTTTTATTTAGATTAATTTGTTTTTATTGTATTGTATGATGAAAAGTTTCAATAATAATAATAATTATCAAAAAACCCCAGAACATTTGTGCTATAAAAGGAGTTTGGCAGCAAGTTACAGGATAGGCACTGACTGGAAATGAAACAATGTGACCACCCCAAAACTTTTGCAGATGTGAACAGCATTAACAGTTGGGTTGTATATGACTGCATCCCACATAAAATCACGATTGCATGTCATCATGAATGCACAGCCGAAGTGGCATATGGAAGTACTCTATGATTCTTAATTTGTATGTATATACAACTTTTCAAAGACTTGGAGGAGATGTGATAGAGTTAACAGTGTCCACAGTACAAATGTGTCTTCTCCAGCACATCAAAATACATTTTGTTCTGGTGTGCATGTGTAAATTTTCTTAGGAATGAAACCAACTAGATCAGAAGCCACTTGCTATCAGGTCTAGTCAGTGTTATCATTTTACTTAATTTTATGAGGTTAGAGAACATGGTTGCTTTTTGGATCTGAAGTGGTAGCTAATAATTTTTAAATAAATGGGCTGAATTCCCCTGAAATGAATCTCTTCTAGCTTTATTTTCTTTTTGGAGTGCAAGGTGGTCAAGAAGGTGTTGGTGGGGCAGCTTCAGGCATGAAACTGATTTTCTATACCCATAACCATCTGATTTAACGCAAAAGGCAGGGGAGGGCCTTTTCAGTGGTGGCTCCATATTTGTGGAATTCCCCTCTGAGATGTGACTGGCCTTTTATTATATTCTTTTCAGAAACAGGT